TAAAAACTTACCAATGATATATGAACAAATCAAATCTGAATTTAGTTTAATATTGTCTTGAGATATTGTAGTGTTGAGATATGTATGCTTACCCCCACACATTGCTATTTTTTACTTTGTTGAATTTTTAAGTAATGATGCTCTTATTCGCCATGGAAACCCATTGTTATGGTTCAAACACTTTACATGCAACTTTGTTAGTTTTGACTCAACAACAAAATAACCCTGATGTATTTTTATTACATGCTGTTTTAAGTCACTTTTAACTTCATCTTTGGAGTCAAATAATAAACCTACATGTCAGGGATCTCCAATAACCCATGAAATATCTTCACTAATTTCTTCTGCTTCAATTTCTTGGTCTGGATGTTCTCAATTGTAGTATAAACTTACATTCTAAAAAGGTATTTCACCTACACCTACATAAAAACGGACATTATTCATCATTATAAAAAAAAGTATACAATTTAATCAATAATTCTTTAATAAATATTACCTCTAACATTTTTTTTGTTGTAAATTTAAGTTTGAATCAAAATCACCATCTACGTTTATATTTGACGAGCTGTCTAACGGAATATGTCTTTCATCATCATCACTATTGACTTCTTCATTTTCATAACTGCATAAATTTGTACATCGTTCAAAAAAATACACTTATTCAATATGTATTGTCACTAAAAATAAATAAAAAAATTATTATAATGGTATAATTTATACCTTCTGTAACATTTATATTCACCATTTCTATAAAGTTAGGCAATGACATTGATAAGCTTAAGTCTAATATGTTTAAGTTAATCCTTAAATTTTCACCAAATGCAATATCCACGTATAATTCAATAACACTTGTAGTTGTTGGTACGCACTAATCATACAATCAATATCTTCATCATCACATATATTCAATGTAGTATATTGTTTAGCGCTTAAATCAACTATAAAACGAGAAATTATTCTACATATAAAGTAACTATTACTAAGATTCAACTTGTCATGAATTTTTTTTTTCAAATTCATAAAACTGATCCATCTTCATATCTTTATCATTTTTTTGTTACCTTCAAATGTCACACCTTCGTTTCTCACATCAATTTTTCCTTTACAATATACAATAATAATATTACTCATCTTACAGTTTTTTAAAAACACAATATCAATAATTATAATTATACTTATTTATATAAATAATAAAAAAATAAATTATTATTATCACATACTAACATACTACTATATTTTACATCATTTATATTAAAAAAATAAAAAAATTATGCATATTACACACATATAAAATAAATATTTACAAAAAATATAACATTATTTTTTAATTATTAATCAACATAATATTCAACATCTACTAACATAACTTCTATATCTTTTTTAATATTAACATAAATTATTAATTTTTAAATCTAAATTACACAAAAATTCATTCAATAAATATTCATCAATTTTATTTACCTCTATTTATTTAAGTAATTAAAAAATACTTTAATTTTAATAAAATAAATATAAAAAAATTCAACAAAATATTACAAATATAGCTAACCTCTAATATTTCTTCTAAATCTTCTCCCATGTCATTTTCCTTCAGCTTGATTCATTTTGATGTGCAGAGTGTAGCATTATATAGGTAAATTTTGTTAGATAATAAAGTGTAACGATAGTCTTTTAACTACATGGTAAAGACTAATTTTATAGTAAATTAAGACAAAATTAACACAATTATTACATGTTTCATTACTGCATAGTTTCATCCAAATTTTAGATAAAATCAATAAAATTTTGTCACATGTAAGTTCTTCAGTATTTTGTCTATATATAGGATGAATTTACCTTTTTGTCTGCACATTTGACGAAATGATTAACGCATTTCATCTTCATTTTGTACAAAACCTGTAACACGTGTCACGTTTTGACTGATTTTAACCCTATTTTAGACAAAAAGGGTAAATTAAAAATAAAAATAATTAATTTTATCTGACTTAAATATAAAACATAGTCTGACGTGACAAAAATTTATCCCAAACAGAGAAAATATTTTTCTTTTATTTTATTTTAGTAAATAGTTATTAAAAAAGCATTAAAAATATTCATTAAGCCCACATTTGTCTATATCAAGAACATACTTTCCAATAGCATATAAATAATTTACTAAAAATATATTATATTTTTTGATCAATTATTTTAACTTTGTTTTGATAATTTTTAATATAATTTATTAAAAAAAGTTATTTTTAAATTATTTTAATAATTAATATTAAATTTAAAAAATAAATTATTATTTTAAAATATTATTGAATAAATATTTAAATATACAATTATCAAAACACACATTTAAGAATTTGAAAAGTGTTTATAAATAATTTACACAAATAATTTATGAATTTTTAAAATTTTATTTTAATAAATATTTATTATAATTTATTAAATTAATTTTTTTCTAACTTATATATATATATATATATATATATATATATATATTATTTATTAAAAATAATTTTTTTCAAGTCAAATATCATGAGCGATAAAAATTTTCCTTCAAAAATTTAGTAGAGTTAAAATAATTTAAAATTAAATTTTAATTTAGAATAACTCTACACTAATTAATCTACGTATTTGATGATTAAAATAAACTGTTTTACCTTATCTTCATAAAAAAATTTATTGGATTAACTATATAAAGTGATTATTTTTAAAGTAATTTATTCAATAAATACTTAGGTAAAATTAGTATCTAAATATACCCTTAATTTACTTTATTTTTAATTTTAGTAAGGTAAAAATATTAAGAATTTCTATCTAAAAGAGTTTTGCTATAAGTAACAACTCGTTTATTTAAACATTTAAAATTTGGTGATGCGTGTAATATTATATATATGTGTTTTTATTTTCTTAATACAAACATCTTAACAATACTCTTCAAAATTAAAGGAGATGTTGAAAGATATTTGCCTTCAGGTGTACTTCAAACATTTAAATTTAAATAATGATATCTTATAGATTAATATGTATTACTTTAATTGTATTGAAGTAAATACAATAAAAAAAATATATGATATGGAAGCTAAATAAAATACGACAAGACAAAAGATAGACATCTTATAACTTATTGATTAAATAAAATAATAAAACAAAATAGAACATAAAAGCTATTCTATCTTATTAAGTGTCCATCAAAATGAATTAAAATAACTCTCTCCCAATGAATTTGCGCCCTTAGATGTATTTAAACTTAAAGCCATAGTAATATTTTATAAGTCTTCTTTCCATATAAGTTAAACTTTGAGAAAGAGATAGAAAGAATGCTTTAAAAATGTTTTAGAGTTACTATTATTAGATATAGCTTTTTATATTTTATAAGGGTCTCCCCTTCTCTATAAATTAAAATATAATTTCTAAATCCTTTGTGTTTACAATACAATAACTTATCTGATGGATACAACAGCCTGTATATATTAATAAATATCAGCTTTATTATTCTATATATAACAGGTTGAAGAAGATAAGGGCCAGCAGTGCATGATACTTATAATTAAACGGATTTTGTATTTATTATAATTAAATAATTGCTTGTTTCTATAAATGGAAACATAATAAAACATATCCTGCATTTCAATTCTCAATGATTTAGTCATTTAAGCAAGTTTGACAGAGAATTTTGGGGGGGAAATTTTCTATTATTATTATTATTTTTAGAATGAAAGAGATAAAACAACAAATTATCATAAGATACTGTAATGAATCGTTACATAATTTAATAGATATTATTATGTAATTATACTATTTTGAAAATAGAAACGTTATATTATCATTTTCCTCTCAGATATTCGTGTAAGCATATCTTCAGAGTTTGATACTTTGATCACATAACATTTGATGACGTTCGTCATGTGACAAAGTGAATCAAACACAGCTCAACCATATTCATCAAACACATTAGTGGTTTCCGATATCAAATCCATACATCATTATTAGTTACAATCCTACGTGTATTGGAGTTATCAATGTGCACTTGTCAAACTTACGTAAATTTGCTGTCTGTTTTCTTAGAAAATCGTGTTCGAAGTGCATCTTGACATGAACCCATATGCTTTTATTTTTCTTAGTCAGACAAAAAGACACGTGTTACTTCTTCTTACCTTGAACGCTGTTAAACATCTATGTCCAATCACATAATCAAAATTATACCCTTTCTTTCAAAGTGTGGTCATTTTCATTTACACTAGTCTATACAAATTTTCTATGAATAGGGGATAAGGATTAAATATTTATGTCTTAAATTCAATCTAGACTTCCAAATTTCGAATGGCTGATGGGTGGCAAAGTAATGATAGACGCATTCTTACAAAAACTGCTTTGACGTTTGATTGAAAAAGAATTCTGGCAGAATAATAATATAAGTTAAATAAGAAACTTAAATTATCATTTTTTTTTCTTATTATTATAGTGTAAGAATACCTCAATTCATTAAATAGAAATGTCAACCTTCGTGAGATCTGTGAGTGATGTGCACAAGGCATGGCTTCAACCAGACTGATATTTAAAAAATATTTTTTTAATAAGTCCGTAAAATATATATTATAAGAGTTTATTTATAACAATTTTTTAGTAAAATTTAATGTAGTTTTATGCATTAATAACAAAATCATGTATTAATGTTTTCTTATGTATAATTTTGTCATATTATAAAAAATGTTTAAAATAAACAAATAGAAAATACAAAGAATAAGGAAACGGATGTAATTAGACGACATTAAGTCCAAATACAATTGCCAACTTGTACAGGTATATTTGCTTTAATAAGAGAAAAACAAATTCTGTTGCAGATAACAAGGTGACTGTAGAGAGAGGATATTCTATATAATTTTTTTAATATTTTTATATTTTTAAATATTATTACCTTATTATTTATTATATATATTTAATATAAAATTTATAATAATAATCTACTTATAATTTCTGTAATATAATAATACAAGGAAAGAGAGAGAAGTGTTAAAAGTTACGGAGAAGATGAGGTATGAATTTACGATGATGGATGGAACCTTGAGACATCCGTTCTGCACATAATTTCAAGCGAATACGTATAAAGACGAGATTGCTGACTCAATACATACGTAGATGTAACGTTGTTTGTGTCTGGAAACTGCAATCTTGTTTGCACGTGATTCTCTCTTCCTTAATCTTCTTCCTTTTAAACGGGTAGGCAGTGAAGCGAATCATTCTGAGAGACTGAGAGAGAGAGAGAGAGAGAGAGAGAGAGGAAGAGATGAGTAACTGTGATGGATGCTGCAAATCAGGGCCAGGCTATGCTTCTCCGCTTGAAGCCATTTCAGGTCCCAGAGAGTCTCTCATTTATGTCACCGCTGTCTACACAGGTAATGGATAAATAAGCCTTGTGCTGCTTCCTCTTCTTATGGAAGAAAGTTAACAACTTTGGTTTTGTTTATCCCTTTATGACTTGCACCATCTTAAACTTTTATGGTCAAGCATCCCTTTTTTTTCTTACTATCAGAATCACACTGAACTTCTTGTCAGATTAATTAAATTATTCTCCCAGAATTTCATCTCTTTTTCTGGCTATAATATTGATGAATTCTGGTCAAATAGACGTTTTTAAGTAATGTGTATTGAAACTTGTGTAGAACTTAGTGATTTGATTATTGATAATTGATTGGATGAAAACAGGAACTGGAATAGAGAAGCCTGACTATTTGGCCACAGTGGACGTAGATCCAAACTCTCCAACTTACTCCAAAGTCATCCATAGGTTACATGTTCCTCATTTAGGGGATGAATTGCACCATACTGGCTGGAATTCATGCAGCTCTTGCCATGGAGATACATCTGCAGAGCGAAGATTTTTGATCGCACCTGCACTTGTGTAAGATGCTGAACAGTTACTTTCACTAAAGGGCTTTGATTGATAATTATAAGGGAAACATGTTTATATGCTGCGTGATGATTGATGACTACAGTTTAAAGTATATCCACTGTTTTTCTTTTTTTGGCTTTTTGATAAGATATTGTGTCATCAGAAAGAGAATATTTTCACACTGGTTAAGATGTCATCCACAAACTGAAAAACACAGAAACAGTAAAGAATCCGTGATTGTATTAAAAGAATGATGTTGTAATACAACTAACCAATGTATAATTTCAGATCATGGTAATTTTTTTTTTTTCTCTTCTCCCTTTGCCCACTTTGTGGATTCCGGGAATAGATAACTTTATTCTAGTCACCTTCTTTATTGCCATTTTAAAATTACCTGACAAAATCTACTTTATCATATTTCAGATCAGGTCGCATATATGTGGTTGACGTAAAAACAAATTCAAGGGCTCCATCTTTGCACAAAGTTGTTGAGCCTTCAGATATCATACAGAAGACTGGATTAGCCTATCCACACACATCTCATTGTCTTGCTTCTGGAGAGATAATGGTCTCATGTCTTGGAGATAAAGATGGAAATGCTGCAGGAAATGGATTTCTTCTTCTTGATTCAGAGTTTAATGTGAAAGGAAGGTACTCTTTTTTATATTTGATTGAGAAATGCTAGAATGCTTAGTGGCATGTCTAACATACTTTCAGTTTACCGATTCTTATTAATCCCTGCATTTGCTTGCTATCTGTTACATCTTCTTGCAAACAGATGAATTGACGTCAATCAAATATTTAATAAATTTTAACGCCGGGAGGCAAGATTTTTGTTAAACGGTTTAGATAGAATCATTTTATAATTGCTTATGTGTTGAACATTTTATGATGTAGCATCTTTGGCAACATTTTTATTTGAAACTGCTTATGTAGTTAGCATTTTGATATCGTATTTTCTAATTATATTGTTTTCTATCTCGCTTCACATTGATTAGGTGGGAGAAACCAGGGCACAGTCCATTATTTGGGTATGACTTTTGGTATCAACCACGTCACAATACTATGATTAGCACATCATGGGGTGCTCCTAGTGCTTTTACAAAAGGTTTTGACTTACAGCATGTGGCTGACGGATTCTATGGGAGGCATCTCCATGTATATAACTGGCCCGGGGGTGAACTGAGACAAACATTGGACCTTGGTAATGAAGGGCTTTTACCCTTAGAGGCAAGTTGTTTAGCAAAATCTTGTGAGATGTTTACGATGCATTAATTTTATCCTTTTAACCTTTTTCTTTTTGTATTTGAAGCCTTGTTACAGAATTGTGTGATTTTTACTATGACCATACTTTGCTCTCGCTTGTAGATGTGAACCATTTTGCAAAAGTTGTCATATTTAATAACAGATGTACCCTAAATGCAGATAAGGTTCCTGCATGATCCTGCTAAAGATACAGGTTTCGTTGGGAGTGCATTGACAAGTAACATGATACGATTTTTTAAGACACAAGATGGATCATGGAGCCATGAGGTATATCTAAAGTATATTAAGTATCTATTCTCTTCTAGTTAGTAATTGTACCTAAACTTATACTATTAATGACTCAACTTACTTTACAGGTTGCCATATCAGTGAAACCACTGAAAGTGCAAAACTGGATTCTTCCGGAAATGCCTGGGCTTATTACTGATTTTCTTATATCTCTTGATGATCGGTTTCTGTACTTTGTAAACTGGCTTCATGGGGATATAAGACAGTATAACATTGAGGACCTTAAAAATCCTAAATTGACTGGCCAAGTATGGGTTGGTGGACTTGTCCAGAAAGGAAGCCCCACAGTTGCTATAACAGATGATGGTGAAACTTGGCAATCTGAAGTGCCAGAGATTCAGGTTAGTGCTACTTAATTTATGAACTCAATAATTCCTCTGTCAAACTTATTGCACAATATATGTTTGTAGTTAATTAGTTATTGGACAGATACAAACAATTTGTCCCCTAATATGACTGTCTGATGTTAACACGCTGCTTTTCAGGGGAAAAAATTGAGAGGGGGCCCTCAGATGATTCAATTGAGTCTAGATGGGAAGCGTCTGTATGTTACTAACTCACTATTTAGTGCATGGGATAGACAATTTTATCCAGAGCTTGTGGAAAAAGGATCCCACATGCTACAGATTGATGTTGATACTGAGAATGGTGGCCTGAAAATCAACCCCAACTTCTTTGTTGACTTTGGAACTGAGCCTGATGGTCCCTCTCTTGCCCATGAGATGAGATATCCTGGTGGTGATTGTACCTCAGATATATGGATTTAAGCCTATGTATCCTTATTTCCTCCTATTGATAAGGTTTGTGTCTTCCAGTTGTAATGGGTTATTATACTATAATGCTCTTGTTCTTCAACATCTTGAATAATGAAGAGACAGTTTGCATAAATATATTAAGTTCACCCGTAAAACCTTTTTGTCTGTGGTTATTTCTATCTATGTGGTTACCGCCAACTTAATAATAAGTGTGAAAAATACAGGGCACAAATAACAAGTAATATAGCAAGTTCGTTGAATAACTTGTATTAAAGCTTGCGTTCTGTTTTACCAATGTACTTATCCTATTGGAATTTAGAATTTTTCTGTGCAATGGAACGTCATCTTCAAACCTAGTGTGTGCCACTTTTATTTTTTGTCTATATAAAAAATGAAGAGAGGAACCAAATGTTTTGGAAACAAACGAATTAAAAATCAGCACTCTTGGCTATGGAAGCTCATTGAGTTTGCAACAAGTTGACTTGGTATTGGCATGAATGGGACTACAGTTTTGTCCTCATTCCATTATTACTTGGATGAAATCGAAAGGACTCGACAATTTTTGTGTTTAAAGTCTGTTGACTTATAAAGATTAGTGGAAAATGAGCGCGAGCCTTCAAATCCCTTGTTTTATAATTTGATAAACGATAATTATCCAATAAAGTAGTGTATCTCATAAGATTCTGATAAGCTTCCATATTGCTTATTATTCTCTGATTAAAAATAATATCATTAAAAAGCTTTAGGTAGAATGATGACTCGTGTAGAATCTCTCTGAACACGTCTATTAATTGATGCGTGATTATTTTAATTTAATTAATATTCTTAAATTTGACCCGGTCTAATGCGGTAATTTAGTTAAATGGATAATATGATGATGTCTGGCGTAGCTTGGTGTACTAAGATCTTAGACCAAATAAAATAGTATAAAAAATTATTTTATTATTTTAATGAAATCAAAGTGTATTACTCTTTAATTATTTCAGCTTAATTTATAATCTTGAGTTTAAATTCTAATTAATATAATTATTTTAAATATTTAAAAAAAAAGTTTATTACACATGGGGATCTTACTCACCCCTGTATATGAAGTATACACGAGGTCTTGAGAAACAAGTATACTACTTTTTTCTTTTATGTTGTATTTTCAAAATACAAACAAACACAATCTCATCTCGTTTGTAGTTTGCACAATAACATAAACAACGGATGTATCATCAGTATCACATGCGAAATAACACGATAATCATTACGTCGACAATGCGCTCAATCTGCTTGTCACTAATGGCACTTCCACTTGCACCTCTTTGGAAAAAATAGTGTTATATATTAAATGCTTCTGAGTGGAAGCAAACATGGAAGACTACAGAATAGAAGAATGGATTCTTCAAAATCTTCCATGAGACTTGTGAGTTTGTGCTATCTCGTTCTCTTTAGCTTTATGCATTTCAGCAGCACAGTGTTGTCAATGAGGAGTCATCCATACAAATGCAATGGTTCCATAGCCGAATGCAATGAGGAACATGAGATGCTGATGGAGTCAGAAATAAACCGAAGGTTTCTGGAGGAGAACAAATACATCTCTAAAGGAGCTCTTGAGAGAGATAAAGCAGTATGTACTGTGGTGGCCGTGGTGAAGCTTACAGCAAAAGTGATGGGTGTCTTCCTCCCCCATCAAACCCTCCAAACAGAGGTTGCTCAAAATATTATCGTTGTAGATCTGATTCTTGACTGAAGCCACATACAAACAACTTTTAAGGTCGAATTCGCATATGATGTCTAATGTCAGTTCTAGTTTTGACTCTTCTTTACTGCATCTTCATACAAAGATCTCATAGTTGTCGGATTAACATGTAATCTTTCTGTTGTCGATCAAATTCCATAGGAACTATGGAATTTGAAATTATATGATCAATATCCTATTAGTTGTCTCATTTATGAGATCATTTTTTGTTTCCTTATTATCTGCTCTCTGCTCCATGATTTGGCTTTGAATTTCTTCGAATACTATTTATTTCTTCATTTAACAAAAATGCACTGCATCCAATCGAATTGAATGCCAAAGAGAAGAGAAGAGACACGAATATTTGCATTAGCTGCTAGAAAATACAATTGACTGGGAAAAATCAATCCCAGTATAAGCAGAGAAGTATGTAGCATGAAATGAGGGACAAGATTCTCTCTTGACCATACAGTTTCTACAATCATTATCAACACTCGTCCAACATGAATGATCCCACAATTGGATATTAAGCGAAACAACATGCCGAACCCATCCCAGATTTCCAGCTGCCCCCTTTTCCATGCATGGGCAATCTTGAGCAAACAAACCGGTGATAGTTTGAATGGCGAAGGAAGCAAATACCAACAGTATAATACTATTTGAATGCAAGCTTCCATACTTCGCGCACATTGGATGAACCGTCTGTGATTTCAGCAACCAGGCTACTAATCATGACACCTGTGCAAATAAAGGGCAATTATGACATGACATCAGTGCATTAACCGGTAAAGGAAAAGAGAAATAAACTGGAAAAAAATCTCATGACAATGAAATCTTATACTTTGATATCTTATTGCCATAAAAAATCTGTCATTATAATTCTAGATAATAAGTCTTGCAAAATTCTATGCGTATGTACATAGCTTATAGACTATAGTGGACAACCAAGATATAAGGGAATCAGTACGATTAGGTTATTACTACAAGTCGTTTGCATATCAAGGACACTATTTATTATGCAACTGCTGAACACATAACATGCAACGATGCAAAGAATCAGAATAATGCTTCAACGAGAATGTAATTGCATATTCCAGTACTAGCTTACCATCTTTTTCTACCACAGAAAGAAATCGCCTAGTTCCACCACCTACTCCAAAATAATACTTCTTTGCGGCCATGTACACAACTCCATCAGGATGTTTCAAGCACTGTTAATATACACTTCAAAAGATAAGCAAAACCATGGTTTTATAATTTAAAATATACATTACTAAACACATAGATAAATGTATTCTACACATATTTATAATTGAATGAAATCATAGAAATATAAATTTTCTCTGGTTGATGAACAAAACAATACCTTCTTGACAAGATTATAGAGATTTTGGAGACTGTTGATTGCGTAAACTGTCTCTGCCATCAAAATAAAGTCATAACCATCACCTTGATTGAGTTTTGCATCTGTACTTACATGAGGGAGCAGTTTATCAATTTCACTCCAGTCACCCGCAAAAAAGCGAACTTCTGCCTTATCACAACTTGTCAAGTTTGATGAAGATTGTTGAGATTGTCCACACAGATTTGCGTCCAAATTGGGAATGGTAAGGCAACGTAGGACCTCAGCATTGAAGTCTTGAAAATGTACAGCAGCTGCCCCCTAAAGCAACAACAGTAAGCACATTATAATATTTCTCAAAATTAAGGATGCTAATGCAAAGCCAATGAATCATAGTTTCACCTCAAGCAATGCAAAGATTCCAGGTAGTCCATGACCGCATCCTACCTGAAAATCAAATATTGAAACTGAGAGACAAACAGACAGAAGATATACCTAAAGCATATCAAACACCTTAGTAAATGCTATTTTCTTCAACTGACAGTCAGACAAGAGCAAAGTCAACAAAATAATAACCCGTCAGTACTAGAATGTAATAATCATTTATCAAACAGATAAATACAGGATCACCTGGAAAAAGAGAAGCCCACCTCTAATACTCTCTTCCCGCCAAATGAGATAAGCCCATTTTTTATATCTGAACGAAGGGCTTTAATTAGATCAAGTGAACCTTCCCACAGCTTCAGTCCTCCTAGGCCCAAGGAAAACCGAAGTTGCAACTTATTTAATCATCAACAAGATGAAAATCAATGAATGAATAAACAGAACTACAAGGAACAAAATGGTACCACCTTCATATTTTCCGGGAACTAAATCAGAGTTGGATAAACCAAAAACTTGTTGAGTATTCACCCGCCCCTGGGAATTGTTCATACAAGAATACAGTAACAAAACTAAGCCACAATCCTAATTCTAACATTCTAAGCTTTCGGAAACAAGCGAAGAAACTTTACCTTTAACAAAGTAACCCCATCCAAATTTACTGACTCCGCGTTGTGTTTGACGGATGAAGGAACCTAATTTTGGAGGAACCCCACCAAAAGAAAGCAAAATTAAAAATGGCGACGTTTCGAACAATCATGAAGAACGAACGAAGAATACCTCAGAAGCGAGCACTTCAACACAAGGAGGAGGAGGTATAGCAGGAACTTGTTGTGCAGCAGCATCATCGAAGATTCCGAAACCCGAAGCGGAGGAAGAGAATAACTGAAACGTTTCGAAACTTGATTTCTGAGCACTTCCCTGCGCAACATAAATCTAAGTCCATTAATTTTAGGTGAAAATGAAGAAGAAAGAGGTTCTGTTCCATTCGTTCATACCTCAGAGTTCGCCGTCGCCATTTTTTCAGCTTGCTCACACTTCTTCGTTCTCTCCCCTAACGGTTCTCTTTTCCCTTTTTTTTGGTCAACAGTTTTTTCTCTAATTTCTTCTCATTTTGGGCTTTGTGAAGTGACGAAAGCCCATATATGAATTTTACGTTGGGCTCTTCCATTCATATATGGGCTTTCGTAACTTCTCAATCTTCCTTGCTTCTTGTTTACTAGAAATGGATTCACGTTTACGAAATAAAAAAAGGATGGATTCAGGTTTTGACCCAAAACGAAAAATTCCTCGCATCTCCTTTGTTGTTGTTATTTTTTCATCCTTTTATCAGCAACAGCAACGTTAAATTTAAAATAATTAACACTGTTATTTTATTATGAAAATCAACATTTCTATTCCATGTTAATGAGAGCTAAAATATATTTTAAAAAATTGAAATTTGAGTTAATGAGGGAGTCTTGCTTTGGTGGGGGGGTGGTCATAGTTCTTCAATTTCTTATTTCTTCGATCTTTGGTTCCAAATGCAATAGGATCCCAGTTCAATTTTGTCAACTTATGCACACGCAGACAGATTCCTGAATGAAGGGGTAAAGGGAAAGTAAAAGATTAACTTTGGCTGGTGACTTTGTTGTCTGAAAGGGAAAGGAACGATAGGTGACACTTCTTAGAAGAAGAAAAAAGGCAAGGTATGGTACCTTTATCGATAGTCGTGGAATGTGACCTTAATTACAGGCGGTGAATGGGGTCTACTGGTTCAATGCCCAATCTATGCCTGTGACTGTGATGGTGTGACTATACCAAAGATTATGCCAATTTTGTGGCCTATGGCACTGTCAGCGCAGGGTTACATTACACGCCATTCACAAATCACATGCATCCCATGCCCATGTCTTTCAACCCAACCCCTCTGTACCAAACAAATGTCCTTCAGTTTTTGTCGGCAAAACCGATTCAACTCACTGTCGGCAAGCGGTAATTACTGATTCCAGTACTTACCAAACACAAGTGAAAAAAAAATTACAACACACTTATTCTAGTGTTGTTTGATTTTCTACTTATAACAAGTGCTGTACTATTAGTCACTTGGTGGCACTAAACCCCAGTGGTTTTGCGTCCGTCTTCCTTATTAAAGTTACAATTACATAGAAATCTTTGTTATCATTGCAATTGGATTTGCGGAATCCAATTTGTTGCAACTGGGCACAACACTTTACACAGCCATATTTATTTTCTCATTCTTTTAAGACCATGGGCAATATATAAAACATATGACAAAGAACATGATAAACGTAGTTGGCCTAGAAGAAAGCACAATGAACAAATCAGAAAAGCCAGAAGACCCAAAAAAAAAGAGTGACACCAGGATTCTCTGAAGGAAATATGTGACTATAAATGCTGTTTTTCCGGTATATATTATCGTGACCAAATAAAATATCTTCCTTTAGCTGTAATTATCTGAAAATGTATACTTATAATGGTCTTCATCAGCAAAACCAATGCTAGGATCTCTCCCTCTCCTCATTACTTCCCTCACTTTCTCTATCCTTTCAAGCATTCCTCTTACTGCTAAATCAAACGCATCTTGAAAGTTATCTAACTTAGACCTGGGATCTGCATAAATTAAATTTGGAATTAGCTTTATAACCTCCTCTCTCATTGCAAACACCTCACTTTCTGGAATTCCCAGCAACACCTTCTCCACATTGACATTCCATTCCTTTACATCCTTCACAGGTATATATACAGAGTACTTAATCCTATTCTTTGGTAAATGCCACTTATACTGAGAATAAGCAGAACCAGGATGAAAGAAAACAGGAATACAACCAGCCAACATGGAATCAAAAATGGATCTTCTAGTGTACGAGTCACCAGGAGGCTGCAAACAAAACACAGAACTTTCAAACACCTTCATAACATTAATGGGGTCGTCACATCTCTCTACACCATAGCTGCAGTCAACGAATTTGCAAGCACTAGAAGTTCGACATAGGTCTATAATCTTTCCCCTGACGGAATTTTCTTGTTCAGGTCTTGGAGCACCAGTGAAAGTAAACAAGTATGGTCGATTTTGATGCGTGAGTTTTCTCTGCCATTGGAAAACATCAGTGTCCTTCGAAGGATGAAAAGAAGTTGGATATGGTATTGCATAGTCATTGTTCCAAGAACTTGCTTCAACTGCTAACAAAGACATGTTCATAGATTCAGGAAGAAACCTAAACTTACTACCCCAAAAGGACTCATCATCACGCTGTCTCCTAAAATCCCAAGCAATCCTCCCAGAAACAAGGAAATGATCTCTACCCCACATTTTCTTCCATTGAGATTTCTTTGCAAGCCATTGAACAAGATCTCGAGCAGAGGAATCCCTCACTGTAATATTAGAAACCCAAAGGAAACGGCTAATGTCAAGACCAGCATAAAATGGGACAAAGATTGCAGAGGCCAAGGAGGAATCGTTGGTCAAACACTCATATTTCATCATCCTGTTGTGAAAAATCACCTCCAACAAGAACTGGTTAGTGGCATACCAACTCTTGTTGGTGAAAATACCTTGAGAGTTTTCAATCAAAGGACCTAAACCCATGTTTTGCATGTAAGGACACATGTTGGGTTTGTCAGTGCCTCTAGTGAGTGACTCACAATTATGAAGCAAGTGGGTGTTGAAACGGGAAGGAAGCTTGTGAATGTAAATGTATCGGCCACTGCAGGAACCGTTCTTTGGGTTTACTTGTTTGTTGACTAAGAGAGTGACAGTGTCATTGGGGCCATGAAAGGTGGCAAAGTAATCAAAGCGTAGCAGAAAAGAGCATAAGAGAAAGGATATGAGAATTGCAAACCAGAGATTGTGATCGTTGCAACTTCGGGAGATCATGGCTGGCTTTTCCATTTGATTGATCTTCAATTCAACTGTGTGACTGCGAGAAACATGTTTGTGATATCAGCTTTTGGAATTGTCATAAAGACAAAGCGGAAATTTAAAGCGTTGTCCAATGGATGAGCCTCACTCGGCAGAAAACGTCCGTTATATTATTGGGAGTGTTCTATTGGCCATTATTGCAAAATAATATATTAATAACACGCTCTTTTAATATATATATATATATATATATATATATATATATATATATATACTTTAATATTTCTCTTCAATAAATTTTTGTTTTTAGTTTTTTAATAAATTTTTTATTTTTAGTTTTTATGGTCAGTACATTAAGAACTAAAATAAAAGTTTATAAAAATATAAAGATTAAATAAAATAATTTTTTGAAAAAATTAAAATGGATTTTTTTTAAATAATATATATATATATATATTCATTAAAAAAATATCAAACATTATTAATAAAAATTAATTTTCATGTAATAAATTCATAACCATATATAGTAATAAATAATTATTGTTTGGTTATAGATAAATAATAAAATAATGTTATGATTATTTGTCTAGTGAAATGTTTTTTATCATATCATAAAAAACATTTAATCATTATCTTATAAGTAAATATTTTATAATTTTTTACAATTTTAACTTTATTATTTTATAAAATTATATATTTATTTATATGTATGATGATTAAAAATAAATATTATAATTGAAGAGAGATAAAGTGTAAAGGAATAGACAAAATAGTAGTCAAAATTAAACATTACTTGTTTAATTTTAAAATAAAGATAAAAACTTGAATAAAAAATAATTAAAAATGATATTACATATAATATTAATTTTTTTATGTTCAAATATTGGGACATATTTTTTATTAATTCAATTTTCTAATTCTCTTTTCAAAACAAGGAGATTAAAACTTTTTAATTCGCACGGAAATTAAATGTCTGAGTTTTGACTTAAATAAAAATATTTGTGCGTTTAATTTCATTTTTCTTAAACAAATTAAATTGGCTTAAACAAAATAGTGGGATCGTAGAATTGCTTCTTCGTCGTCACCCCTAAAAGTCTATTAGGCTTCAACATCACCATTCCGTTGCCGCCATGGAAGGTGGCAAACACACCATAGTTACCAACTTAGATAGTAAAGAATGATGTAGTCTGTGGTGATGGGGTGTTTGCTATTCCTCTAGTCATAAAATAAGATATTAATAAATAAAAATTAGCAATTACTAAAGAAGAGAGTGTTAATATTCAAAAGAAAGAAAAGGTTTTATTGATTGTATGCTATCATTACTTAGAAAAGATAAAATACATATAATGGTGATTTGAATGAGGTTAGTGACACAAGACAATTGGATTACACGAAGTGCATGTGACGCGTGCATTCGTGCACGTAGCAAATGTATTCTGTCCATATGTAGTCACTATGTTGGTATGGTCGAATACAATGTTTGTGCATTGAAAGATTGAGTCACAGTTTAGTTGAACTGCATTCTGAGTTGTAGTTGTTCCTCTCACGTAACTGTATGCAACATCACTTACTTGCACTGCTCCATTATCTTCTCCATAATAGTGTTGGTCAATAATCACTGCGTTCTTTGCTCCATCAAGTATAATATCTTCAAATCTGATCCTCCTAGCATAGCCCGATCCTCCCTGATTCAAAATTGAAAATACAAAACACGTTTGTGATTTTGGATTACTTCATCCAATCAACTATCCATCCATCGATCCTTACCGTCCATGTCTTGATTCTGGCTCCATTGGTAGTTCCAGTGAAGGTGCAATTCCGCACATGTATATCTTGTACTGTATCATAAGCTCCACCTCGTCCGAGGCTACCAACACTATAGGATTCACCAAACACCCCCCAGAGAGAGTTTGAGTCTTTCAAATCATTCAAATAACGTAATTTGGAAAGAAATTAACTTGAACAGACCTGATGCCGTGGCCAGGTCCACAGAAAATGCCAGTTATGTTGACGAAGGAGGCTCCGGTGATAATGGCAACGCAGTCGTCACCTATAAATAATAAATAATAGCTAAGGAAAAAAATGCAAACTATTCCTACAAAATAACTCAATCTCCTTTTAACTTTATGATTATTGAATAACATTAAATTACCAGTTGCAATTTTGGAATTCTGTATTAAGATGTTAGATGATGTGGAGACAACTATCCCATCGGTGTTTGGACTATTATATGGTGCACCAATAAAAAGATTGGAGATGGTTGCGCCATTGCATCTGTTTATGGTTATATGATTTCTCGGGCTGTTGACGAACGACAACGAGCTAAGTCTTAGATTTTGACAGTTAAGGAATCGAATACCCTGCGCATGTTGTCGAGCAATTATATATAATTGCATGAAACTCTAAATTGAAATATTGGGTCATCAGATTAAATTATATTTTGCACTCGTTTTCGAACTTACAGCGGGTCTGTCGTAGATGCGAAGAAAGGTAGTCCACCATGCAGCACCTTGGCCGTCAACTTTTCCTCCTCCGTAAATTTGAAGGCCATATATGCCCCTGAATTGGACCCACGCTCTCCTATCGCTATCCCTTGGCCATTGCCAAGAACCAACTCCTATTGGGGCAGAGATAGTTCCCTGAAGCTGTGGGCCAGGCAATGCATATATTGAACATTAAATATAGTCAGACAATAAATGGAGCAATATTGAATGGTTAAGCATAAGCATAATGGAAGCCGTGATACAAAAGAACATTCATATATACTATATCATATGGGAGGCCGGAAAAAAACCCACATAATAGATTGATTAATTCATGACTTTTATATAAGCATTAGCTGAATTAATTAACAAGGCATATAAATCAATAGACAATATACATACACAGTCACGCATGTTTCCTAGCTCATGTATGTACTGTAAGTAACTCATCTATGATTTCACCTCTACATAAACGTTTGAAGGTCTGCAAGGACCTATGAACGACACAGGTTGCAACAAGAATGCTCTTCCTTTCGGTATGAGAAGTGTTGCGGCGCCCTGATTCGCACCACACACTGCTTGCCATGTTTTCAGAAAAGCCTTTACAATGTAGCCAAATAGTTAATAAAAATAGCAACAGATGTGATAAACTTAGCCTCATCTATGACTCACACACACATATATTATGAAACCAGGAAAAACATACTTGTGAGTCATCGGTTTGGCCATCCCCCATGGCGCCATAGTCAAAAACATTGTAGATAGCAGATACATCAAGGTCTACTCTAGCACACAAGCTAGGCGAAGTTATAACGAAGATTAGAAGGACAACAAATAGGCCATTCATCTTTGAGATTAAAAACTAATGCTACAATTTATTAGTGATCTAATCTAAATGCAGCTAGAAGGTGCTTGTAAAAGAGGACGAAGGATGACAATATATAGACTGTAATTATAATCCGAAATATTAATTATGATATTAATTACTGTCTACGTTTTAAATACGAGTCCTCAGTTCAAAAAGCAATAATATTTATCATTTTTATTCATTTATTATTATTATTATTATTAGTATTATTATTATTGTCATTATTATTATTATATGAATTAATTTCAATATTTTTATTCGTTCATTTTTATATATGATACAAATACTATTAAATTAAAAAATTGAATAAAATATATACTACATTACTTTTAAAAAATATATAATAAAATTCATAAATTAAAAATAATTTTATTATTATTAATAATAAATATTTCATATTAAATTATGTAAAATTAATATAATCAACTTTTGATGTAAAAAATTGTGAAAAAATTGAATTTAAATTGAAATTGATTCATATTAAAATTTAAAATAATAAAATACTTATTACTAATTATAAAAGTATTTATTATTTTCTTAATTTTTATTGTTATTAATAAATTTTATTTGTATTTAAAAAATCCAAATAATATATATGTGTGATGATTAAAAAATATATGTATATATTATAATTAAAGAGAGACAAAGTGTGAAGGAGTAGACAAAATAGCAGTCAAAATTGAAAATAATATTTCTAATTTCAAAATGGAGATAAAAAATTTAATTAAAAAAATTAAATATGACGCTTTTTACAACATTAATTTTTTTTTATGTTCAAATATTGAGACTGGTTTTTAATTAATTCAGTTGTCTAATTCTATCTCTGGATAGGGAAAAAGAAAATGAAAAGAAGAAACGAACTAAAAAAAAACACACAAAATAAGAGAGTAGGTACGTGATAATGATATGGTGTTGCTGGGGCGTTTGCCATTCCTCTAGTTATAAAAATAAGATATTAATAAAAAAAAATAGTAACTAAAGAAGAGAAAGTTAATATTCAAAACAAAGAAGAAGTTTTATTGATTGTATGCTATATTAACCTAGAACAGAAAAAGTACATGTAATGAATGGTGTTGGGTGATTTGAATGAGCTAGGTTTAACGACATGAGACAATTGGATTACACGAGGAAGTGCATGTGGCTCGTTCATTAGTGCACGTACCAAATGTTTTCTGTCCATTTGCGGAGGTTATGTTAATACGATCGAATACAATGTTGGTACATGGAATGCTAGAGTCACAGTTGAGTTGAACTGCATTGGGAGTAATAGTAGTTCCTCTCACGTCGCTGTAAGTAACGTCACTTATTTGCACTGCTCCATTGTTTTCAGGAATGTCAGAATAGCGTTGGTCAATAATCACTGGGTTCTTGGTTCCAACAAGCATAATATCTTCAAATGTGATCTTCCTAGCAAAACCCGATCCTCCCTGATTCAAAATGAAAAACACCAATCATGCTTGTGATTTAGGAGTAATTTCTTCATCCAATCAACTAGAGCAAATCGATCCTTACCACCCATGTCTTGATTCTGGCTCCATTGGTAGTTCCAGTGAAGGTGCAATTCCGCACATGTACCTCTTCTACTTTAGCATTAGTTCCACCTTGTCCGAGGCTACCAACACTGTAGGATTCACCAAACACGCCCCAGAGAGAGTTTGAAATTGATAATTCAAATAATTCAAATAACGTAATATGGAAAGAATTGAACTTGAACAAACCTGATGCCGTGGCCAGGTCCACAGAAAATGCCAGTTATGTTGACGAAGGTGGAACCGGTGATAATGGCAATGCAGTCGTCACCTATAAATAATAAATTATAGCTAAGGAAAAAATGCAAATAATTCCTACAAAATAACTCAATCTCTTTTTTATTTTATGATTATTGAATATATATCATTAAATTACCAGTTGCAATGTTGGAATTCTGTATTAAGACGTTAGATGATGTTGCAATATCTATCCCATCGGTGTTTGGACTATCATTTGGTGCAACAATATTAATATCGGAGATGCTTACGCCATTGCATGTGTTTATGCTTATATGATTTCTGGGGCTGTTGATGTGCGTCAACGAGCTAAGTCTTAGATTTTGACAGTTAAGGAATCGAATAGCCTGCGCATATATATATATATATGAATTTCAATGATATTTGCATGAAACTCCAAATTGAGATATTGGGTGATCAATTATACTTTCCACTCGTTTTTGAACTTACAGTGGGTCTATCAGAGGCGCGACGACTTATGCTCCACCATGCAGCACCTTGGCCATCAACTTTTCCTCCTCCGTTAATTACAAGGCCACTTATGCCCAAGAATTGAACCCATGTTTTCCTATCCTTAATATCTGACCATCGCCAAGCATTAACTCCTTTTGGGGCAGTGATAGTTCCCTGAAGCTGCAGAGCCAGGCAATACATATATTGAACATTATATATAGTCAGACAATAAATGGAGCAATTGAACGGTTACGCATAAGCATAATGGAAGCCTTGATATAAATTAAAATTCATATATACTATATCATATGAGAGGTGGGAAAGAAACCCATATGATAGATTGATTAATTCATGACTTTTATATAAGCATTAGCTGAATTTATTATCAAGGCATATAAATCAATAGACAATATACATACACAGTCACGCATGTTTCCTAGCTCATGTACGTACTTACTCTAAGTAATTCATCTGTAATTTACCTCTATATTAATGGTTGCAGGTTTGCAAGGACCTTGGAACGACACAGGTTGCAACAGGAATGTTTGTGCTTTCGGTATGAGAAGTGTTGCGGCTCCCTGATTTGCACCACACACTTCTTGCCATGCTTTCAGAAAAGCCTTTACAATTAATGTAGCCAAATAGTTAAAAATAGCATCAGATATGAGAAACTTAGCCTCATCTAACACACACACATATTATGAAACCAGGAAAAACATACTTGTGAGTCATCAGTTTGGCCATCCCCCTTGGCGCCATAGGTAACAACATTGGAGATAGCAGATACATCAACAAGGCTTACTCTAGCACACAAGCTAGGTGAAGTTATAACCAAGATTACAAGGACAACAAATAGGCTTTTCATCTTTGATAATAAAAAAAGACACTAATACTACTATAGTGATCAAATCTAAATGCAGCTAGAAGGTGCCTGTGAAGTGCAAAGAGGACGAAGGATTTCAATTTATAGATTGTAGGAGCACACTACTGATGGAGGTATAATTTGCAAAATATTAATTATGATATTAATTACTGTTTTCGTTTTAAATAAGAGTCGTAAGGTCAAAAACAGTAATATTTATAATTTTTTCTGACGAGGAATTTACAGATTATTCATGTCCTCGTTAAAAAATGTATTTCAAGCACAGAGTTTCCTCTTTTATAGATGATACGATTCACTAACTCATTATTGTAGCTTTGTTACCCATTAAATATAATCATATATCAGTTATATATTTGTTCGAAGTAAATTTCTTGATGAAGTATCCTCTATTTTTACCCAAAGATGTAATTATATCAAAAAAGTGCAGCGTTTAGTTAGATAATATGTAAAAATAACTAGTAAAATTATTAATTAGCTAGTACTAATGAGATATAAAGAAAAAAGAATACATGAAAATTTAAAATGCGTTTGGTAAGGCAAATAAGTTAACTCTAATTTATTTGACTTATTCGAAAAATTTTATTTGACGGAATCATGGTTTAAGCAGTACGTATATTTTAATAGCTTATGATATTTTTGTAACATTTTTAAAATTTATTTTATGTAGCGTTTGAACTTACAAACTCTTCATTTATTTTTTTATTTTTTCTTTATTATCTTAATATATTTTGTCTCTTTATCATGCTTCTCTTGTACACACTTTTTATCACATTTTTTAGACTCTTTATAATATAAATTTATTACAGTTATAGTATAAATCTATTTATATTATATCATTTAATTACTATAATTTTAAAACTAATATATCAATAAATTATTTAAAATTAATGTAATTACTATAATTTTTAACTTAATGTAAAGTAATTAAATATATGCTTTGGTGTGTGTTTACATTTATTAGTCATTTCAACAATTAATTTTATTAAATAATTTTAAGTCAATTCAATAATGTATTAAATTTTAACTTTTTATTATTTTATTTACTAATTTTGGACAAATACACGCTAAAGTATTAATGATAAAAAAAAATTAATCTAAAGCATTTGAGTTTATTCCATATATATTATATATAATAGTGTAATTCTATCCTTATATTTATTTAAAAAAATTCTACAAATGAACTCGAATAAATGAAAAAATAATAAAAATTTTAAATCCAAAATTGTCCACCGTCCAATTTGGTATATTCTCAAATGGATAAAAAAATTCAAAATATTCTCGATTAAATTTAATTAATCTCATATTTGCGAATTCAAATATCATATTTCTTAACTATTTGCATTTAGTTCTTCTATGAGTATCATAAAATTAATTTCATTAAATACATTAATACGATAAGTTTAGCAAAAACTTTAATTTCCTTTGACTTCAATTTTGAAACCTAACTAGAACATCTTGTAAATACATATTATACGAAAAATTTTTGTGAAAATGAAAATAAATGAATTAACATTAACACTTAAAAATTTTATTTAATTAATATATCTTTTGTAACAATAAAAATAAATTAAAAACAAATTATATTGTAAAAAATGTTAACTTTAAAAGTTTGATATAGTTTTTTATTTTAATGATAACTTATAAATATATTATTAGATTTAATATTGACTTTGGAAATTGAAGACAGTGAAAATTTCATTGAATTACATAATTAATTAAGATAAAATAATATTTTGATTTAATATGATAAGTCAAGAAAAATGTCATAATATAAAAAAGAAAAACGTAATTTAGGATACACTTAGGAATGATGTTTAATTTATTAAATAATTTTTTAAAATATATTTAATGTCATGAAAGCATATATATATATATATATATATATATATTATTTAATTTTTATTAATAACTAAAAATATCATCAAGTATTTTTTTTACTACTTGATTTTAATATTAAGAGGTAGATATAAAGGCACTACACTTTTAAGAAAACAATAATAAATTAAAATGAAAGTAATTTCACCAAGTTGATAGTTTATGTAACTTCAGTATATATACCCATCCAATCTTATATTATAAATTGAGACATATTTCTTTAATAAGTATACTTTCAACAATTATTTTATGTTTATTCAGTTATATATTTATTTTATCTTAAAATTTTAATTTATTATTTATATTTTTTCACGTATTATTTACCATTTTAATTTAATTTAACCTTTCAATAGCAATACATTATTTATCAGTTATTATTATTTAATTTTTTTTGCAGACCAAAATAATAATTATTATTATTATTGTTATATGTCTTAATTTCAAATTTTATTTGTGAATTTTTATAAATGGTACATATACTATTAAATTAAAATGTAGAATAAAATTATATTACATGATGTTTAAAAAATATTATAAATTTTATAAATTAAAAATACTTTTTTACTATTAATAATAAATATTTTTATATTACAATAGACAAAATTAATGTAATAAAATTTGGATGTTAAAAAATTATGAAATCAAATTTAAACTGAGATTGATTCATACTAAAATTTAAAATAATAAACTATTATTATTCACTATAAAAATATTTACTGTTTTCTTAATTTCTATTTTTATTCATAAATTTTATCTGTATATTTAAAAATTCCAAACAATGCATAAAAAAAACTTGTTAATTATCCATATTATATATAAAAGCAAGCTTCTGTTTCCAATTTGAAATTGTAATTTTTATTTTATTTTAACTCCTATTTTATGCACCTCATAACATTTGTTTCTCAAAATATATTTCATTTAATTATTATGCATATAAGTAAATATACTTAATACAATAATACTATAATTATGTCTAGCATTTGAATATGCTTAGAATTTGTTCTTTTATGCACATGTATATACTACACAAAAGAAATTTATTTTCACAATTCTCATTTTTAAAATCCACGCTCCTTAATTTTTTTTTATTTTTAAAAGAGAGTTTAATACATTTTAAAAATTTATTCCCAGAAATATTATTTATAAATTATTTGCAACATAATTTGTAGAAGTCCATGGCTAGGTGGAGAGGCCCGGTTAAGAGGAATTACTTGGTTGATTTTTACATTTTTTTTTGTGTGTCTAGAACATAGTATTCTATGATAAAAGCAATGATAAATTTATTTTTAAAAATAATAATAAAATATAATTTATGAATTAAATCATGTTAAAGGATTAAATATTATAATTTTTAAATATATAATTACACAAATATGTGTGAGAATATGGTTTTTTAAAAAAGTTCATATATTTTTTAAAATTTGATTTAATATTATTTATATTAAATTAAATTAAATGGGTTTATTAGGTTTATTTATTTATTTATTATTTTGAAAAAATTATAATTTCTCTTTCTCAGATTTTTTTTTTGTCATGTATTACAAGTCTTCTCATTGCGTATGTCAGAATTTTTTCTTTTTTGAAGAAAAGTAAATTTTCCATTAAAAAAAAAATGTGAAGCTACGTTTAAAAAGAATAGCAGTCTCACTATCTACAAAACGAGACTTGTGAAATTTTGTCACATGTATTATTTATTTTAATTTGAAATTATTTTTAATTATTTTTTATTAAATTATTCATTATTTTTAATTTAATTAAATAAAATATGTAACAAAATTATTAATTGTTAATTTTTTAATTAAATATAATTTTATTTTACTTAAAATTTATTTGCACCAGTCTTTCACAATTGATATTTGTTCAATTAATTTATAAAAATGCAACATGTGTGATATTGTCATTATTGTACGTTGGAATGATAAAATTTACAAAAAAAATGAAGAAGTGACTTTTAAGGAATATAAAAACGTGATTTAAATAAAAAAAGGAGTTAAGTTTGAAAGCATTAAAAAAATCATGTATAAACGTAATTTTAATTATGTTCGTGTTACTTTTATATTAATTTCATACATTTTTTATTAATGCAAGAGTGGTAAATAATACATTGCTTCAGAGATGTATAATAATAAAAACATTAATCACAACATGATAAGTGTATATTAACACTAACTTGATAGAATTGTTATATATCGATATGGCTTATAGTGACAATTTTTTATTCTCCTTTTATTTATTGGACCTAAATTTATTACTTTTACGTATAAATGATACAATTATAATTAATTTTGTAAGTAAACAAGGTACACTTTATATTTTATAATTTTTTAATTTATTTTGTGTTAGTATAATTAAAATATAACATTTTGTTAAAATAAAAGAAATTAAATAAGGTACACTTTATGCGTTGGTAGTAAGATCTAAATCATTTGTAATTTTAGTGTCACTTGCAACCTATCATCTAAATTTGTTTAAGTAAATTTGATAAAAAAAAAATTGTTTAAGACAAAAATTTTACTTAAGCTAAAATAGTAAAAAATTTCATAACTTCATATTCCTTTTCTTGAAAATACAAAAAATTTAAAAAATATTTTTCATAAATAACTACTTAGCTATTAAAGATATTTACATATATTATCTCATTAAATATTTTAATATATTATTTAGTGAGTCAGTTAAGTATTAATGAGGTGTTACTATTTAAATGAAGTTAAATTATTAAGAATAATGATAAAAATTATATAAATAATTTTTTTAAAAAATTGATTAAGAAATAACTATTACAATATTATATGATATGGGATCCTTATTTGATGAGTCTTTCTTGTAATAAAATTGAGAAACTTATAATTTGTACATTAAAAACTGTTATTTATTTTGTAAAGAAACTATATGAAAATGAAGTTATTTATGACTAGCAATAAAATGAATATAAAGTGTAATTATAAAATCTTGCATAAAGATTTTTTAAATTTTTCATAGTTTAAAAAAAAATAATTTTTTTTATAATTTTAGAAAACTACTGGTTCATTAAATTTACTTAAATGATTTTTTTTTACTTTAAGTAAATTTAGACAGTAAATATTTGTAGTTGTTGGCATCAAAACTGCATAAAATTCCTATAATTAACAATGTCATGTATCACTATTTTACCAAGTTTTGGCACTCACTTGCTAAAATAGTGTCGTATATAGCCATTCTTAATCTCATTTGTTCCAAGTTTAAAATTTTACTATTTAAAAAAAAAAGAAAAAGTCTCATCATCCAACGACGAGAATTGTAACGACATGTTAAAAAAATATATGAAGATTATTTTAAAATATTTATATTTAATAAATAGATTGTGGAAGGGTGATCCTTGAACCTTGACTTGTATTGCGGGGACAGCCGTTAAGTTTTGAATGAAGAGTAAAGCGTGGGGGCCCCACAGGAAGGAAGATTCCATAGAGCAATTGGATTGGATAGTCCAAGTTCAACACATTCAAATTCACTCAACAGAGAATGGTGAGAATAGAGAGAACAAGTAAAAGTCAACCGAGGTTGAGGGTGATACTTACGTAGGAGGGAAATTGGACTTGGAAGCGCGTTCGCAATCGCAGGAATAGGAAATGGAAGGATCAGGATCAGGATCGGGATCAGGTCCGGCACCGTTCCTGTTGAAGACGTACGAGATGGTGGATGATTCATCGACGGAGGAGATTGTGTCATGGAGCTCCACCAACGACTCCTTCATCGTTTGGAATCCCTCCGATTTCTCTCGCCTTCTTCTTCCCACCTTTTTCAAGCACAACAACTTCTCCAGCTTCATCCGTCAGCTTAATACCTATGTATCTCTTCTTTTTCATTGCCTTTTTTTTTTTAGTTTAAGCCCAGGCCCAGGCCCAGGCCCACCCACTCCCTCTTTTCTTCTCTTTTTATGTTTTCATGCCTTTCCTACTTGTAACTCTTGCTTCTGTGATTGTGCTGAATTCTTTTTTAGTTTGAAACACAACCACCATTGATTGTGTTTAGCTCTGTCACTTCTCCCTAATTTAACTAAACATGTCGGCTTATTTGGATTGATTATGATGTCAGGGATTTCGAAAAGTGCACCCTGAGAGATGGGAGTTTGCTAATGAAGATTTTGTGAAAGATCAAAAGCATCGTCTTAAGAATATTCATCGCAGGAAACCTATTCACAGTCACACTCATCCTCCGGGTTCTGTTGTGGATCCTGAAAGGTCCGCATTTGAGGAACAAATTGAAAAACTTTCACACCACAAAACTACTATTGAATCCAATATATTTCGCTTCAAACAACACCATTCAGCTGCAAAGGGTCATCTTGAAGATCTACGCCAACGATTAGATGCTATGGAGAAGAGGCAGAAATATTTGCTCAACTTCTTTGAAAAAGCGCTTCAGAATCCTACTTTTGTTGAACGAATTTCTCGTAAGATTGAGTCCATGGATTTGTTGGCATATAACAAGAAAAGGCGATTGCCTCAACTTGATGATCATCACTTGCAACCTGTTTCTGACAGTAATGGAATGGAATTTAGAAATATTTCTCATCAGGATTTCACCAATAAACTCACACTGGAATTGTCACCAACTCCAACTGTTTCTGATATAAACTTGGTCTCATGTAGCACACACAGTTCAAATGAAGATGGAGAAAGCCCACATAAGATGCTATCTGAAGGAGAGCCAATACAACTGCATACTACAACATTTGCACCTGAAACAGCAATAGAGCTTGCAGAAGAAAATGGAGCATCTTTTACTTTTATAGATTCATGTTTATCACGAGCAGCAACAGCTACTGAGTGCCCCAAAGCAAACTCATTGGAACCGAATTGTGAAGAAGATGACAGTTATATATCCTGCCTTTTAAATCTAACTCTGGCATCTTCTCCATTACAAGTGAAGAGAAATTCATGCCCAGATAGATCACCCCACATAGACTGTCAAGAAATTGTTGGCAAATTGGCAGAATCAAAATTTTGTGCCAATGATGATAAAGATTCTGATGTTGGAGCTTCTTCAAGCAGAAATCTGACAAACGAGGTTACTAATTTAGCTTCCTCACATGAAACTCCTACTCCTAGTAACAACCAAGGGACCCCATCTGCTCCAGTTAGAGTAAATGATGTGTTCTGGGAACAGTTCCTTACTGAAAGACCAGGATGTTCGGACAATGAAGAGCCTATGCCGAACTACAAAGCAAATGCATATGCTGAGCAAGATGAAGGGCGATCACTTTGTGGAATCTCTGGAAACGTTGTGAATATGGATCATCTCACACTCTGAGCATCTTGTCTTGGACCCCCACTAGTTTTATTAATGGTATGCGAGATTTGTATGATAAACATACTATAATTTGAAAATTGTGTAAAATATTATGCCTATTTTGTGTAAAATGTGGATAGTACGTGTTTGCCTTGGGCACTGAATCACAGATGTATGTATATAAGGTACTAATTAGCTACTTGGGGAGTTTTTATAGATATCAATGTTTTCAATGGTTTTCATGGATATTAATTTGCTTCTCTGTGAAAAATTGCGTGGCTTTTGAATGGAGTGGAAGGTGGCGGAATGCATACTTGTTCTACATGTTGATTGCCACTCTAAGTAAAGTGAAGTGCGATGTGACCCTCATCACTGCACTGAATCTCTTTTCACATTTATCTTCTGAACTGAAAAAAAACAAATACATTCTCACTTTATTCTATTGTTTCTCATTTCAATTTCAATTATAAATCATCTGTCATAATATGATGGAAAGTTTTGGTGACATCAGCAACCGATACATCTTCTAACTGGAGCACGGTATAAATGAACAGAATGCAATGCATGATGCTATTTTGATCGCAATTGCACTCATTGTTAAGTTGATTAAGACTGCTGAGCACAATAATGAAGATCTTAGGCCATTATATATCTGAAGAAGCTGAAAAACAGTTATTTGTTACCTTCTTCTAACCATATAACACCATTATTGGTAGAAGCTGAAAAATACTCTCACGAGCGTGGAAACGTACGCACGTGACACGTCTAAGGCTGGAGGATGCAAAAGCAAAACATATACGATTAAAAACTGATTTATGAATTTTGACAAATAAACACAACCTAAATTGAAAAATACAATTAAATAAGAGAAGTGACCAAACAAAATTAAAAAAGGAAATACAATTGCTCTTGTGCTTGTTCAGTTGGCTTGCTTCATTTTCACTTCTTCTTGCTATTCTTTTTGTCGACATATTGATTAGGAAGAGGGTAGATCTGGCACGATAAAAAGAAAAGAGGGTCTATTGTACTTTTTGTCTTTTTTTTCTTGTTTATAACTCTGAATTTTGTTATATATTCAGTCAGATGTTTGGTTGATCTTAGCTATTTCAATTTAACTTTATCTATTTCTTATTCTTTCTCTGTTCCACCTTTTTTGTATATTTCAGTTTTCTGTGTAGCCTTTTCGAAGCAGTGAAATTGTCGTTTTTCTCCCCTGTGAGAATCCTAACATCCTCTCTTGTTGTCCTCAATATTTTTTTCGGTACTTTGTGTTCAATAATTTAGTCTACATATCTGTTTTATTTTATTTAGGCGTCTTTTGTTTTGTCCTTATTTAAATGTATGGATTTTATTTTTGGTGGGGTGGTTTTGAGTCATAAAATGGCTTTTCATATGAAGTTTTTTTTTTTACTAAAGCAAATAAAATTCACTTTAATTATTTCTATATTTTAATGGAAGAAAAATCAAATTTTGATTATGATTTGAGAGATGGTTCTAATATGCCAAAAAAAAAATAGTTTTATTTCTATTGCGTTGTTGATACATTAAGTATTCAAATATATTCGAAATGGATGAAATATAATTTGCAACACATATGATGGTCTCTAAATATATAGGCAATTAAGATTAAATATTTTATTTTAAAATATCAACTTTATAGGTTCTTAAAAATATGAGTTAATATTTCTTAATAATTGTGTAAATAACATTATTCTATTTACCCTGTTCACGTGCATAACTAATTTACTTCCTTCTTGTCTCTTTTGAGTTCTGTTCTATAATAAGCAATACCTTACTTATCGATGCTATGATTCCTATAGGAGGAAGGGAGGTGTTTTAAAATATCATAAACTACTTTTCTACATTTTAACCTGTATTATTATCGATTACAAAAAATTAAGAAAAAAGATACATCAGAAGAAAAAAATTATCGAAAAAAATTTTAAAATGGAAATTTGTCGGCAATTATGATAATTTGCTGGCAAAATGAAAAAAAATAAATATGGGCAAGAGAATAAACAGTATGAAAAAATAATTCACGAGGAAAGATTCATTAATCAAATGACTAATCAATAAGAATACTAAGGACTAAAAATAATTAACCAAATTCACTAACTGTATACTAATTCTCGAATGTAATCATTTCTCTTATTCTGGGTTGCTGACAGTAATGATGGCACTAATACATAGTTGACTAGTTGTAACATCTGGCATGTCCTATGCCCAATTTATGACCCTCCAACAACCAGGCATCTCACTTTCACTAACCCAACATCAAACTGAAAACTAGAAACCTCCAAACACAACAATGTCCCAACCCAGATTCATTTTCATGATCTTCTTCTGTCTGGCACTTGTTCTGTTTCACACCCATTTTCCAGTCTGCAATGGCCTATCATTTGTGGACATCAATTTGTTGAAACACAATGAAATGGATGTGATGACCAAAAGGGTTTGCACCAGGAGCATTGGAGAGTGCTTGACTGAGCCTGAGATGGATTCAGAGACCAACAGAAGAGTTCTGGTAATGCAGAAAAAGTACATTAGCTATGAGACCCTTAAGAGGGACATGGTTCCTTGTGATAGAGCTGGAGCTTCTTACTACAATTGTCATGCAACACAAGCAAATCCTTATCGAAGAGGCTGTGAGGTAATTACTGCATGTAGAGGTGCTCAAGGCACAAACACTTGATAGATTAGAGTCATAACAACGGATGAAGGAAAGAGACCCTGTGGCTGTGCGTTATTCTCCCTCGTTAGTCCCTCATTCTCTTTTGCCCTTTTTTTTTTCCATCCAATCCTCTTTTGTTTTGCTTATGAGCTTTCCTCTGTAGTTAAGATCATGATTTTAAATGCTTTCTATTTTATTCTTAAACATATATGACCAGCGTATCTATTAAAATATCTAATTTTCTTTGCAAGCAAATATGACTGCAGATGTGACATTTTATCTTGGCATTATGATGCCTATTTGTTACACAAATGTAAGGTTGATAGAAATTTGGGGTTACTATTTCAATTTCATGATATTGTGTTGTTAGAAAGTAAGGGTAAGTCTAGAAAAATAAAACGATATCCTTTTTAGCAAAAGAGTAAAAAAAATGTTCATACAACAACTTACTGTAGAAATTAGTTGCAACGTTTAACTTTTTCTTGAAATTGTCTTGAAAACCTTTCATTATTAGGATATAAAAATGTAAAAAATGATAAATATTTTCCCAGAAGCCAGATTTGTTTCTTATGTTTTCTTGAAGTTTTCTTGTCAAGAGGAAATCAAGTTTTAGAGAGGATATTCTATCTGAATGAGGCAATGGAAAACTACTTATATTTGATTTAATACGAGGCTCTTCATAATGAGACAAATGAGACAAACCGTTTATTGCACAAGATAGCTCCTAATCCTAATATACCAGATTTTAATTGCAAGGGAAGAAAGTTGATTCCTTCATTTGGGTGTAGACAAAACAAGAACTGAAAAAATATGAACTGCAAAACCACCTTATTTAAAACAATCTCTTATTGCTTGTTTCCATTTTGCCATGATCTAATTTAGGTGATTGAGTACTGTTGTGGGATCTTGTGTTTGTATTTCCCAATTCCTGCTGGTCCTACACTTCTACTGTTCTTTTTTTCTTCAATGTTCCTATAGCAAAATTTTGTGGATCAAACGCAAGCCCTGGTACCATGTCTTACAGTTCAACAAAGAACTATACTAATCTTTGTTCACCTAATAGCCCCGGCAGTTTGAATATTTAACCTAGTTATATTGCTTAAATTTGAAGCCTAACCCCAGATAGGAATGTGAATCCAAAGTGAAAAGCACATTTAATCCACGACGAAACCTTTCAGTTGTGTGATAAGAAAGTCTGTAATTCCATACTATTTGTGACTTACGAGTTTTAATTGTATATAGAGCCTTAGCATATGTGTAATTGACTGCATCTAGTAATCTCTTGAACCGTAATTGGATCTCGGCTTACCTTAGCTCTGGTCCTGAGAGTGAAATTTTAGACCAGTGTCTGGAATAAGATTTTGATAAAATCAACTTAATGAAAAAAGATATCTTGTGATATAAAATCTGTACAGTAATATGATCTTATGCGATATCAATGGTTTTAAAGATGAAGTTTGTGTGTTAAATACTAAAACACTGCACCAGTCTGTCTGCTAGCTTTTGTCACTTTAGCACCATGTTGCATAGCCCTTTGTAAACGTTTAATCTAGTACTGCTTTTGAGCTTCCTGATAAGGTAAGCAAAGAAGGTGCTACTTTCCATTCCCTTCTGGATGAGTGGCTTGGATCTTTTGTCATTATCGTTGTAGGTTGACTGTTGAGAAAATGAAAAACCATTTCTTACGCATACATATTTGGTGATAAATGTCTGTCTTCTTGTTTGATCAAATCTTGTTCATAACTTTAGATGTGACTTGTTCCATAGTATATGTTATTCCATTATTCTTTTTAACTTTTTTTTTTTTTTTCAATATGTTACTTTAACTGATTCTTTTTCCTTGAGTATAAAGACACTTTTCTCCCGTCCCTTAACCGCATCACTTCAATGTTGTAGTGTTCTATAACAGTGTGACATCCCTTCTGGAAGTAGAAGGATCAATTCCTTCTTTCATCTTGATAGCAATTCCATCCATGTAGCTTATACAATTTCTTTTTCCGATGTCATAAAGGTGGATGATATTTCTAGTTGCTAGATTCAGAATAATCATTAGAACAGTACTTGGACTAAGAGAATGTGATATAATGTTAATGAAATTGACAAATATACATGGTTGTGGTAAAAAAAAAAATGGTATGTCTTTTATCACCATTTTTATATCAGATTTTGTCTCTGTCGCATTATAATATCCACTTTTTGCCTATATGTGTTTGTATTGTAATATGTTGTTCATTGTTGATTGTTTTAAAGGGTAACATTCATGCAAATGGTTAAAAAGGCGGGGGAGGGTGGGGGGGGACCATTTTTTTTTCACTTGAGGTGGTAAAAGTTTGCCTGAAATGATATTAACTTGGGTCAAACTTGGAAAGATGTTGGACAAGTTATAAAAATTACTCAACTCTATCTTCCCTGTGTTATATTTAGTAACTTATGGGATTTTCATGGGACCATAGTTCCAACTTTACTTATACGTATAAAGGCATCCCATGTCGCATTATTAATATGAAAGTGAAATTTGTGGAGCATTAGAACAGAAGTGGTTAGTGAATAGTGATAATGCTTGACTTCCAAACTGGCTATTTATGCTTTTCTTTTCCTCCATGTTAGTCTGAAAACGTAGATTTTGGTTACTACTCCAATTTCGAAGGAGAAACGTGTTGGGTGGAGCGCATTGAAGCTTCTAATGGCACTTGTGATGGTAACTTTGATTTATTGCATATTGAATATTGATAATGGTAGGCGCCACTTTTTATTTATTTTGGGTCAAATGGAACCACTTATCCAAGTGAAGTGACTATAGAAAAAGGGGCTAATGGGCTATGTATTGGTGCTCTTGCTGGATCCAATATGAAACATAATTTTTCGTATTGTCAACATTGAACAGGACCCAACTACCCACCTCAGCAACAACTGAAACTTTAGTTTGGAATACAATTTTTATGTATAAAGAAATGAGGATGGTTATGATTAAATCTATGAGGAGTGGGTTTGGTGTACTTAACACAAAGATAGAGTGGTACCGTTGAACGCAAAATTATCTGTGTCTTTGACCGAAAAAATAAAATTATCTGTGTCTGGAAGGAAGTCCGAAACCAAAGATACATACCATTTTGATGTAATTCACTGTTTCTTATACTAACTTTTAAAAATAACAAATAGAATCGTATTTTTATAATTAAAAGTGAAAATAATTGTTTTCAAAATCTGTTGCGTGTGCTATGCTCCTCCTACGTTCAACCCCACCAGCCTCTATACCTACCCGTTTACTTCGGAGTTACGAGTATTACTTCACTTACGTTTTTCCTATTATTTTAGTATCTCGGTCAGTTGTGAAGAAAGTCACTATGCCTCTTCAAATTCTGATTTTTAAACTTTTTTTATGCACATCTTATACTTTTGTCTCCATTTCGCTTTTTTTCATCAAATTTATTGTTTTATAATTTCACCATATATCTCTTTTATCTTCTAATGTGTAAACACTCAAGGGATACAGTTTTTTTATTATTATTTTTACATTTATTTACTATTTCTTTGCTTTTACTACTTTCGAATATGTAACATACAACTTGATAAAATACAAGAAAAAAAAAATGTGACACACTCTTAGAAAGGTTGAAAAACAGTGAGGCCGTGAAATAAAGTTCAATCAACATGATCAAAACGCAACTCGTACACTAGTACTTTTCAGGATCAGCATCAGCATCAGCAGTTCAGGGATGACTTTCCATCCCTATGACATGAGCAAGATTGCAATTTTGAGGTATATCATATATGAAGGCAAATATTAATGACAGTTCATTTTAATCTTCTTACTGAGAAGGGCTTTGGTCAAATTATTATTCAATATTGAATCTGATTTGACTGATACCATATCATTATGCGAGGGAGACTCCTCTCTCCTATCTGCCAACCATTCCGGGTTCGTCTCGAGGACGTTCCAATTCATCAAATAATATTTTTACGAGTTTTTGGTCACAACATAGTAAAAAATAAGGGAATAAAAAAGCAGCAGGGACTCTTACACAATTGGATGTATAAAAAAAGATGTTTTTGGTCTTTAAATTGGATGGGTCCACCTTGTAAGAGTCAAGAGTTTTTTTTTATCTCGTAAATACCATAGTGCATGTGTTTTGGTTTGTACGTCCTACTCCTCATATAAATAGAATACTAAACTAGGTTTTTGTAGAATAGTCACATCTGAAAAACGATGGGAATCAGTCTATTTTTCCTCACCCGTAAATCTTGAAACCGTATATCTATTTTTTTTAGCATAAAGATTTATAGATATCAGCAAATAAAATTTGACGGTTTACTTGTATAAAATTAGATGTGAAATCATTTTATTTTATTTTGTTTTCATATATATATATATATATATATGAAAGATTGAAAGAAACAAATACTATAGCCGCTAAATCATAACCCACACATTTGTTCTTATTTAAACCCATTTGGTCTCATTTCATGGAGCGACCAACGGGTATTCTTTCTCTTACCCTTCAACCCAAGGGAATTGAGATCCTACGAATATAATAAAAAAAAACCCTCCCATTCTACGACTAATACGAAAAAAGCAATGAGAAAATTCCAAACCAAAAGGTAATGGAAAGAATAAAGGGTATGATAGAATAATATTTTCTTCCTTCACCCGGAACACGAGGAATCCTTTGATGAGCTCAATACCTGTAATGAGCAGGTTTGTATGGACCCTCAACGGGCACACTGATGTAATCTGCCTGGTCTTTGCTAAGCTTGGTGAGCCTGGCTCCAAGCTTGCCAAGGTGAAGAGCAGCGACTTTCTCATCAAGGTGTTTGGGCAACACATAAACCTTCTTCTCATACTTGCCAGAACTCTTCTCTTTCCATAGCTCAATCTGAGCAATGACCTGATTGGTGAAGGAGCAAGACATCACAAAGCTGGGGTGCCCAGTTGCACATCCCAAGTTCATCAAACGACCCTCAGCCAACACAATGATGCCAGTGTTGGTATCAGGGAAAACCCATCTATCTGTTTGAGGCTTAATATTGGTGCGCTTAACGCCAGGGTAGTTCTCAAGGCCAAGCATGTCGATTTCATTGTCGAAGTGACCAATGTTGCACACGATGGCATTGTTCTTCATTTTCCTCATGTGTTGAACCATGATAATGTCCTTGTTACCTGTGGTGGTAACGAAGATGTCAGCCTCGGAGAGAACATCCTCGAGTGTGAGAACCTGAAGACCTTCCATGAGAGCTTGAAGGGCACAAATGGGATCAATCTCTGTGACAATGACACGAGCACCAGCCTGCTTCAATGCGGCGGCACAACCCTTCCCAACATCTCCATATCCACACACCACCGCTACCTTTCCGGCAATCATCACATCAGTGGCCCTCATCAATCCATCGGGGAGAGAGTGACGGCACCCATACAAGTTATCAAACTGTCATCGCACAACAAACACACCCATTCCAGTTATTCACAACAAATCTTGTTTACTTTATATTAATAACCTAATTCACTAATGTCTTAAAAAAACACACGTTAAAAGTATGTCGAAAGATTCATGCACCTTAATGTCTTATTAAATCTTATAAGATACTTTGATGACATAAAATATTATAATTTTTAATTAAAAAATATTACTTTAGAACAAAATTTAAGAAGGTCGTAAATAATTTACTTAATAGACAAAAATTAACAAAACATCAAACAGTTGGTACGTTAGAATATTGATTTAAAAGCTAAAAAAGCAAGAGGTTACGAGGGAAGAGACCCACCTTGCTCTTGGTGACGGAGTCGTTGACATTGATGGCGGGGAACAAGAGGGTGCCATTGGCCTGCATCTGGTAAAGCCTCTTGACGCCGGTGGTGGTCTCTTCGGAGACGCCGACGAGCCTCTCCTTCATCTTGTGGTACCTCTTGGGATCGGTCTTCAAGCCATCTCTGATGATGGTGAGCACGATCTGGAACTCCGCATTGTCGGTGGAATTGGGATCGGGGACCTGCCCGGTCTTCTCGAAAGCCTCTTCGGCCTTAACGCCCTCGTGGATGAGGAGGGTGGCGTCACCGCCGTCGTCGACGATGAGATCGGGGCCACCGTCGGGGCCCCAGTCGAGGGAACGCTCGGTGCACCACCAATACTCCTGGAGAGTCTCGCCCTTCCAGGCGAAGACGGCGGCGCTGTCGCGGGCAATGGCGGAGGCGGCATGGTCCTGAGTGGAGAAAATGTTGCAAGAGCACCATCGAACTTCGGCGCCGAGAGCGGTGAGGGTTTCGATGAGAACGGCGGTTTGAATGGTCATGTGGAGTGAGCCCGTAATCTTAGCCCCCTTAAAGGGCTGTGATGGGCCGTACTCGGCCCGGCAGGCAATTAGGCCCGGCATTTCAACCTCTGCAAGCTCTATCTCGAGGCGACCAAAATCGGCCTGAGACATGTCCTTCACTTTGTATTCCCTTCCACTCTTTGTTTTGTCGACAAGCAATGCCATTTTTTCGTTTTCGATTTATGAGAATGAAATCAAAGTGTTTTGAGAGAATTGGAGCGTTTGCGTTTGTTTAAATAGGTTTCAATGCCACTCATCAACGATCCCCATTCATTCCTCTTTGCGGTTGGAAAGATTATGACACGAAGATTTGCATCTTACAGTAATTGTGTTTTGTTCGTATCCACAAGTGAAGGCTTCACAGTCAACAACCTCCGATCGTGACTGCGGGGTTGGTGGGTCTCACATTGACAAAATATTCATGGAGCTCCAGGCCCACCACCCAAACCCATAGGCCCAAAATAAAAAAAAAGAAGCTTATTTCATCTATTAACAACTAAAAAAATTAAAAGAAAAACGAATGGTAAATTTACTTTCTTAGCCCATGTCCCCTGGTTGTTGGAATAGTATGTCTCAATTAATTCCATGACACATAGGAATTTATTGAATAAAAGGGATATTTGCATTCTATCAAGTATTCTTAATGAGACTTAAATATTATTAAATAATGAATTATAAAAGATTGTTCAAAAATTACAAAATCTTTTAAGTTCATGAGTCAGTAGGGAAGAAAAGCGTGAGCATGAATGGCAGTGGGGTTGGTGAGAATAAATTGAGTATATGACCCTCACCAACCCACGAGAGAGAGAAGCTACCCACCGTTTCGAATTACACTCCAAAAACCAACAAACCTTTTCAACACGTGGATTATTGTCTTTCATTCATTTATTTATTTAATTACGACACATATCATCAAAGTCCAAATATCAGCACTATTATTTTGTTTGTTTTGGAAAAAGAAAATAATGACCAGTTAATATTTTGTTCAGATATATAATTTAGTTAAATGCTTATTTAATAAACACAAAAATTTATGTTAAAAATTATAAAATCTATTTTTGAAAAATATTTAGAAACTCTTTTGACACGCATTGAACAAAAAGACATCGACAAAGGGTAAAATGGTAAATTACATATGGGTGGCAAGTGCTTTTTAAGGGGCAGGCAGCGGTGGAACTGAAGTGGTCGAACTGAGTCACTGCTCATTCTATTCTCTGTTCTTTCAGTGTTTCTGTAGCGTTTAAGCATAGGAATAAGAATAGGAATGGATCCAGTGACCGAGTGGGGGAACGCGCCGTTGGTTACGGTGGATCCAGAAATCCACGACCTGATAGAGAAGGAGAAGCGTCGTCAATGCAGGGGAATAGAGCTCATAGCATCGGAGAATTTCACCTCCTTCGCCGTCATAGAAGCACTGGGGAGTGCTCTTACCAACAAGTACTCCGAGGGAATGCCCGGAAAGCGCTACTACGGCGGCAACGAATTCATCGACGAGATCGAAAACCTGTGCCGTGCACGCGCCCTACAGGCCTTCCACCTCGACCCCGCCAAATGGGGCGTCAACGTCCAACCCTACTCCGGTTCTCCGGCAAACTTCGCCGCTTACACGGCGGTGCTTCAGCCCCACGACCGCATCATGGGACTGGATCTTCCCTCCGGCGGGCATCTCACACACGGGTACTACACCTCCGGCGGGAAGAAGATATCGGCGACCTCGATTTACTTCGAGAGTTTGCCTTACAAGGTGAATACTTCGACGGGATTCATCGACTATGACAGGTTGGAAGAGAAGGCCTTGGATTTCAGGCCCAAGTTGATAATCTGTGGTGGCAGTGCTTACCCTAGGGATTGGGACTATGCAAGGTTCAGAGAAGTTGCTGATAAGTGCGGTGCTCTCTTGCTTTGTGATATGGCCCACATCAGTGGTCTTGTTGCTGCTCAGGTATTCTTCTTCTTATTACTTGTAGCGTTATAATGAATTCACTTTTGAAGTCAATCCAAACATGCCATAACTGTCTCTCTCTGGATCACTGGATCTGCATTGTTTGTTGAATGAATGAATGATGGATGGTGCAGGAAGCTAATAACCCTTTCGAGTACTGTGACATTGTGACGACAACGACCCACAAGAGCTTGAGGGGTCCTCGGGCGGGTATGATCTTCTACAGGAAGGGACCTAAGCCACCCAAGAAGGGGCAGCCTGAGAATGTTGTCTATGATTTTGAAGACAAAATCAACTCTTCTGTGTTTCCCGCCCTTCAGGGTGGTCCTCACAATCACCAGATTGGGGCTCTTGCTGTGGCATTGAAGCAGGCGATGACCCCAGGATTCAAGGCATATGCCAAGCAAGTTAAGGCCAATGCAGCTGCACTTGGAAATTACTTGATGAGCAAAGGATACAGTCTTGTTACCGGAGGAACCGAGAACCATCTTGTCTTGTGGGATCTACGCCCCCTTGGTTTGACTGGTAATAAGGTGGAGAAACTCTGTGATCTCTGTAACATTACTGTCAACAAAAATGCTGTTTTTGGTGACAGCAGTGCCTTGGCCCCTGGAGGAGTTCGGATCGGTGCTCCTGCCATGACTTCTAGGGGCTTGGTTGAGAAGGACTTTGAGCAGATTGGAGAGTTCCTTCACCGTGCAGTCACTCTCACGCTGGAGATCCAGAAGGAGTACGGCAAACTTTTGAAGGATTTCAACAAGGGACTGGTGAACAATAAGGCTATTGAAGAACTCAAAGCTGATGTTGAGAAGTTTTCTTCTTCCTTTGATATGCCTGGCTTCCTAGTATCTGAGTTGAAGTACAAAGATTAGTTGCACATGCAGCCTTCCTCGACGTCTTAATGCCCTGCCCAAGACTACGAGGAAGTGGAGAGATAACAAATGTTCTCTTTATGGGTTTCACATAGGCTAGCCTGTTTTTTGGATTCAATTTTAAGTTTCGTTTGTGTTTCTATGTTTCTGTATGCCTTGTCTGATATTTTCTTAATAACAAATGAAATGTGTATTGTTTGGACGCTAGCGAGATTTAGCTTGTTCGGGGATGGAGAAAAATGTGTTCGAATGTCTTGGAGAGCCTTTATTTGTTGATGTTCTTTGAACTGCGTTATAAAATAAATTCAGATGAAAAATAATAGAATTAATTTGCTTTGCTTTCATGTCAGTATTCTGATTTAATGGCTTCATATTTCGCAGTGAGATCATCCAGTGAATAAATCAACCGTTTTACTTACAATCATCTGTAAAGAGAAACTGTTGTTTTTCTACGTACAGATCTGATATTGAAACTTCACTAGGCCATAAGAATAAAATGCTTATCAACACAAACTGAAACACGCTTACAAAAACTACTGTACAATTTGTAGTCAAAGACATGTTAAAAACTTTAATTAACTAGGACCACCCGCCTACATTTTATCCTACATCGACAGCATAAATGATTTTGCGGTATGATTTGGGGGCCTGGCTTTAGAATTCCGCCAACCTCCATCAATCAAGCAGCTTCAAAGTAGCACTAACCATATAAAATCCGTCCTTTAGTCAAATATCTCTTGACATTCGATTATGCTGTGCTGACTGAAAATGTGAAACAGAGAAGTTAAGGGAGCACTGTAAACAGAATTCTGAATACGCGAAACAGCAGTGACATGAAAACAAATGAAACAGTAGTATTGTCGTCCGTACTGGTCATCTTTTGTGACTCGATAATATCTCTCTGCATGCTGGCGCTGACCAATCAGCTGCGCAAAACGCTCATCATGAGTGATTACAATTAGCTGAAAATTTTCCTGGCCTTTCCTGTCCTCCATGATCCTGCATTTCACGCAAGATAACAGCAGATAAATGTGTAATTAATTAATTAATTATTAGAAATTTAATCAGAAACTAGTCAATCTGTTCACACCTTAAGAGAGCAGCAGCCAGACTTTCAGCATTTGGTCCATCCAAATTTGTGGTAGGTTCATCCAGAGCAAGTATTCCACAATTGAGACAAAACGTTTCGGCCAAAGCTAACCGTATGATAAGAGATGCCAGAACCTAGAACCTCACAATTAAGTCAAGCTTATTTGTTCATTATGTTTGATTTAAAAGTATACTAAACATAGTAATTCCTTTAATGATAACATACCTTCTGACCTGCACTACATCTTCCTCTCATCTCCAACTCTGCATCACCGGTCTGCATGAGAACCTGTATAGAATGCAAAAGAAAAATATTTCAAATATTGTACGAGGAAATCAGACAGCTTTTTAAGGCATCGGTGTTTCAATACAGTATGTCTAACCTTGTAACTGTACGAACGGGTCCCAGCACCCTCCGAATCTGAATGAATACTAATGTAGTCAATATCCTGTCCTCTATAAGTTTGTTGCCACAATTCTCTTATAATTTTGTTGATTTCTTCCATTTTCATTGTGTGGAAGCGCATTAGTGCTCTGAAAGATGAATCATGAGTCATTACGGAACATGAAATAATGCAGATTATAATTAGTAATTTAATTTTAATACATAAGTATTTAATTTTGTAAATAACTATAACCTGGTTGATTAATACTTGAAGTAATGAAATGGACGATTAAATATGCTTACATTTCATAATTTGTAATTGTATTTCAGGCATGATAATTAGCTTGCAATAAGAACCAAACACACCGAATAAAACCAATTTACTGAACTTGAAAAGACATAAATTTCTTTGCCTTGACCTAATTATACTTTTGATTCCCTAGGTTTACCATAAGTTTGATGTTGGGTCCCCCTTGTTCATCTGTTTCAATGTTATTGAACATTACTGAATTTTAAGAACTCACTTATCAAGTGCATTGTAGTATCTGTCCAGGTCCTTGTTAGCCATTTCAGTCGTCTGCATAGAAAAGTGGAACTGTTAACAATGTAGAACAGAGAAGTTAAAGAATAAGTGTACAACTAACGGTATCACAGTTGATTACACCTTAAGCTGGATAAGCTGATCAAAGTAGCGCTTATCTATGTCCTTGTATTGAGCCTGCTTAAGATCAATCTTGTTTTTGGAAATATTACTTTGGTAAACAGACATCGTTCCATGGCACCTGTTTAACTGACACCAAGACCAAGGTATACATAACCACCGACAAAAAGGGAGAAATAAGGCGTGTCAACTCTATGCAATAAGAAATTGTATATGACTATTGATCCATAGAAATGGCATACTGTCGATCAAGCATGGTAATTGGCTAAACTACTTTCAGATTGCAAGCATAGATGTATGATTCAAGGGTTTGAAATACCTCAGAAAGAAGTCTCTCCCTCTCCTGCGATAGTTTCTGGAGTTCAGTTTCAACTGCAGAAACCCCACCAACCTTCAATATTTTTTCTTCCAGAGTTTCAATTTCACTAGCTAGCTCATCTACTTCAGCCTTTGTTTTCCTGTAATTTAAGTTGTCCTCGATATTTCTTTTCAACTGATCCTGATCTCGCATCAAATCTTTACTCTTGTTTAGTTCAGCTAAAATTTCCTGCTTTCGTGTGTCACAACTTCGAAGTTGGGATTCTGATAGAAATTTCTTTTCTTGCAGTTCCTTCAACCTGTCTCCTTTCTTTAAATCAGAGTACCTAACCAAACAAAACTTGTATTAAAGAAAATCGGACTCTTAAACTAACATTTTTCAAGCAGATAGGCTTACTCTTTGATCTTGGAATTCATTTTGAAAAGTGCTTCGGCTTCTTGCTGATAACTTCTCTTTTGTTCAGCCAGGTCCTCGTACTCATGGTTAAGTCTAATTTTCAGTTCATTATGATCAGCAAGTAATTTATCTTTCTCCTTGGATAAAGGTCCCAGAGCTTCTGCTAAATGCTGCAAATACAAAATTTTAGGGAATATTATGCATTTTAACTTAATGGGGAGACAAAAACTTCAGCATTTAAAAATAGTGGCTACAAATTTGGGAATTATGATTGAATTTTTTATTTTATTTTATTTTTGGGTAGAAAAAGGGAATCTGATTTTATTTTATTTTTGTGTAAAATAAACACAGAGAATATACTGAAGCTGAAAATGAACTAAACAAAGTGTATTGATCAATTAGTAAGCTTGAGAATTTTGAAGAGGCAATTCCTTTAGAGGAAAAAAAGCTGTCACATACTTCACTCTAAATAGAACACAAATTCAACACACTGAATTGGAAGATAAACTAAATGCAATGCACCAAAAATAGTTCAAAAAGAAATAAACTATAACCAATAATTACATGTTCAGTGTTGAGAAGCACTAAACATTTCAATAAATTTTCTTGAGAGTGTGTCTAAAAGGTACTCAAATACATGGAAAAGGGTAAAAAGGCAAGTGCATGTGCCTATAAAAACTTAAGTATCCATCAATATCTCAGATTATTTGACAACCTTCTCATCAAGATCAACTTGGGTCTTTTCTTCAGTTAAACGCTCTAATTCTTCTTCTAATCTTTTAACATCTTGCAATATGTTAGTTGCTTTCACTTTCTCCTCCCTTAGAGTGTGCCACCGTATTTGAACATCTGATAGATCATGCTCCATATGCTTTTGTTCATCCCACAACCTCTCCAGTTCAGTATGCAAATTGTCCCTTGTAACCAAGATATGAATGGAAATAATGATAAGAATAAGAAACTTAAAAAACCAAGTAAAACTCATAGGGCATAAATGCATTTAGGGAATAGGAGATGATGCAGAGTTGATGAAATTCAATTATCTTAACAACCCCATATTGTAAAATTGTACATGTTAGTAAATAGTATAAATTAACTGAAGCTATTTTACCTTGTGCCCTGCAATGTGTTAAGCTCCAATTGAATTTCTTCCATAGTCCGCACTCCCTGTCCTCGAAAGTCAAGCTTATATTCTAAATCCTCAACTTGCTTTTGCGAAGCTTGAATTTCTTGGAAAAGTCGGTCAGCATTTTCAACAGGTTGCACCAATGCCTCAATCAAATCCTTGTCAGTCTTTACTTGTGCTAAAACACCCAAAACCTGAAACAATATTACAGCAGTTGTATAAAGCTAAAACTACATATGTAGTGATTGTCTACATAAAAGAAAATTCAAGGAAATATTTAAAATCAATTATGATAATTACATCGTCGAGAGCCTGGGATTTGTACTCCAGCTCTTCTTTAAGTTGCTGAAGTTCCTTTTCAGCATTAGGGATTGTCTCCTTGCTAAGTTTAAGATATTCTTCATAAACCATACGAAGTTTGTCCAACTGCTGATAATGAGACTCTGCGTTTGAGGACTCCACTGCAAGAACTTTCATATGTTCAGCTGAACTAGCAGCCTTCACTCGTTGCTGTCATTACAAGAAAAGAAAAAAAGCCAATTTGAAACCATATAAAGTGCTCGCTCAAAGCCAATAAATAATATTGGTATGTTATAGTAGGATGTGAATATAACAACCTTTTTGACAAAACTGTCTTCTTCTTCTGCAGAGAAAGAGCGCTCACAGCAAGGGCAAATATGATGAGCTCTTGCAACCCTTTCAAAAGGATCAAACATTTGTCGCATACCATCAGCAATATTAAATTTGCTGCAAGCAATCACCAGACAAAGTATTAGTATATTTGAGACCAGCACATCAGCGACAACACAAACAACAGTCTGATGTGATCGCAAAGATGACATCATGAATGTGGTCTGCTATAAATTGACCTTTTCTGGACATCTCTTTTCTCCTTGGCAGACTCTAAAACTCTGAGATAAGAATCAATTCCCGAACATTGCTGATCCAAAGACTGAAGCTTGGATTCAATAAATCTTTTTCTTGCTGCAAGAAAATTATTTAAATATAAATGGTGCAAAATTGTGTGTTCAGTAATTCTGCATAGTGGAGAAAAAAAAACGCACAAGACTATAGGACAAAAGAGAAGGAGCATAAAGAAATTAAAACATCAATCGGGTACCATCAGCCATATCAAGAAGAGAGACATACAACATGCTAAACTATGCAATGGTTATCACTATCTTATTACACACTTATCAGAACATTGATGTGAAGAATCATGTGGCTTTCAAAGCAGAAAGCACTGAAAAACCCCATATAAACATTAGAACCGAAAAACCTGAACTTCTAGTATTTTCATAGTTGATTTATGAGGTAAAAAACTCAAGCTAGATGATTTGATAGAATCAAATGAAACAATATCCAGCAATTTTTTTGTTTGTCCCTATATGTGACACTCATTTTCAATTTGATCCCTACACAGCTACACTTTATTATAACTGCAATAGACAGTGTTATAACAATAATCGAGTGCCACCTATATGGAAAAAAACATATTTTACACCAAAAGAAAAATCTGTTGATGTGTCATACAGATAATTACCATGAACCATTGCATGATTGCAGATGCAGCACTCAAAACTGATTTATATTCAACTCTTTTGGATGATAGATAGCACTTACATTCCAAATCCTTGTGGTGTTTGGATAGATTACTATTAACTTCTTGTATTTTCATCTGCAACATATTGATTTCCTTCTCAGCTTCGCGGTATTTTGCATTCAGGTCATCATATTCAGCTCCAACAGTCCTGCACCACAACAAGCATAAATTACAAGGTAATTTGTGATCTACTTAAACAAAGAAAGCACTTTCTCTAAATTAAAGAATGACAACCATAGGCATGCAAAACCAAAGGTTTTATCACCAAAAGCGACTAAGGCATTGTGGAGGAAACCAGACACCTCAGAGCACTGGATTAGCTCTGACACCTTGAACCAGTTCCTTTCTATTTATTACTGGGGCTTTGTATGAAGGAAGGAATATCAGGCATATTGTGAAGGAAACTAGACATTTTTGTGGATTGGGGTGAATATCATTAGTGTATAATGCAACACTTTTAGAACAAATTTATTCCATGCTGATTCCAAAACATAAGGTTGTTCCCAGGCTTCTGGTGAATATCTGCTCCTGGTTAATTAAGGATTTATTTGTAGAGAGATGCAGAGCTCCTTCGATCCAATTTGGTATTATTTCTGGCTTAGGTTTTAAAGTAGGAAGATTATTAATCCTTGACTTTTACCCTCTGCTCTGCTTTCAACAAATGCTTGTACTGGAGGTCAAAAGCATTGAAGAAATATTAACTTATAGACCAGTTTGTCTTTCCAAAAATAAATTGGAAAAAAAGAAAAGAATAATATAATCAGGCAAACAATAGCATAAAGTGCACATAATTGGTAACAAGAAAGAAAGTGAAATGCCAATACACTTCCTCTGATTCAAATAATACAAAAACAGACTGGCTACTTAAACACTGAAAGTGAAATTTCTTAAAGATAGTACTAAAAATAAGATGTAAAGTGTAAACCATGAATGAAAAGGTTTCCCCTACTTTAATGCTTGTGTAATCTCCTTCTTCACATCTTTATCAGGAGGAAGCCTCCCTTTCAGCACCTTTCTTATTTTGTCCTTTTGGTCATCAATTCTGTAAAGAAGAATAAACAGGTGATCAGCAATTTCTAAATATGGGATTCTAAAAAGACAAAGACAAAAGTAAAGAAAATTAAAAGATAATGGATCTACATCTTTCTATGTTTCTTCTTCTGATTTTCTAACTCTGCCTTCTTAAGTGATAGCTTCACTCTGTCCTCTGAATCAGAAGCCATGATATCCTTCTCTCGATTGACAGCCTTAATTTTTTGATCTACGCTATATATCTCATTTTTCACTTGTCGTATATTCGGTTCAAAGTCTCTTTCAGCAAGTTGGTTTGCCTTCCTCTCAACCTCATTTCGCTGCAAGAATACTTAAAATTATGCCAATCATATTTGCAAGAAGTCTAAAATTAAAGTTCTAAATTGCTAAAACTAAACCAAAGAGCAAGCTGCACCCACCAAATTCCTTTCTCTTTCATCTATATGAGAAAAGTTAACATTAGATATTTGAAGTTCAAATGAATCAAGCTCATTTTTTTTCTCCTCAATGCGCTTCAAAATGCCACACTGCATGCATAACAAAGCATTATGGTCAGTACAAGTAACATAAAGACATTTGAAAAAACATATATATGCATTTTAACACCAAACCTTGATCTCTGTCTTAGCTTGTTTGTTAGCCTCAGTATTTTTCCAACAGTCATTTGCATTCATGTAGCAATTCCATGCCATCTTGAGTTCATTATCATTTGCTTTCTGCACAAAAGAATTGAAAAAAAAAGAAGTCAATCTACCTAAAATTTAGAAGCCCCAAGAACCCATGGATATCTTAGAATATCTAACATTAGTACATTACTAATATAATCAATGATCAGGTTTTCTTGTTTTTGATATGGTGAAAAATAAGTTTAAAATTGGTAAATTTAGAGAAGAAGAATCTTTAAATAAGAAAACAAATTCATTACAGAGTAGATAGAAAGAAAATAGTACAGGAACATAGGCAAGATATCTTGCTAAAGAAAACAACTATAAAAACACACATTTTAAGAGCAAAGCGAGCATGCCAATCTCTCTGCATATCCAGTAAAGAAACACTCTACAATAACCCAAATATTCAGTAACAGCCAGAAATCATCCTTGAAAATTCTGCCACTTTTCTCGCCTATCACAGCACCTAGAAGTGAATACAGATACACAAACACAAGCAGAATGAAAGAACTGAAAAGTCACCTTTTTATCATCCAGATCCTTCTCAAGATCCACCAATCTTGATTTTACAAGATTAGTGAGGTTTAAAGCAACCTCAGCACTGAAGGGTAACTTTGGAAGAGATCCTAAATTATGCCTAGCAAAAAGATTTTGAATGGAGGAATCACGTTCATTCTTCAGAGACATGTGAGCCTGCAGTTTAAATTAGGGATAAAATTACAATAACACTCTGCAAAACTAGATGTCAGTATATGCAGCTTGTGTATCAATTCATTACTTCTGCTTCAGCTTGTAGCTTGCTAATCTCCCACATGGAATCATCAATGGTCCGCTTAAGGAAAGAACTTTTAGTGTCAGTGTCATTCATCTCTCGTTCCAACTTGCTTATTTTTGTTTCCAAAATTGCAATCCTTTCTTCAAACTTGGTCTTCCATTCCATCAACTCTTCATCAGTGTCTAATGAATATAAGAAGACTGAGTAAACCCAATAGGATTGAAACCATAACAACATAGACAGAGACGAAGAATGTAAAACTGGCTCAATGATGGTAACAGTAACACTTATACCATGTTCAACACTTACACACCTTCATTCTCCTCTGCAAGAGCTGCATATTGTTTCTGTTGCTCTTTAAACAGAGTGCTCCGTTGAGCAGTTTTAGTTGATATCTGCTCCTGCAGCTTCCGCAAATCTTTCAATGATTTCTCCGCATTATGAATTTTATCATCCAAATCTTTAATGCTGCCATCCAACTCTTGTAGTTGACATTTTAGAGACTCTGTTTTCTCATGATCCTGTGCAATGCTTTCCCGAAGCTATAAGAAATAAAATCAAATAATTAGATTTTGGTACATTGCAGTTTTCTTTACGTTTGTAGCTGTCAAAGTGGTAGGCACAACTTAAGTTCTAAAATAACTAAACTAAAAGTGAAATCATGGCAGAACTTTAGTTTCGCTGCATGGTGATAAAGGCACGAAAATGAAAAATACAGTGAGACAAAATGGACTCAGTAAAGTGAAAAAAAAGAAAAGAAAAAAGCTGTCCTGCACGAGGATGTACTTCTACTAAAATTACAACACCTTGCATGGATGGTTGTCCTGCCCCAGTGAAAATTTGCTTGGATAAAGCAGAACGACAAAATGTAAATGCTTTCAGACATTTTACCCGATAACATTTTCTTATGATTTAGAAAATGCAAGAAAATTAGATGTATCCAAGTATCCATGAGCAGTTTGGTAGAGTTACAATAAAGAAGGAAGGGAAGAAAAAACAACGTATAGTTTGGTGAAATTTTGGAAGAGGAAAGTGACCTTATAAGCAGCGTCTTTGAGAGTTTGAAGATTTTCGAGTTTGAGCTTGTAAGTCTTAATCTCGTGAGCCTGATCCTTGTGAAGTTTCTTAATAACTTCCAATGCCTTAGTGTATCTGGCGAGTACAAGAGCATATATCATATATATATATATATATATATATATATATATATATATATATATATATATATATATATATAGTAAGAAGTGGAAGTGATAAACAACAGGGAAAAACAGGAAAAGCGGGATACCGAGTAGCAGAGAAGATATCATCAAACTTCTTCTTTAAGGTGGAAGGATCCTGGAGTGGCCAGTTGGCTTCGTCTTGATGAACGAATATAACGTTTTCCAAAATGGCCTTGGAAACACCCATCAGCGCAGGAATCTCTCGATCCATGTCAGCGCATCTATAGCTAAGGCAAACTTTCTGATAGAGACAGAGCACAGGTGAAACAGTGTGAAGAAGTAACAGAACGACGAATATGAAGATAAGTTTGAAGAAGCAGAACCTCGCCGGTGTGAGGATTAATAGTTTGAAGGACGCTCTCGATTGCCTTGTATTCCATCTTGGAGGCCTTCTGCGTGAGCTGAAAGGACCTTATGCAAACCACGTCCTTACCTGCCGCCGTTTTGAATCGGAGCTTAATCTGTCCCTTCGTTTCAGTTTCCCCTGCAACCTTCCCATTTCCAATGCCAAACGTTGAGGTGAAGGTTCATGGAAGTGATTAATTAATGAATAATTAGTTAATTATACAATAAAAATACCTTGGGATCGTGAATGAAGCTGTGGCCAGACCTAGCGTTAGGAGGAAGCTCACCGGTGCACGAAAGCTTCAAGCACTCAATGATGGTGGTCTTGCCAGCACCGTTGGGGCCAACGATTAGGGTTAATGGCTTGAAGAAGGTGATTACGTTCTTGTTCTCCGGGTCGAAGCTCCGGATTCCCTTGATCAACATTTTATCAACGGTGCTCATCTTCACTTCCCTCTTTCCTCAAACAATCACACCATTCGTTCTCAGTCTCAGTCTCAGTATCCGTCTCAGACTGGTATGGTGTGCGTGTTCATAGTCATGCCTTACCCGCCCTTTTTCATTTTTATTATTTTGGGCTGGGCTGGGCTTGGACTGGGCCTATTTACGATCCACGTGTCCAATCCAATAATATGAAAGGGCTTCCCTGCAACTTCACTTCAACTTCGAGTTTGAGATGAAGGAAGAAGAAGAAGGTGGTTTCACGCGACTTGCCTCGTTCGCCTGCGATTGCGAGCCTTTCTCGGAGGAAGACATTGAAGCCATCGAAGCTTCTATTTCCAACCTTAGAAAAAAACGTCCCTTCAGCCATCGCTCTCCCCGACGACGCCGCTTGCCCTTGTCGCTTCACGCTCTTCAGCACCCTAATGCTGCTGCTGCTGCTTCGTTCTCGCCTTCTCGAGGTGTCGCCTTTTTTTAATTTCCATTGCTTCTGAGGATGCACTGGTTTGTTACTGCCTTAGAAACAGTCCATTAGTTTCTCTGACGAATTGAATTTTGGATAAATTTGAATTTACATTTGCTCTAACTTTTTTCTACTCAAACTTATTATGTGATTCATCGTTCTTGCACAGGCTATTCAAGCATGAGACTGCCTGTAATGAAATTTAGTGGCGAAATTATGTATAGCAGGACTTTTGATGATGTGGAGAAAGCCGCAACAAAGCTCTTGAAAATTTTGGAAGACAAAAAGAGAGAGATGACGCGAATTGCAGTTGGATTTGACATTGAGTGGAGACCCACCTTCAGAAAAGGTTGGGTCATTTTCTTTTTTTTTACAAGAGCTGATTATGGAATTTACTTGATTGTGTTGGTCTATTGCAATGAAGATATTTTTGTTGGTTTTATATGTAAACAAGAGTGAAGGGAACGGTTTTCTTGCCTATTGGGCCAGTTGTAATCCAGCTAGTTTTGGTTTTGGAATTTGTGTGATACATTTGGGAGACAGGTTCTTTATTTTGTGATGAATGTGGGTGACATATGAGCTGAATATTTGGGAGGGTTAAACTTCTTAATTCTAGCCAATTGTTTGGCTCTTTACTCATTCACATAGTTTATGGATTATCCTTTCTGCGAATGCTTTGTTCAGCTGTGGTGAGAGGGGCATTGCCTACCTTTTCTGTGGAAGAGCTTTTACCTTTTGCTACTATAAAAGTAAAAACTTGATTCTTTGAAAGAAAAATTTACCATGACTCAAATTATTGAATTATTATTGTATAAAACTTTTATAGGTGTTCCACCTGGGAAGGTAGCAGTGATGCAGATATGTGGTGACACTAGTCATTGTCATGTTCTACATCTAATTCATTCTGGAATCCCTCGAAATTTACAGCTTTTGCTTGAAGATCCCACAGTCCTGAAGGTTTCTATCTCTGTTAAGATTTTCTTATGTTTTTTCCTTTTTATCTGTGGGAAGTAAATTAGTAATCAATTATGGGAAGTATTAATACAATGTTTGACATGGCCAAGGTTGGAGCTGGCATTGGCGGCGATGCTGGTAAGATTTTTAGAGATTATAACATATCTGTTAAAGGCGTGGAGGATCTTTCTTTTCATGCAAATCAAAAGCTTGGGGGAGGTCCTCTTAAGTGGGGTCTGGCATCTTTGACAGAAAAACTTCTTTCAAGACAGGTATGTTTTGAATCCAATTGTCTTAAAAACCAAACTAGACACAGGGATTCGATTGGTCCTGTCATCATCTGACACCTGATGGCATAAGGAGACAGTATTGTGCCCTCCAACAGGCTATTTAACTGGAAAACTGTCGCCAGTTGAATGTTCCAGACCTGCTCATCGTTTCTCAAATTCCATATGGTAGACTCCGTTGGCTTTGAAAAATGGAGCTTTGTTGGGTCTTGAATCAGCCAAAAGGAAATGGCACGTCTTCTTCTCACTAAACCAATTGGACTAAGAGATCATCTTTACTTAATTTTAAAAATAGAGGAACTTAATTGGCTCCAAACAAAAATTCAAGGACTGAAATCACACATAATTTTAATTGAAGGTACCGAAGTACAATTAAATCCTTCATTTTTTATTATTTTCTTTGCTCAGGAGAGAGGGGGCAGGGAAATATTTCGACTGTGTTCTTGAAAAAGGTGAAGAACTATGTTGACAGGATATTTACCGAGCTTGTTATGTTTTCAGCTTAAAAAGCCCAGCAAAATAAGACTGGGAAATTGGGAGACTCCTGTTTTGTCAAAGGAGCAACTAGAGTACGCTGCAACAGATGCTTTTGCTTCTTGGTATCTCTATCAGGTAAAATATCAAATAGTAGATACCATACACCACTCAATCATGATTGACCTTATCTTGATTTTAAACTATTGAAGTCCCCACTTTTGCCATTTTCTTGGTACTTGATACAAGAATTCGTTTATTCTTTTGCAGGCAATTAAAGATCTCCCGGATGCCCAAGAAGTTACGGTTAAAAGTGGCGAAGTTGATGGTGTACCGCAATAATGATTATATCTTATCGAATTTAATGTCTGTTGTAATGTTTTTGTAGAATGTCACAAGAAATCAAATCGTCAGAAATTAGCCCCTTTCTGACCAGTTTTTTTTTTTTTTATGTCTGATTATGTATGTGTTACTCGGGGGGGAAGATTAAAACGAATTGGTCATTTAATATATTATTGTTTGCTATTTTTTTTCTCAGTAATAAATATGAGTAATGACGTATTAAAGTATTAATAAATATTACTGTAAACCATCTTTTACTAACAATATAAACTATATACCAGTTAAGCTATTAACAAATTCAGATTGAGAAAACTTCATGAATGAAACCAATAACATATATTTTTCCCTACTAGTTAAGAAAAGCTACATCGATCATATTATATCATATCATACTTATATTATGCAGGTTTGTCAATGTAAAAAGATGTAAACACTGTCATCCTGCGTATATTGTTATTGTTGTCACGATATTAACTTGTCATAATATTAACACGAAGAATAATCAGATTCTGCTGGTTGAATTGAACACAACCAAAGCTACCGTTTCCTTATTAAAATCTTGTTTCTAGCCATCCTGAATATATAACCTTCGAGCTTCAATAGGAAAATTGAGGTTTGATTGCTATTCTGCGATCTTTGCTTCCATTTGATTCCAATGTATAGATGAAAGACATTCATAATTAAAGGTGACGGGTGAGCCCCAACCGTCCCCAGCATCACCGGCCCGGAATCCCATTTGATGAATGAACCTCATTCAATTCAAGAGCTACCATCTGTATCACGTGGTGTTGACAGCCCTCATTTTGAGATTGAAAGAGACCAGCTAATAATTACGAAACATCTCTTAAGGGTTTTGCAATTTACATGCAATGTGTAAAAGTTCACAGCATCTGAGAAAAGTCCTTCTTTCAGCGGAGCAAAGTTAAAGAACACTTCAATGAAGCCATGTTAGATTGTTTTAGTTTAGGTAAATGCTAATCAGTGTCCAAAAGTCGCTGATTAGTAAGACCAATACCCTGTGTTGCATGTGAATTTGTTTTTCTTGGTAGCTGAATATTGATGCTCTGATAAAAAGTTTGGTTGCATGCATGATGAATAGTAACTTGTATATGCACGTTGGTCACGAATACAAAGCTCATGACTCTGCTTTTCTTCTTGTCACCAACCATATGCAGTAACATAAACAACTTTTAAGCACTTCTTTCTCTTGTATTTCCTTTTTCTTTCTTGTCATATCATACACACATTTTTTTGGTCAAGCGTCATATCGTACATTATATGTTATTATCTTCAACCTCTTCGTAGGCGGCCCAAACCATAATAAGTAAAATACCAAATGAAGCTTATACAATTGGATCCATTTTTTACGAGCCCAAAAATTTATTAATGTATAAAATAAAGTATACTATACGATAAATTAATAAAATATTAAAAATTCATAATTTTATAAAATTTAATTAATTTAATCTGTCTATAAAGAATTTTTAAATTGATAGTTAAATTAATAAAATCCAGTGTCTATAAAAAATTATTAATTAATTAAAATTTACTCCTAAAATAAGTTGATCACTTTGTATGTGAATGTATAAAAAAAATTCATTAAAAATTTAATATTAAATTGAGCACATTTGGCATAAAAATATATTATTTGTTTTAAGAAATATTTAACATATTACATTGCTGATATAAAATCATAACTTTAAAAAATAACTTTATATAAGTCGTTTTATATATTAATATATTTTATTTTCAAAAGAAGATGACGTTGTAATATTGTGAGCATGACATAAGATTTCAAAAAAGGAAAATAAACATTAATTTTTTTAAAAAATATTTTATACTATCAAAAGGCTCTTATTGTTATATTTGTTTAGAGCTCCATAGACCCTTAAGTCGGTCCTACTTTCTTTTTCTTCACACTTACATAAACTCCCCTGAAGCAGTGAGAAAAATGATAATCAATGAATAGTATATAGTGAAAAAGTGACATTAAATAAGCAGAATTAGCTCAGTAATTTGGTTCTTCATTGAAACTTTTATGATAGAATGAAGGAAGGTTCTGCTGCCGACAGTAACAGTAGGGTGAAAGTTGCTGTCAGGAGTCAAGTGGGATTAACAGCATGGAAAACGACAACTCCTTTCTTAAGGCGGTGGCAATTGAAAAAAAATGCTATATCTCTCGTAGCATATCATGCTAGCTTTGTGATTTTCGATATTATTGACTAAAAAGCACCAATTATGAAGGACGTATCTCCTTCTCAATCATGCAAAAGAAAAAAGAGGAATAATCGCCAGCTATAGAACAACATTATTAGAATATAGGGTAACAAGATCAAAAGCAGCTACGCTTACATTTTCTCTTTTTCTTTTTTGTATTTTACTAGGATAAATATTTATTTAACACCACTCATATGATCCTCTTTTATTTTGTCCGATGAGCACAGACATAATTGTTCACATTGAAATGAAACAATTTTCAAGCTCAAAGCTCATCAATAATTGTTCCAATTAACCTTTTTTTTTCCCACTAAACTAAGTTTTATTATGTGCAAATTCTTTTTCCTTCTTTTTCGTGAGTTAAAAATTACGCTAAGGCAAAAAGTGACCCAGTTAGGTAAAGTTAATTAAAATCCAACAGCAAAACATTTCCCATAAAATATTCTAAAAATCGTGGGTGTTGAACTATGTAGTTTTCCCCTAAGAAAATTTGTCTGTAGCAGAAAATTGAGCATGAACATGAACATGAACATGAACATGCTCTAATCATATGGAGAGGGCAAAGCAGAACGTAGCATATGGAACATGATCAATGCAAGGAACCCCCATTGGATGCCAAAGGGCCAGAAGTATGGGGTCTTTGCACTTAAAGAAATGCATGTCATGTGGAATTCTATAATTATGAGGAAGCAGTGTGAGGAGAATCATGTCTTCTTCTGTCTTATCCATATTGGTTAGGAAAGTCAAAAACACTTGGCTCCACCGACCAATCAGCATCTTCTTCAATCTTGGCTTTCAACAAAACCACTGCAAATACCATTTGTATCATTTTTTTTAATCAGTAATATCATTATCACTTTTTTAGTTATCTAATTAAAGAGAATAAAACATTAGATTTCTTCATTTATATACTTTTTTTCAACTTAGAAACTACATTTTACAGAAGACTGCTGGTTGGAAACTAAGTGATTAACTTTATCCCAAAGCAATGAGAAGAATACAGTGTAACTTAAATAAGTTCAAGTCATTTTTATCTTAAGGCAGCAAAGAGAATATGCATTACGTGATGTTACGTGTAATTCAAATAAATAGCTGCAAAGTAAGTCTGTCACGGAAGGCCTACTCGTGTTTGGTTTTGATTAATATTAGGAGAATCGTTATTTTTTAACAGGTTTTAATAATATTTAATTATAAATTGTTTTTAATAAGAATTAAAGTAATCTATGAACACCCTGCTGCTTTTTTTAGATGTAAACAAAAATAAGGAGAAAATATACATATTGTTAAAGTTCTCATATATTATCTAGGTGAAATAAATGAGATTTTTCTCATTTGATTGTGAAAAAAATTGAGAGAAAACAACATATAGTTATATCAAAGAACTTTTACATGGTTTTTAACATAATAAATTGATGGATAGATGCGTGAGTGAGTTTATTACCACTCCAAAAATTATATAATCGATTAGCTGAATTAATAATTTATAGATAAATTTTTAAAATAAGTTTTAGATAAAACCTTTTTTTGATCGATTATCTATTTTAATAATAACAATATTTAAATAAAAAAAAGTAAATTAGGAGCTGCAATAGTATTTTGCAGTAATAATAGACATACTCTAAGAACACTGGTTTTAAGTAACAAGGAATAATTCTTTCTTAAATAAAACCTTAAATTTAAGTTTTATATATATAAAAATAAATATTAAAGAGTTTTACCCTGTTCTGTAAATTTTCGTCATTTTACTTGAATTAGTTAGGATTCAAAACATTTTTAAAATATTGAGAATTAAAAAAAAAGTCAAAAGATAATTTTCATTTTTTTTTTCTTTTCTCTCCACTTAAGGAGAGGGTTCTTTTTCCTTCCTTTTCTCTCTTCAACTAAAAGATGAAAAAACATTTTTTTTATTCTATCGACTTATTTTTCTTGTCCTTATTTTATAAAGGTATATTAATGTACAACTTAATTAATTAGATACTTGTTTAATAAACTTTTATCATATTGAAAAAATAAATGAAAATTTTATAAGAATTATATTTTTATTATAATTTTTTTGGGGTAAGTTTTTGCGAACTCTCCCAATATAAAAACAGGTGTTTGGCAAAGACAATGAAAAGAAAATATTTTGAGGGATCGATTTTGCTCCCACCATAAACCCAAAACTTGAATTTATATTTGTGGTACTTATGACGGATAGAATGTCCATAACGCAATTAATATTTGTGTTAATTAATGAGTAAGCCATTTCCCATGTGATGGAGAGACTGCACTTCTTAACGAATAAAGAAAGGACAGATCACAGAAGTGACATACCCAACCACGAAGCTCCATTCCATAAGGTACCTTATGCTATGCCCATGGCTTACGAACCTTCTTCTGCAGTTCCCTTCTTCTCTTGGGCCCATCAATGAAAGCCCCACTTCCACATCATCGTCTTCTTTCGTGTACCTTAATCATCATATCCCTCATCCAAATCCAACTCCAAACTTTTGCTGTTCGAGATTTCCAATTATGTTGCTTCAAAAAAATATTATTTTTATTAAAAAAATTTACATTTTATACATAATAACAGATGGGTGTAAAAGTTTAGACATATTCAGGGTGGTGAGAAAATATAGAAACCATGAAATGTGGAAGAGCAGAGAAAAATGGACCTTTTATTAAGAGTGAATAGCTAATGTTGTAGCCGTCGGTGTGAATACCAACAATTTCATGCATCTAATCTAATCACATGGGGGTGTTAGTGGTCTTAATATTTCCACTCACAAAAATCAAGAATATTTAATAATATAATTTTAATATTCACATTTTTATTTTATAAAATTAAAATACTTTTTCAAAATATTTATATAATTATTGGCGTTAATTAAACATTAGTGTGTGTGTGAAGGAAAACTTGATCTGTAATGTAAAATAGATAAATAATTATTGATGATTATGAATGTGTGCCACATAAATGACACGCCGTTGCTGCTAAAGCAGTGCGCAAGAATTTCTTACGAAGGATGTCTAAAACTTGATAGGGTAAATTATTACACTTGTAAAAGGAATGAGCTAAATACCAAGTTTCAGCATAGAAGAAAAACCATATTTAAAAAAATATTTTTATTTTATTTCTATTAATTAGGACTCTATCTGTAAATGATAACAATGTATACTGCTTATCTTGAAAATGACCCAAAAAGACGTGTTCGTTATCAAGTATCCCGTTTATATGAAGGATGTCGCTTCTACAGCATTATGATAATGCTTATAATTGTAGATTTTTCATATTAATAACTTGGAAATTTGTGATTGTTTTGTTAAATGACCCTGCTCTGAATCAGGTCCCGTGATAGCTTTCAAAATTAATTAACGAATAAACAAGTTTTGGTAGAAATACAAATTTGATTCCGAAAACGATGATTTATACAGCCGACCTCGTCCTTAATTTACATCAAATTCCGCGTCAGAAGAATATAAGATCATAAATTAGCATCGATTAGATTGCTTGGATTAATATAAGAAACCAATTTATTATCATGAATAGGATGATCTGTAATTTAACGTTGTCGGTGGCCAATGGTCACGCACTAGAAACTGATACAAGTGTAATAAGCTAACACGGTTGACATAAACATTTTATGGATGTGGATTAAAATGGCATTGGAAGAAAGAATTGAAGAAGAGTAGGCACATGTGAATGAAGATTGTGAAATTGGACCAAAGTGTTGACATGGGAGCACGTGCGGAGCACATGGTGAGAGAATTGAGGGTGGTTAATACAACAGTGGAAGAATAGATGAGATATATAGGGAGTTAGCATCATTGTGATGGTGAGAAGAGTTAAGGAGAAAAAGAAAGTGCTCTCCAACCAACACCAACATCATCTCTCTCTCTCTCTCTCTCTCTCTCCCTTTATATTCATATTTTGAGAGTTTCAGGGCTCAACGTAGGCACAGAAGAGAGCATTAGAAACAGTGGATAATTGAATTGAATTGAATGGCTTCTCCACCAGACACGAGCAAGAGCATAAAGCTAGAGAGATACAACAGCTACATACGGAGAGTGAACAGCACGAAGCTGCTAAACGCGTCATCCAAACTCCTATTCCGCGCAACACTCCTCGTAGCACTCATCCTCGTATTCCTCTTCACCTTCAACTACCCACCACTCGCCGACACCAACCGCCACCTCCACACCCACAACCACTTCCTCTCCACCGCATTCGGTGGCGGTGCCGCTTGGGAGAAGCAGGTGCGCCACTCCTCCACCCCCCGCCGCCCCAACGGCATCTCCGTCCTCGTCACCGGAGCCGCCGGCTTCGTCGGGACCCACTGTTCCCTCGCCCTCAAGAAGCGCGGCGACGGTGTGCTGGGCCTCGACAACTTCAACACCTACTACGACCCCTCGCTGAAGCGGGCGAGGCAAGCAGTGCTGGCGAAGCACCAAGTCTTCGTGGTGGAAGGGGACCTAAACGACACGCCGTTGCTGGCAAAACTCTTCGACGTCGTGGCGTTTACCCACATCCTCCATCTGGCGGCACAGGCAGGGGTGCGCTACGCCATGCAGAACCCGCAATCATACGTGAGCTCAAACATTGCAGGTTTCGTGAACCTTCTAGAAGTCGCTAAAGCGGCGAACCCCCAACCCTCCATCGTGTGGGCCTCTTCCAGCTCTGTCTACGGCCTCAACACGCAGAACCCCTTCTCCGAGCTCCACCGCACCGACCAGCCGGCAAGCCTCTACGCCGCCACCAAGAAAGCCGGCGAGGAAATCGCTCACACCTACAACCACATTTACGGTCTCTCCCTCACCGGCCTCCGCTTCTTCACCGTGTACGGGCCCTGGGGGAGACCCGACATGGCCTACTTCTTCTTCACCAAGGACATCCTTCAGGGCAAGTCCATCGACGTTTACCAGACGCAGGACGGCAAGGAGGTGGCGCGTGACTTCACCTACGTCGACGATGTCGTGAAGGGGTGTCTCGGGGCCCTCGACACAGCGGAGAAGAGCACCGGCAGCGGCGGCAAGAAGCGTGGCCCTGCCCAGCTGAGGATTTACAATCTCGGGAACACCTCGCCGGTGCCGGTGGGAAGGTTGGTGTCGATTCTGGAGGGTTTGTTAAACACGAAAGCAAAGAAGCACGTGATAAAGATGCCGCGAAACGGTGACGTTCCGTACACGCACGCGAATGTGAGCTTGGCTTTCAGGGACTTTGGGTACAAACCGACGACGGATCTGGCCACCGGTTTGAGGAAGTTCGTGAAGTGGTACGTTGGTTATTACGGGATCCAGGGAAGGGTAAAAAAGGAAACTCGCCTCGACAATGAGCTACCCGAGGATTCCGCTTGATTGCTTTCCTTTCCACATGCCCCTCTCTCTCTCTCTCACTCTCTTTTTTCGGTTGTTAATTACCAAAGATTAAAAAAAAAAACTCAACCTTTCATTTTTCTTTCTTTTGCTTTTGTTTAATTATTATTATTTGTTCAATGTTGTTCTTGTGGTCCGTGGATGAAAGTAGTAGCTGGTGTAGCAATATAGATGATATAAATATAAAATATCTGGTATAGTTGAAGAAGATAATTGTGAAGCAAACAAATAGAAAGCAAAAGCAAGCAAGCAAGGAAGGAAGGAAGGAGCAAGTGTAGATCTATGAGCTGTGGAAAGAAAGGGAAAGAGTGGTGTAATAATGGTGGGTGGGGTCTGCTACAAAGGTTGTGGATCTCACCCCTTTTATTCATATATATTTTCTTGTTAAAGAATGCTGTTCTTTTATTAAGCAATTTATGTGCCATCTTTATTTCTCTCTTATTTTCAATTACGCTTTTCCCTTCCCTCATCATTGCCTCCTCTTTATTCTCCTAGACTAGACTCTACTCTTTCCTTTCATTTCTCTACAAATTTAGTTACTTTGCTGTCACCACACAAATTGGTGATTACTAAATGATGAGTGTATGTTTATAATGCTTTATTGGCCTAAATGAATTCAAGTATGTGATGGGATAATTTACCCACAACACAATGAGAGTGCTCCTCTATCCATATCCACTATAGAGTACAAGTATCTGCTTTTCATATGTATTCCCTTTCAAAAGTTCTATTATCTCTTTCACAAATCACAAGGTATATTTAAGTTCCCATATTCCTTTTCCTTCTTTTTATTAGTATGAAAGGATATAAAGAGTTTTTGCTACAAGATAATTATGTCATGTTGTACACCTATCAAGCATTTCAAGCAACGCGAGTTATCCTTCTCTATACATAAATAAATCATTCTCTTTAGAATTTTGAATTTTTCAGTCATTATTCTAATTCAAATAATTAAAAATAGGAATGCTATACAATTCAAGTTAAAATTATTATGCACTTTCAGAATATCAATATTAATTATAACATCTAATACATATAATCAAATTCAAATTCCATAAGAAAATACAAAACTTTCTCAAAATAACTTCAAATGTTAAAATAATGTTATTGGACTTGTCATTCTCAACTGCCTTACGACCTTTTAGAGTTCTTTATTCCCTGTTGGTCCCGATGAGGCATTGTGGTAGGAATAGGCAACAAGGACTCTTCACTTCTTTCTTTATTTTTTTTTCATACATAATAATTGCCAAACGGGAAAAAAAAGGAGACAAATTTGTTAATTTTAGTATTGAATTTATCTAAAAATAGTAATTTTTTTAATAAAACATTTATTATATATTTTTTTCTTTAATATAATAATATTTTTAATAAAAAGTCACTAAATTTAAATTCTTAAAATCAATTTGACGCAATTTTTGGTTGAAATGAAGAGAGTGGAGAGAGTTTAAGCCCATATTAATTGCAGAAGTTAATCAACAGAAAAGTTTAAATTTTTGTTAAGTGTAAAATTATGATGCGAGTGATACTCTGCACAAGAAAAAGACAGGGTTCCTTGGAAGTTACTGGTAGCAGACAGGATTAATGTTAAAGACTATGAACGCGTACACAAAAATAAAAACACATTATATATGGAAGCTCTCATGGCCTCTTAGTTGTCTCTGCGCACTAATTAATTAATTAATTGATTGATTACGATTATGTGGTTCCTTTTCTTGTATGTTTACTACTTTGTACTCCATCTAGAACCAAAGTGGAACTATATTAACACATCAGATCAATATGTTTATGTAGATTCTAGAAGTGAAGTTCATGTGACTTGATCTCAAACCTAAATGTCACAAGCTTCTTGTCAAGAACAATTCTCTTTTTCATGAATATATTCACATGGTCATTACCTATTGAGAAATGAAATACCCAAATATTATCTTGATCATATAACTTACCCAAACAAACATTAGGCAATTATATATTACGTTCAACTCCAAAGAACAATAGAAGAATAATTAGGTATAGGTAGGTCAATGAATCCTTCTTAGAATGTGTGTGTGATGGATGAAGAGTTGAAAGAGGGCACCATTGTCCAACTACACAACCAAAATAATGCCGTATACACCAAAACATGGCCACTCATATTCTATTTTTGTGAGGTACATACTTTGACCAAATGGGAAAAATATCTGAGCCTTAGGGGAAACATGGGAGGTTTGTCTGTGACATTTTGACGGCTAAAACGCGTAGTTTTCAATATTTTTTGGCCAACTTGCCTTTAACTTCTTCACTAGTGGAATGCTCACTCACAGACTCAATTGTGACATGAAACATGAGTCCTCTGGATGCCTATAAGTTAGTTAATTTACTTTGAAACTTTGCTACCTATATGTTATATGTTTATTCCATGGGTGATGCTAGTGGTAACTAAAGAAATTTGATTTTCTTTTGACTTGGAAAATAAGCAATTTTTTATATTCATCACCTGATGAATGAATCCGTGTCCTGCATTACGCATGTGAATTGAACAAGTTTTAACCTTAAATATGTTGGGACAATCAACAACATAATTAACTGTAATTTGATGCTCTTTTTTTCTCACAAGATCACATGCTTCATTTGTCATATACACAAGTAACTGATGAATAAGAGATTTTTGCCAATTTATAAGCTAATCAGTGATCTTTGTGTGATTCAACATTCAGCGAATGCATTTAAAATAAATAGCCTCTCAAAATTGGAATTGGTAGCGTTATATGCAATGTCTGTTTTGAATCGTGAAATTGACTCAATTGTATTAATCCTCTATAAAACCGTTTGTAAGATGACAATGTAGCTACAATAGTTAAGTAAAATGTCGTATAATATATATAATGAAGAAATATGGGTCATATTTGTCAAATAAAAAATATATTTGAAACAGTAAACGTGAATTTTATAGAAAGTCAGAGTAATTATCGTTATGTTTTGCCATTTTTATAAGAACATAATTTAAGTATAGTTACATTGTCATCTAATCGTAGATTGTTATATCAATAAGAATAATGAATATAAAAATAAATATCATTGATTTTTATAATATATTTGATAAAAATATGATAATGGAAGCACACCTTACCGTTATATAAATGGAGGTGTACCTTATTTATAATATACATTGTCCAATGAATTGAAAGAGTTAGGAATTAAGACGTCGTGTCTCGTTTAATACTAAACTAGTTGACCACAAAGGTCTTCAAAAAAATTTCAGTTAAATATCACATGTCTTTAAGAAGATTGGTCATAATAGATAACAAATAATTTAATTTCATTGGAGGAAAATATTGACAAAACGGGCATATACATATTATATACACACACAACTACTTGTAAGTCGTATATATTTTAATGTGATAAGGGAACCACTTAAGAAACGAGTCACAGAACAGTTTACTTTTAAAATATATAATTATACAGTATAAAGTTTGAAAAATAATCGTAAAGATACCAAACTCTGCTGCTTATGTAGTTCTAAATGCATCATAGGTGAGTTAATAAGTACATGAGTGAAGCTTGACGCCAGAATTGGGATAGAAACTGGATTTCAGGATATAGATTTGTTATATTATGAGATCATTCAATTAAACAGAAAAATAATTTTAATGGTAGATACGAGAGAGACCAAGACGGCCCAACAACCACGTTGTGCGAGTGCAAACATGGCTTTTGTTCTGAGTAGGGTTCAGAAGCACGTGCGCCCAATACGGTCACATATAAATTCCAAAGACTTGACATGTTTGACCCATTTAAGAAAATTATGACCTCTCACCGACACTCAGCAACACTTCCGTCTTCTCACCGCAACTCATTCGTAACTTATTAATTTATGCCTTAAAAATAACTTTTTATAATTCATTTCAATAATGTTTTTTATAAAATTAATATACTTATGAGGTTTTTAAGTTAATTGTTTATCTAGACGTGCCTAAGAAACGAATACTGAGAAAAGAGGGTAGGCAGGAATCATAATTCCGTATTAGAGAACTCTCAAAACAAAGAAAAACAAAAAACATTTTTCCCTCCACATTCATAAACTGAATTTCTAAGAGCATAGACCTTACACATGTTCAGAGATCCATTGTTTCGGCGAAAAGTATTGCCGTGATTATTTTTGGTTAATCGGTGTTAGGTTTTTTATAGTAGGAAAATAACTGCGTGCACTCAATTAATAACAAAGCACCTTTGGTAGAACCATAATTCTGCATGCTAATAAATTATGGAACCTTTTATTAGTTTATCATCAAGAATAAAAAAAAATTCTGTAAAGTTCTAAAATTGTTTTTAAGCGTATGTACCGCATAAGGTGCAAACTTACAATGGAGACGACAGAAGCTCCTTTATTATTTGGAGAATGTGCCAACAGGGCCCTAAAATGAAAGCCGGAAATATTTAATTTTGCAAATGCACTAATATTATGATTTTATAAAAAAGACATTTTTTATTTCATAACTAATATCCTTAAAATATATTCATTAACAAGGGTCTATTACATTTAATATTGGGCCTTGAAAAATACTTATGGATATCAGGAATAAGGCCCATATGAACCAAGGTATTTTTACAAGCTTATTGTCAAGGTTTACTTTTTGCACGCCTATTTTTTTAAACAGCATCACACTTTTTCTATATCTTTCAGAAATAAAACTTCGGAAAGTATTAATTACTTTTAAAAATTAAACTCTGCCCAGATGTTAATTTCCAGAAAGGTAGTCCGAAGAAAAAAAAAGCCTTACTACCACCACCTCTACGTGGGCTAGGTTTTTTACGAGGCCCGAAATGTTTAAAACCAGGAAGGCAACAAAACCACGCTTCGAACAGCAGACAAGACTTTGACGAAAAAAAAAAAGGGCAGATAAATTGACCAACGAACGAACGATGGGAAAATGATTTCATCGCCACTTGCCAGAAAGCCCAATTAGAAATAGACACCATAAACAAGACGACCTAAATCAGGAAGTTTTAACATTGGCAAACCAAACAAACTGGAGTTAGCTGCTAAAGCCGAATCGTGAGCTAGAGGGATCAACATCTTTTTGTATATAATATAAAGGTGTGATCCTCGGCGTTAAGTTACCATTTGTATATACTTGCGTGTTTAATTCACCATTACTAGAAAATTATTAGTGTAATCGTGAAAAAATTTCAAGGGAAGGATAACATATCAACGAGTGCTACACAGCCACTAGGGTCTTTGAAATCTGATAATAGAAGCACTTGATAAATATAAAACACTCGGTAGACTAGCTGTCAATAAAACGTGGTAGTGCCAAGTCATTTTCTCAGTCGTCAGAACAATGTAGAATTGTGAAACTACACAGGATCCTATTTTATTTTGGTTAAAAAACAGAAAACCTTGAAAGTAATTTGAAATCCAACCCACTATTCAAGACATGCACAGAGACCGCAATAGATCGAAACAAAAGCTCCAATAACATCACAGTATAACAACCAAGTAATGGAAAGGAAAAAAATACCATAACATTCCACTAATTAATACTTTACCACTTGAGTGGCAACCCTAAATGAATTTCTTGACAAAACAGCGAGAATTAAAGCATAAGCAGGAGGCACATCATATAAAAAGATTCGGTCACCAACCACTGTTGCGAGAAGTAAAGCCACCACCTCCATACTCACCACCACCAGGGGAACGAGGAGCAGAAGGTCTATCATTTGCATAGGAAACTCGGATGTTTCGCCCATTTAAATCCTAAAGAACCATAGCATGTCAGCAACTAACAATGACGATAACAAAGTTCAATGTAAAGACAAAAGCATTCCAACCTGCCCATCCATAGCAGAGATTGCTGAACTTGCAGACTCATCATTGGAGAAGTTGACAAATCCAAATCCCCTTGATCTTCCAGTGTCTCTATCAGTTATAACCCTTGCTGTAAAACAGATCCACAAGTATCAGTATGCCAGAACCAAAAATAGGACCGGGTTGTCTTTTCGTGTTCAGTCATGAAATCTCCCTACTCACCCCTTCTAATGTTAATTATAGTTTTGTAAATAATAAAACCTAAACATAATCACTTGAATAGACCAGCACCAAATAAAAATTTCATAGCTCTTTAGCAAGTAATATACGAAACCGTGTTTTAACGATTCCCAAGGGAGCTGGAAAACAAATGGTAAACCGAAGCTAACAAGTAAGTGAAAATGAACCATACAACAACAATGAGAGCAAACTAAGCTTACCCTCAACCACATCTCCAAATCCTGCAAACGCGTCCCTAAGAGACTGGTCATCAACTCCATATGAAAGGCCTACGTACAAAATCCAAAATAATAAAACCATACGAAAATTAGCACCCATAAATCTGGTCTTTGTCAATAACCATCTTTCCAACGAAATTCAATACCTCCAACAAAAAGCTTGCTTGAAGACATGCAGCGAATATAATTGAGCATGGATGCAACAGGTGATTGTGTGCTGTTAGCACCACCCTGCCTCAAGAGATTTCCAACCTTACTACAGAATGCCATTATGACTGTTGCCTGAGCTTAGACCTTCCCAAATCCTAATAACAACAACCAGAAATATCATCATAATCGTTAGACTAAAAATACATCAAGAACTACATGGAAAATTAAAAAAGACTATCACATTCACTGTTTAAAAACCAAGCCAACTTTCGCCTATCTCCTTCTAATGAAAAATAGAAAACACAAAGGCAAAGAAATCAACAACCTCAAGAAGAGAACGTCATAATCGACACGGAAACAAATGAAAACCCAACGAAGCCCAAAAAAAGCAAAACAAATGGAAAAAAAAACACGAATAAACAAAAATATGGAAAATGAAACAAGAAAGGCAGAAGCTTGCAGAAAAAGCATCAAAATCAGATCTCGGAACGAGGAAGAGAATTACCGAAATGAAGATGAAGAAGGGTTAAGCGGCTAGGGTTTAAGCTCAAATATCACACTCGTAGTCGAAAGCTTCGAAAATATCTTCCGCTTTATAGAGAAGGGGTGAGTCGTAGTATCCAGGATTGAAATCCCCTGCACGTAAGTCTATATTTTAATTTTGCAACTGCTACTGTTGTATGTGTCCTATTGGTTCTCTTTCACTTTATCTTCGTTGACTTTCAACTAATTTGGAGACCATTTGTGCGCTCTGTGCACGATCATTTCTCTGTTCTTATTTAAATGTGAAGGGCATTGCGATTAACTAAATTCTTTTGAAGGAGTCATCGTTCTCATCTTCTCTTATTTCCTTTATTTGAATAAGCAAAACGAATTACTTTGCATATTTTCTCATTTAAATAAGTTTATGCTTAACTTTGAAATTAAAGGTATCATAAATTTTAAATTAAATTTATAAATGAAACAAATTAAAAAAATAATTTATCACACTAAATAAAAAATAAAGCTCTCAAAAATTATAAAATTAATTTCCATTAAAATGTATTATGACATCAACAAAATGTAGACCTTATTTTTTGCTCCACACAGTGCAAAAAAAAAAATGGAGCAGGAAACGAAGGCCCAAAACATTGAGCCCAAAGTCATTCTACAATGTGCCAGAGTTTACCCGACCACGTGCCTGCGAGGGGAAAGACCTAACATTAGGTGTCATTAGGATGGCAATTCAATCAAGTTATTTAGCTTATGTTCTTAAGTTATACAAATTTAGTCTCCATCAATTAAATTTTCATCTAATTCTCTTAAATTCTATTTTTTTCTCAAAATATTTACAAATTAAACCGATCAAATTATCTTCTATTTTAAATTAGCTAACAAAATATCAAATATTTACAAAATATAAATGAATTTTACGTATTTTTGTTGAAGCATATTTCTCATGTAAAGATACAAAGACAAGTAACTCATATATATATATATGAAAAAAAATATTCTTACATCATTTAAAAATTCTTATACTCAACTTAAATTTTTTAATTAATTTAAATTTAATGACTACTAAAATAATAAATTATAAAAATAAAAAATTTAGATAAAATATAAGAATTTTTATACTTACATAATATCTTGCATATATATATTCACACTGGCATCAACGTCGCATTTCACGATTTCTCCGAATGGCTAGTTTTCAAGAGTAAGATCATGACTAACATTGAATGAAATGTAATATTTATTAGAAAAAGAAAAAATATAAAAATAAATAAACTTAGCTTGAAGCACATTTGGTAGAATTTATGGTGACATGCATGAGAAGAAGGAAAAGAGCGTGAAAAGAGAAAGTCAAATGTATCTTTAAATAATTTTAAAATCCACCCACATATAAAGGTACAATCAACGACATATATAGTTTTATTGATATTTTAAAAGAAATGCAAACCCCAAGTTCATCACAAAAATATATAATTATACTGTGCGAATTAGCACATTGACTTGTCAGTTATTTATTTGTTTTTGTTTTCTTTACTTATTAATTTATGTTTTTTATTTTGTGGATTACAAGAAAAATAAATGTTTATGAGTATTTGTTCGGTTTTTTTTTCTTCCAATTATATAAGAAGTTACCAACACCTATTGGTCAAATTGTTGAGAAATAGGTTTTCTTTTTAATAAAATCCAGAGTTTTTCAGTGTTTTTTTATTTAAAAATCTCTTATTAATCACCCAAATTAACTTTTTAGCACACGAGTCAAAGTAGATATAACATGAAACCATAGCTTCGTGACACAAACTATTTTGTAAGCTATTTCATTTTGATGCATACAATGACAGTTAATACAATTTATTTTAATTTCTTCAATTATAAGCATTCATCCCTTAAATATTTATTTTTTAAAAATAATTAGTTTGATTTCATTTTTTATTATCACTTTGAATTAAAAGGAACTAAAGTGAATATAATTTTGTAAAATTAAAATTAAAGTCAAAACTTTATAAAGTTAGAGACTGAACGATTGCTGTTAAAACAAATACTTAGTTATTCCATTATAATTCATAGTAAACTGAGTTAAACTTTATATTTAGTCTTTACGAAAATCATTGCATGATTGATTTAATTTATATTTTTAAAGATATTTCTTATAGTTTTAAACAAGTTATTTTTCGGAAAACAGTATTATGGGCAAAAAACAAATTAAGTTAAGGAAAGATATTTTTTCAATGATTTTACCAACACCAGTATTTAAGGCTAAAATTAAACACTTGAATGTAATGATTTTTTTATTAAAAAATATACATTATACTAAAATATAAAGTATAATAATTACTTAATTTCTCATTAAGAATATACTATTTTACATGCATTTAAAAGGTGAAATTAATGTGTTTTTACAATTTCCGATATGTTTTAGTAATTGCAAGCTAACGGCCTTTTTTCCCAGCTCAAACTCGGTGTACAAAAACTGTAATTGAGAATATAAAGTGTGGATACATCTAATAAAACTATGGCTCATAACTCATAATCGATGTTTCTTGACAGGGATATTGGTGGGTTGAATTTACAAGAGCTTTGATCTAGATCATGAAATGAGTTCAAATTAAGTTTGATGTATTTAGATAAAATTTGTACCCTCGTTCTGAATCAAAACAGACGATGAAGTCCAAGGTCATTCGAAGAACAAGGAATAAAAAGTGAAAAAAAGGGGATGAAGGTCGAATTAAACTTATTTAAATCCAAATGAATGAGAAGAACATATGAAATTGAAAGAAGTGTAGAGTATATTATTTGTTATCTAAATATTTAATCCGAAAATAAAGGGAAGGAGGAAGAAGAAGGAAAGTTGGAAGAGAGAGGAAAATAACACATAAGCACCCTAATAGATATCACATATGGGAGACGCTAAACGCAAATAACGAAAAGAGAGAGAGAGAGAGAGACTCAGGCTGGGTGGCATATACACACAACACAACACAACACAACACAACATAACACAATAAGCAGTGTGGGAAGAAAGAAAACCCAGAATCTAGAGCCGACCCTCCATCACACCATACCATAACAACGAGAACACGATTCTTTCTTCTTATTCTCTCTCTCTGTATTTTCTATTTTTCTCTTACTTTTTCGTTTTATTCATCTGAAAGAGAGATCTTATCTTGTCTTCCCACAATGCCCCACTCTGTAGTAGACAAGCTATTCTTCTCTCACTGATTTCCCTTACACTCTCTTTCGTCCTTCCAATCTCCCGCTTCACGCTTCGAATCAGAGCTTCTTTTCCCCCTTTTGATCGATACCTATTATTGCTTAGGTACCCAAAAAGTCTTTGATTCTTTTATTCCAATCAATTTCACTGCTTTTTTTGGTAGAAAATTTTTATGATTGGAATTAGGGTTTTCTTTCTTTGTGGGTATTCTGGATTCCCGGTATGTACTCAGCTTGTTTGTGTTGCTGGATTTTTTAGGGTTTTATGAGATCCTAACTTGGTACTCGCTGAATTTCGGATTTCGGACTGGTAAGGGTTTTGATCAACTGCGCGTGGGATTGCGTGAAATGGGCATGAGCTCCGATCCTTTTAAAGGTTCGAATTGTGGGTTTGGAAACACGGTGCTTGAGCATTTGTACTTGGAGATTGCTTATTCTTAAGATAAGATGGTCTTTAACATTGCTTCTATGAGCATGGAAGAGGATTGTCTATATTAATTGTTTGCACTGTGATCAACACTTTCAGAGAGCCTATTATATACACACTACAAAGGCAGTGTCTTCGTTTTTTGCCTTTTTCATCTTTGTTGGGGACTATTTTGGTTTTGGGCCTTCACACAAAAGAAAAGCTGATGATTCTTTGTTGGCCCCAAAGAAAATATTGAGGATCTGATTGCAGTGGTCCATTTTTGTTTGTGAAGAAACCTTTGGATTGATATAATCTAAGACCCTAATCTTAAACGTATACTTATTGGGGGTTGTGCTGAAACATTTGCCATTGTATTAGGATTTTAGTTAGTTAAATTGAATGGTTGCCGTGCTCCATCTTCATTCGATTCCTTAATTTTCATCAAATTTCGATAATATTAGTTTCAGCTATTTGCATGTTTGGTGAAGGGAAGTAAACCTTGGTGGTTTCCATAATTTGTGTTTGTAGTGAGTAAGAAGCTTATGGAGGAATATTAAAGCTGGAAATGAATGCGGTGACATGGTGCATGGACAAGAGCATAGTTGCTGGTTTGTTCCCTTTCTGGAACAGTGCTATTGGAAAGTAATTAAAGCATTCACAATTTTACTAGGAGGATACACTTGGCATATCTGGACTTTGTGCAATGTCGCGCTGCTTTCCATTTCCACCACCAGGATATGAAAAGAAGACTAGAACAGATGACTTGGATTTACTAAAGAAGGTTAATATACTTTCCTTGTATGCAAATTGTACATATTGTTTGACTATCTATATTTGGGATAAAAAATGAAATTTATTTGAGCTGCATAGTGTTAAATGTACTTTGACATGATTCATTTTTCTGAATGGACAGTTAAAATGGTTCTTAAGAATATATGCACATCCATGATGTGATTTAATTTTGTATTTGATATTTTTTCACCAGCTGGTCAGGGGAGTGGGATAGGTGGTTTTTTCTTAGATTGCAGGATGTGAACCCTGCCCCTAAAGCTCATGAACCCCAAGCTCTACTACTTGAGCTATGGGGGGTTCTTTCATATGCTTCTTCTGAACTGTGGATAAATTGGATTTTCTTATAGTCCATTTTAAATTGACAAGTTGAAGCATTTGAAATGGTATTTTTAATGTATTAAACTCGTGGCAAAAGTAGAAAGATATTGTTTAATTGGGATTTGGATGCAGTTGAAGATGATTGGATACATATATATATATATGTATGTATGTATGTATGTATGTATGTATTGCAAATTTTGATTTGTTATGATTGTGTACTCGTGGTTGATGAAAGTTGATTATTGTTGCTTTCATGTTTCCTTTGTTGTACGTTACAATAATTGTTGTCTTTTTCAATCTAATATTATAAAATTCATGTTGGTTTTTTATGTAATCATGCTCTCTATAAATTTTAAATTTTGGACTGATGTGTTGCATAGTGCTGAGCATACAATACAAATTCCAAGGAGTTGTTGCCTTTGCTGGTGATGAGATAATGATTACAAGTTTTTCTGCTCTTCTTATTCTATCTACTTTCATCTTTAGACTGATTTCACTAAGATTTAAATAAGACTTTAGTATGTATACTTAACCTATTTATGTTTTGGTCCTTTATCTCGATAAATGCAAATGTAAAGAACTGCTTGTTTGTTGGTAAATAAAAACTAATGTTTATGTATGATAAGTGCAGGGGACTAAAATTCCTAATGGATGAGAAATATAGGACAAGTATTTTAATGACAAAGACGAAAACCCAAATGAGTGATAGAAGCATCAATACCATTAGAAAAAAACTATAGGGATCATAGCCTGAACAAGTGAAAAACATAAGGTCTAATAAGCAATATCTTTTCACTAAACCCTAATCATTCTACTATCTACATGGAAATTTACTTTTTTAAATCGAATATAACTTGTACTTGCATGCTAGGTGTACTGATCTATCGTTTGTTTAAAGATAATCTGTAATGTTTGGTACTCCTGGGTGAGATAAAACATGAGTGAAATCAACTTTGTATGTTGTATATCACAAAGTCATGCTTTTGTTTTGAATTTTTCACGGATTTTATGGTGCTGTACTGTTTGGTATGGGATAGGGGGAAATGTAACCTGTGATTAAAATTTTAGTAATTACTTTTCATCAACTTGTGAGTCCTTTAGATGGGAAAAAAGTAATAGTTGACAAAATGTGGAAAAGTTGGACAAACATAGCTGAGCTGATATCTATTATTGGACTTCGGGAAAACTGATTTTGGTGCACCATTTCTTTTTGTATGATAAATGCGTATAATTCTGGATAAAGCATGATTTTGATGTAAAACAATGCTTTTGGGCTTGATGTTGTGCCCTCCCATTTAGAAATAAGTGTTGAGGCTTGAGAGTACGATGTTAAATGTGTGGCATGCTGTGCTGCAGTGATATTCATTATAGGCACACCATGCATTATTAGGATCTATTTTTGTGATTATTATTGCCATGTTAATTAAAGGAATGGTTAGTCATGTGTACATGCATACTATTACTTCTTTGCAAAAATAATTGCTCCGAAACCAGAGAACTTGTGTTGGGATTATTGTATTTGTTATATTAATTAAAGAGATGTTAAACATATAAAATTGCATATTAGTGCTATTTTGTTGTAAGACATTGTACCTCAAATATTAAACTGCTGGTCATTCTGTGTTGAGCTGGATGCTGGCTTCTTATGTGTGGGTATGTATTTTATTTATTGTGGATGATAAAGTGATTGTCTGTTTCCTGGGTCTTTTGCCTCATGCTTTGACTAATTTTGTTTCCTCTCGTGATTAATAATATATTATGGTAAATGTTAACTAATGCCCTTAGACTACCGATTAAGGATTTAAAAGTAAAAAGTGTTTGTTTGAAAATGTTGTTAATGTTCTGTCTCCCATGATTTTCAATGCAGTGCAATGTGATTTCTAATAAAGAGTTTCTTCTTTTGATTCCTTGAGGGCATTGGTCAGCAAGACCCTTTTTTTTTTTGCATTGCTTCTTTAATTATAAATGGCTAAATTAGCACCTGTTGGCTGTGTATTTTACTTGTTCTTTTGTTTGCTAGATCTTCAAGGTCCGTGTTGTTATGGTTCTTCTGGTGTGGATATTATTCTCTTTTGTATTTCTTTTCAGGGTGGAATGGGGATGTGAAGTCCATTTTACTTGTTTCCTCATTTGACTGTTTGTCTTAATATTGATTTTCACCATACAATTTGCAGGAAAAGCATAAAGAAAAGAAACATAAAAAAGAGAAGAGGGACAAAGAGAAGAAGGAAAGTAAGGAGAAGAGAGAGAAAGAAGGAAGGGATGGAAAGCATAAGGAAAAGAAGGACAAAAAAGAGAAGCACAGAGAAAAGAAGAAAGATAAGGACAAGGACAGGGATAAAGATAAAAGTAAAATCAGTGCTGCGGATGAGAAAGGATTTCCTGGACAAGCTCAGGGTCCCAATGCAAGTAAATTACATCAAAAGGAAATCAAACCAAATGATAAGAAGGGTGTTTTGTTTGACGATAAACTTACCAAACAGTATGCCGGTAACAACGGGGAGAAGGCCAGAGAGAATAATCATCTGGTTGAGGAGAACAGAGATTCTAAATTTCTCCTGGAGTTGGACAGGAGGATTAGGAACAATGATGGAGGAGCTGGTAATCAATTGGTTCATAAGTTTACAACTGCAGAACACAGAAAGGATGAGGAGACTGTTAGGTTGGTTGCTAAGGGTAGTGGCACCTGGCCTGATGGTAAGGACAGGCTCCAGGATAAGGGTAATGATTCCAGGAAGATTGATGGGAGAGGAATCTGGGCTGAGGCCCGACCTATTGGAAATGCAGCAGTTCAAAACCATGCTGGAAATTTTCATCCCCGGGTTGATCAAATGCCCAGATCTTTGGAAAAGAATTTTGACAAAACTTTGGAAACAACATTTGAAGGGAAAGAAAGGGTTAAGGAAAAAAAAGATGACAAGCAAGGAGAAAAAAGGAAAGATAAAGAGAAGGAGAAGAAAGGACACGGGAAGGACAAAGACAGGGATAAAGAGAAGAAAAAAGAGGAGAAAGCAAAGGAGAATGCTGAACATAAAAACAGAGAGCAGAATAAATTAAAAGAAAGCAACAAAGCTGGTCCATTGGGTTCAAATTCTTATACACAGGTTTCCAAGCACAGCCATGAGAATTCTATTGTTGGGGAAAATCTCAAGAAACGAAAAGACATTGAATCAAATGGAGTTCTGCATGGTGAGTGCCATATATGATAAAACATTTTCTTATCGTTGCTCAGTGATCCCATCAGGTTGTAGTTAGTGGTAGACAAAATCGGACATTTCTCTTGTTGGACTTTAGAGTATTTTTTCGTTGACCTAATAGCAGATATCTACATCCTATGAGATAGTGTTGGATGTCTAATGATGTCACATAATTATTTTGATATCTTAGTGATTAATATTTTTTTAAGTACAAATTACAATGATAATTTTTCTTGAGTTTGTATGCTCTATATTTGCTGTTGGCTGACATGTTATGATTCATTTTTTAATTTTCATACAGCCAATGACAATTGGCCCAGTAAGTTGCTGAAACCCTCTCCTTCTGATCTCTTGACTGAAAATGGAAGGATATTGGAACCCTGTCAAATTTCCCTTCTGAATGCTTCTGATAAGCTAGGAGCAGCCTCTAATGTTAAGGTTGATAAAAAGGAACGCAAGGTAAATGGCATTATTGAAGCTCTACCGACTACAGTTTCCTCGAACAAAACTCCCACTGCTACCATACCAGCTGATCCAGTGAGTGAAGCGTCTACAAAACCACCCCATCCAGATACCAAGTACCTAAGTCAGGTATACACCGTACCCAAAGCAGACGAGTGGTCTGATTTTGATGACCAAGAGTGGTTGTCTGGCAGCAGTTGTTTACAAGAAAAAAAACCTGTTGTGAAATCTTCAGAGGTTGGAGACTCACTACAGGTATGGGCAGAAGCTGTGCATATAGAGCCAGCAGATATTTTTGCTCTGCCATATGTCATTCCATACTGATTGATTATTTAAGTGGCGCATGATACTTCAAAAGTATCTGCACAAGGAACCCTCCATTGGTTCACCCTATTGGGGAGGAACAGCAGCATCTGGTGCCATAAAATGATTCATACTTTCTGATGCATTCTTTTGTTATTTGCACTGGCAACAAATAATGTGACTGACTGCGGCCTTGATCATAAGCTGTTTGTGTTTGGATGGGCATTTCTGTCAGACTTATCTTGAACCGATGATGGGAAGGAAGCACATGTCACAAGTGATTGCAAGGTAGGTGCATTGCTGCAGGCCTGGTTGGGGGGTTGCAATTCTCACTTCACGCATCATAGTAATTCATTTACAGATTAGACTTCATAAAGACAGCCGCAGGTTGTGGGGAAGGGACTTGTGCAACTTGTTTTTTTAATCTTAATTTTTGCCTAGATCTTAGCCTGGGCAGCTGGTTCTTTCTAATAGAATGAGAATGTAAGAGAAACTAGACCACAATTTTGATTTGTAACATAGAAATCCTATTTACAAGAATATGTATGATAGAGGGGTAAAAGGTAGTAGTCGGATTCATTTATTGGGTTTCCTGTAAATTTTCTTGGTAATCTCATCATTTTGCTAGTCCTTGCTATAAATGGGCAATGTTGAGTTAAATTATTATAAGAGATATCATATAATTTAAGAAATGGTTGACTTGTTTCTGAAAAGTTACTGACAAACTTTACTTTCAAATGTGTATCGTAAATATCCTAATTAATCAATATCAGTTTCAAATGTATATTTTCATTATTCTTATGTAAAAGTAGGATTGATTAGTGGATTTAATCAGATGGGGCGGTGAATGTTGCTATTTAAATTCTGCTAATATCAAGTTAAATGTTATTTTTTTTATTTTTATGTTAATGGAATTCAGGGTTTAATCTGATTGATAAATCTATCAAAGCTTAACATGATCTCTGAAGTATTTGATTTCTGCAAGTTAGAAGCAAAAATTAAAACTAACTAACCTGACCTTAAAAGCTCGGGAATTGAGTTAAATTAGATCAAAACTTTTTTTTTGGGGAAAAAAATAATGTCTTGTGGGGAAAAGTCAAGTCACGTCATAAATTGTCTCTTATAATGCCAAGAGATTTATTTTGTTCGTCAATAAAAATTTTCAGACCCATCTGTGCAAGACAGTTGAAGTTGAATCCAAGTATTTATAAAATTTATCTGTGTAAAGGGTTTTTTATTAAACAAAGAGTTTGAACTTGGATCCGAATAATTTCCAGAAATTAATTACGAGTATTAGTTCGAATCTAAATAGTACAACACCAAACTTAACCTATATATGTACACATGATAAATATATTGTTGGATATTTGATATATTTTATAATCAAAATTTACGTTAAATGTTATACTTGCAACTGATTTTTAAATTTTTTCATAATTATTTTTTGTATGAAAATATTAGTTTTATTAATTTACAAAAAAATATTATATATTTAAAAGAGAACATGTTTAATTTAACTACAAATTGACAATGTTAATAATTTATTGGATATATAAGATATTGTATACATTTATCTTTAGGGCAATGAAGCATTGACTAAGACTTTATATCCTTAATAATTTATTTTTTTGTCTATACACAAAGTAAGTAATCCAATTGATGTGAATAACGGAGAGAGCATTTTTGAAAATCGACTACTCTACCCTTTTGATCCGAGTGTCTGGGAGCAAATTTATTTAAAGTCAGAGGGACTTGAAAATTAAAAAACGAGTGATCGATGTGTGGTGTGAGTTTGATCCGCAAGAGACAAACGATGAAGCCAATAGGATGAGCCAGGCGTGTTCCACCATACCCTCCCTTTCCATTCGGATAATCTACCCAAACATTCCACAAATATTTTTCATCAACCTTTTTATAAATAAATAAATCTTAAGCTCAATCAAATTTCAAACTATAAATTAACCATAAAAAGGGTGATAAGCGCACGCAAAGGAGTTGAGGTGAGTGCCTCTTAAACATGTCAAACTATATTGGATTATATTATATATGTTTGTTAAATTGGATTATATGCTTCGCATTTCGAAACTCAATATTGATAATGGCAAGCAATTTGTGGCCATTCATGTGGAGTGATAGAATCAAGTAATTCAACTTTGAATTTGAAGTATAATAATCACAATAATAGTTCTTAATTACTACAATTTGTCCCCTTTTTGTTTTGTAAAACAATAAAAATAGTAATAAATGCATGTATTGATTTTAAGCAGCGACGCCAAGTGCTGGTATGTTTGATTGATGTGTTTGGTGCTCGTCAATGTTGCCTGTTTGCTCAGCCACCCCGAGATCTTCACAGGTCAATTTCTTTTGAATTTCTCTAACAATATTATCTGCTTCTGCTTTATGAAAAATTTGACGGTGTTCTTTCAGATTCCCTTGTTTGGGGGATTGCACACAATTCGAAAGGATCTTGAGAGTAGATGTGTGGCTGAAGAAGCTGTTCATCTGGGTTTGCAATGTGGAACGAACTCACTCAGAAATTCCTTTACAGTACACGCTATAAAGACTGTCTCGGGTCCAAGTGAACCGGGATATCTTACAAACACATGGGGTTATTCACAAGTGACAAACGATGCTCATCATTCACTGAGTTATGGGGAAATCAGACACATGGAAAGTTATCATTTATCTACTGTGCCAGAGGAATTTGTGGACTTCACAGAACAGTCAACCGAAGGATCTAATAATGCATTAGTAGCACCAGTGCAACCAGAAACACTATCAAGTACTGATATGATGCCTGAGAAGTTTGCACCTGCGCCTAGTTCAATTGAGGTGGACAATGAATCGTTAGCCAGTACAAAAGCAAGTGTTGGTGACCTTTTTGCTGGAATCAATGAGTCATTCAATGCCTCAGTCAATAATGGAGAAAATGCTTTACGAAGCTCACTGGATACAGCCACTTCTTTTATAGATTCTGTCGTTAAAACTGCCACTGAATCTGTAGATAATGTTTTTAGTAAGGCGTTTTCTGCTGTTGACCAAACAGGGGAAGTAGCAAATAAGAAATTTACCAGCTTCTCCAGTGAGGTAACTGGAGTCGCAAATAAAGCACCTGTTGTGGCTATTGATGTGTTGCGCCGCACGATTGTAGCAGTAGAGAGTTCTCTAACAAGTGGAACTTCCTATGTTGTCTACCTATATGGGTCAGCCAAGGAGCTCCTTCCTGCAGGGATTAGGGATACAGTCAATGTATATGAAGATAAAGCTACAGAAATCTTAAGGCCTGTTGGGTCTGCAACTCAAAAGGTATCATTTTACTGGTTGTTATAGTTCAATAGGATCCTTTACTCTCAACCTTACCTGATTCTACGTTTTAACTTCCCCTGAAAATTTCATGGTGGTTAATGATTGCTTGAAACTTGGATTTGAATTATCAAATAAGTTGAGTCAAATCATCTCCTTCATGGGTGGCTCCTCATCAGCTCCGCTGAAGAATTCTTTGCTGTTATTCGTTGTTGAAATATTCTGGATTCATGTCCTTAATATGCTGTTTCGTTTCACAAACATTCAAAATTTGTTAGCTGATTTATAGCCTCTTCGTGTGTTATATTCTGACAATTTATGCCTCATTATCAGATATACACAGCTTTCTATTCATTGGAGAAGAGTCTTGGCTTGGATCCAAATGACCCAATTATTCCATTTGTTGTTTTTGTGGGCTCTTCAGCAACATTATGGTATGTGAATGTGTCTTTCCTCAGAAGTAAAAATTGTTATTTATCTATTGGAGAATATAATTTCCATCATAAATGCTATCTAATGAATTTCAGATATATGCAGGGCTGTTTATTGGTTGGGGACATATGGAGGTTACTCAGGAGATTTATCCCCTAAATCAGCTTTGGATCTTTTGGCTGACACAAATGCTGCACTTATTGATGTCCGCAGTGAGGCAAGTTACGATTAATTTTTCTGGCTTTTATTCAAAGCAGGAAAAATAATTATATAATTTATGAAGGTAAAGTCTGGCTATCCCTGTGTTTCAATGCCCATTATATTTTTGTTCAACACTTCTTCCCAACTCAAACTATGGTCTCTTTGTATTAAGGAAGTTTTCTAGCCTTTTGCATTCGTTTGGCTAATTATTTTGACAACAAAATTGACCAGTGAAGTTGCTGCTCCTTTTCTTTCTGCAGGAGCTGCGAGAAAAAGATGGTATTCCTGATCTTCGACGGGCTGCTCGGTTTCGTTATGCAAGTATAACTCCACTTGAGGTTGGTTTAAAGCATGATAATGTTTGAAAGTTGTGACTGGGATAATTGCTAGGAACAAATCCAGAACCTAGGTTGCTTATTAGGTGGATTAGCAATTAATTTGTAAATCTATCTGACCACTAAAATAACATGTTATGCAATTGTCAGGTTGATGGCTCCATACGCAAGTTGTTGAAGGGTGGTAGAGACCTCGATGACTCCTTGATTGCTGCTATTATTCGAAATTTGAAAATTGTGAAGGTATTTATTTTTGTATCCTGAAATAGGGTCTAGTGTTCTGAATAAAGTTACTTGAAAGTTCATGGAACAACCCCAGAAATTCTTCCTGTTTTTAGATTTTCTTCCATGTGACACTCTTGGCTAAACAGTATTTTATATATACTTTTCAATCTCTCTCTCTCTCTCTCTCTCTCTCTCTCTCTATTTTAATATTATGGTGTGCAGTTATTGATCTCTTGGGAGAGTTATCAATGACTCCTAACCACAGTTATGTGGTATTATAAAACAGGATTTGTGATTTAGCAGTTTCATTATTTTAATTTTTCCAACATTAGATGGGACTTTTGAAGTGCCTACATATCTTGTATCCTATACAATAGATAAAAATGTTCATGGTAAGTATGTGATTAGGAACTGGCATGAAAAATGATGTCTCAAAATCTTATTTTCTCTGGCCTATAGGACAGTTCCGGGGTTATAGTGTTGGATGCTGATGGTACCCGTTCTAAAGGCATTGCAAGATCCTTGAGAAAAATTGGGGTCAAGGCAAGTCTCTCAATACCTGCTGAGATATTTACGGCAAAAATTTACTGAGATATTAAAATTCTTGGCTGAGTTTAGCTTTGTACTATGATATTTGCGTTCTAGGTAACAAAGAACAGTTTGTGCTGCTTCCATATCTGATATAGAATCATTGAAATTGGCATTTATATTTAAAGTTTGGGGTTGAAGAGCCCTGCCATGGGGGAAAAGTAAGATAATAACAAAGAAAATCCTGTCAAATGTACTCCTGCTGATCCATATAACTCAAATCTCTGTTAGTGTCTGCATGATTTCAACCTTAATATCAGATACATGATACGTGTTCTCTCCTCAGTTCTAAATGAAAATGGATTGAATAAATACTGCAGAGTTAAAATATGGTATCTTATGAGCTAGTTCATAATACTCCTGCGAAGGACAAGAGGGTTTGATTGATTGAAATTGTAAATGAGAAAAAAAATTGATTTAATTCTAGGTGCCCTAACTCACATATGTTCAAACTGACACTCATCTGTGCTTTAGCAGAGGTTTGTTGCCCAGCTTGACTAATAGATAGATTCTGCACAATCAACTTATCCACCAAATTTGAAATAAAATCATGTATTGCAGTATCATAAAATTTACAACCTCTGTGTACAATATTACAGAATCCATACTTGGTTGAAGGCGGCTTTCGGTCTTGGGTGAAGCAAGGTCTCCGCACCAAGGAACTCAAACCTGAGACAGCACTTTCCATACTCAATGAGGTATTTGTCAAACTATTGTTGTTTATCTGTATCTATACCAGTATGGATTTTGTTAGACTACATAACGAAAAATAATGTGATGAAAACTCTGTAGGGTTAGGTAATGGTGCTACTACTCTAGTGCTTGACCTATGACTTTAAGCTCTTAGTTGTAAATTAATTATTTGGCTAAAAACTGAAATTGCCAAATTGATTTCTAGTAAGCAATTGGCTGGCTACCTTTAGTTGTTAGTCTTCCAGTTTCGTTGTGTGTCTTTAGAAAATCAATACTTAAGTTGTAGACATATATGATTTCAAATTTCATTTTAGTAAACATTAAGGTAGTAGTCCCATGACCTTTTCTGAGTTTATCAAGAATCAGTTGCTGTCTAAATATTCTTTTAGGACAAAAGAAGTGAAACTAAAATTTGTAATCCAGTAACTGCTTACTCTGACATTGTCTTGAATAATTAGAATTTCTGGCAGCTTTCTTTCCATTTATTCTCGTTAGTCTTCCTCTGTGTGTGTATCTGTTACAAACCCAACAACAGAATCTGATATTTCAAAGAGAGTTGACAAAACAGAGAAGAGAGAAAGTGAAAGAGCAGTTTTACGATGATAGATCAAATGACAAGCAGAGAACAGGAGAGAATTTTCCTTCCAAGGGTTCCCCCCCTAAATAAAGGGTGTCCCCTTTACAACTGAGCTAGTGCTGGTTTCTCCAATATTAACAATATAGAAGGAATCCTCTTTTGCCTCTGTCTCCGGATCCTATCAGTTTCTGTGTTTATGCTTTTATTTTGAGGACATACAAAAGTTTAAAAGAGAAACTTTAGTTTGATTTCATCAACGCATATGCATTTTGGTGCTTTTACAGGAAGCTGAAGCAATTCTGGAGGATGTTAGACCTTCTCCTTGGCAATTTATAGGTTATGGTACGGTAAGTATCAAGTTACTTGTATGGCATGTTCACGATTTTCCCAACTTAGTTATTTGTCTATTTGGTTGGATTCTCTATATGTAATGTACTATTCAGTCAATTTTGTAAGGTACCACCACAGGGTAGAAAAGAAACAATTTTAGTGAGGCAACTTATGTTCAGAAGAGTAAAGGGGAAGAAAAATAATTTGATAGCAGTTTCTAGTTATTTCATTTCTTTTGTTGTTCTGTCATTTTTGGAAATTCACTTATTGCTGCTTGAATATGTAAAGTAGCCGAATAATCCTATGAAATAGACAATAATCTTAAGTAAATATTTTGCCTACTTCCTTAATATCATGAAGGAATCTTTTCTTTTCATATTTTGATTTGATTTGGAAATGTTTACATAATCAATATTTGGTTTTATTATCTGCTATTAAATGCAAATACTTTTGATACAGATACTTGCTGCAGGGCTGTATGCATTGTTAGGTGCGTACATGTTCTTTCCTGACTATCTATTTGGCTTACATCTAAATTCTATGGCAGTAGCCTGGGTAATAGAAATATTTTGCAATCAATACGTGGCTCTGCATATATATGCTTACAAACACACATTTATGTGAAGTTGACTAGTCTACCTTTTCTCAAATTATGTGTAAGATGTTATTTTGTGTTTGGAAATTCAATCTAATTCAGTGGCGTAAACTGATGCTCTAAATCCATCAACCATCATGCATGTGAGTGTCCACATTTTTTTTTGTTAAATTAATTTGGTAGTCCCTGAAATATGTGGGATTTTTTATATATGTTCTTACACTTTAGAAGTTTGTAATTTGTTTTTTAAACTTACAAATCATTTAAATTGGGTCCCTAGGTGAGGGTTCCATCAAATTGGACAAAATATACTTGATTTCTTTTAAAGCATGAAGACCTATGAAAAATTTCAAACAATTCCGGGACCAAGTTGCTAGTTTAATTCTTCAGCAGGTCTTCGAATTATTTGAGAATTCCAAATGGGCCCCTGTTTTTAAACGAGGATCAAGAATATTCTGTCTAGTTTTACAGAACTTTAACCTAAAAATTCAATTAAAAATGATTTATAAGTTCAGAAATCTAATTATAATCTTTTAAAGTACGTGGACTTCTTTAAATAGTTTTAAATAATTCAGGGGTTAATAGATTAATTTAACTTTTATTTTTTTTAATGAAAACTAGGCTGCCATAACTTTCTTGTTCACCATCCTGGAATGGGATGAGGCTTTTTTTATTTGTCCTGATCTGACAAAGCACAAATAATATTTTCTCAGAGTGGGAGAAGACATTGCAGTTAATTGGTGCGTTTGGCCTCGGTTTGGTATGTGTATTTTACTTTTCAGCAAGTAATTCAATTAAATTGTTTCTTGACTTGAATATATTTTTAGTCATTACATTTTTATGAGTTTTTTAATTTTAAAATTTTTTTCTTAGTTTTGGTTCCTATATTTGTGTAACTCCAGTGTTTTAGTCCCTCTTATTAATGTGGTCACGTAGATAATCAACATGTGACAGTTTCTTCGTTAACCACATCATCATTTAAAAGTCAATATAGACCAAAAGTGTTGACTCTGGAAAAATTGGGGACTAAAACTAAAAAATAAAGGTGAACTAACAATTTATCAAAATGTAAGGATTAAAAGTATTTTCAGCCTTGTTTCTTTAGAAGTAAAAAATGAGAGATGTAGTTCATCTATCTTCTTATGTTAGGAATCACATGGTGGGCTGCCGGAAATTCTCATATTCTGTCATGTTTTGTAGTCTCTTAGTCAATAACATCAGAGATTTTCCATTTTTTGACAAATGGTCCTCCGTATATTCACCAGACCATCTATGTACGGGTTTGTTCATATGAAAACTCGGAAGATTTAAAGCAGGATGCGAGGTATGTATACTTCATGATGGATATTGGGTCATATAATCATGATATTAGATAGCAATATAGTAATTTAAACATTATCTTATAACCATATAATGTTCACTAGTTAACTTATATCTTAATATTCAAATCAAGGAAGATTTCTCACAACTTCTTGACTTTATGTTCCGAACTATTCGCTTGTATGTTATGGGTTATGTTATATTATGAACTATGTTAAACTGCCATTACATAGTGATGGGGACCAAGGAGAAGAAAATGGGCCTGAGGAGAAAGTAATCTACTATTACTTAGGAAATTAGTGTATGTGAGGAAAAGTTAAAAATTAAGAAATGTTTGATGTGCTGAGTTGGCATAGTTAGTTATTGAGAGAGAATAGTTTTTGATTATTTAGGCATGTTTAGCGGTGAGAACCTTTCTTCTTCTGTATAGTTTCCATTTTCTGTTGCAAATAATACAAACTTCCCTTATTCTCTCTTAATATTGTATATCTTGTTCTGTGATTTTCGGGTAACACATACAGAATTCTTGATTTTAGACATGTAAAAGGATCAGAATATGCGTTTATATGACCCCGTAGACAGATCACAGATACCAGAACATAAGAGTGTGAAACAAATTCACGAGCCTTTTTCATTTTGGATTTCATGTAGCTAAACAAACTCTTTAGGCACAACGTATGTTATCTTTTGTTTCTTCTTCTTGAGAATGACTAATATCTTACTAATACCTAGAAAATTTTTATGGGAACTTACTGTAATTGCAATTTTTTCTTGTGCACTGATAAATAAGATATCAAATGTGACTTATTCATAAAATATAATATATTTTGAAAATTGTATCTAGAACAAAGTTATATTCTTGGTGGTGCTTGTTCAATTGCCTCTAAAAAATTACAGAAGAGTTGTCTGAAATGTTGTCAAACATCTAGAACATGATTTTCTCCCTGAAGAATAGAAAACTATAACTTCAAATAAACAATCAATCTTCGATGTAGAAAGATGTGATTTAGATAAACAAATAGCGGCTAGCCAAAAATCCAGTTTCTGTATCGGTGTATCCTTTCTTACTAGCTTTATTCTGTCATCTGTTATGAACTTTGACCTCATTGTCTTATTTTCTCCTTCAAAGGTTGTTACTTGCTCCTTTTAGACTTGGAGCTGAAGCATTTTCATGGGCTGCTGGAAAATTAGAATCAAATGGCATAGGGCTACCTACATCACCTTCATCATTAGATGTTCAGAACCGGGTGTTGCAGGCTGCTGCCAAACATGAATCCCAACCATCTGATAGTGAAGGAAACCAAGATCCAGTTTCTGATCCGACAGTTCCTCTCAATCAGAATATATGAGATTATTCCAGATTGTCTTGTGCTAACGCGAAAAGGCAGAACATAGATTAGTATGATCACAGCAAATTAACTTACATGACTGAAAGTTTGCAAGGTGACGTTATCCAACCTTTTTCCAAACACAATGCTGCCACGAAACTCGACCCTACCTTGTTTGTAGAGATCAACGATGGTTATATTTGATCTAATCCTTGCAAAATAATAATGTAACTATTTGCGGGATGCAAGTTGTCCTATGAATTTGTGATGCTGCCCCTTGTAACGTTGTAATCTAATCCTTCAATGAACTCATAGTTCGTCCCAGGATCACTTTGCCAACGCGTATGATATACAACAAATGAATATATCACTGTTTTTAAATATTATATACAATTTTAAAAATTTCAACCATACAATTAGATTTGAGGATATATATAATATTTCTCTTATCACGTGAAACAATCATGATAGTTAATGATAGTTAATTTTAACAATAGAGTTAGTAGTTTATTTAAAAAAATATAAATGTTTTGTAATATCTTAATATAATTTATAAAAAATATTCAATGCTCTATTAACTTTAAAATTAACGTAACAAGCACTTTAAATTAATAGGTATATAATGATTGTGTGAAAAAGTGAAAAATAATATAAACATAGAGACAAATTGGTGAAATTAGTAGGCAACTACTTATTCATAATTTTATTATATCTTTAAATATATAAGTACAAATAATTTTTAACTTTGTAATTTGTCAAGTCATTAATAATAATTTAATAATTAATTTTAATACTAATATCTAATAATAAAAAATTAAAATAAAGTATTTTAATTTATTGTAAAAAGTTATAAAATAATTTTTTTATAAAAATCTACACTTCAAAAAATTATCTTCATCACAATTTTCAAGATTTATAGTCTGTATTCTAGAAAAATATAAAGATAAAATTTTATATTAGTGACTTTTTTGTGTACTATTGTTAAATTAATTTTTTAAAAAATAAAAATAAAATAAAATATTGCACTTAATTTAATATATTTTATAAATTTTAAAAATGATTTATTATTATTAATGATAATTATTTTATTGTATTAAAAAACACTAAATTAAAAAGATAATATTATATTTTAAAAAATAAATGATAATGAGTATATATATTATCTAAAAACGGTTTTAGCTTGGAGTCAGGTATTAGTATTGTTCAGATGATAGATGTTTATTTTTAAAATAATACATATTAAGTTCCCTTACAAATTTTAGAGATAAAATTAGTAACTGAGATGATAAAAGATAATGAAACAACATAAAAGATATACAAATAATCTCATATCGATTTTTTTTTCTAAATTCAAATTAATAATTATGATATATATATATATATATATATATATATATATATATATATATATATATTTATGACTGTTAGATTATAGATTTAAGTTGCCCATTGGAATGCGCCGCTCAGTGGCAGAGTCGGTTTTGTTCCCTCCATTCCATTAACAATTTGAGAAGAGAAAATCCATACTCAGCATTCTGCAGCTACGACTACCACTCTCTGCAACTCCATGGCCACTCCTTCACATGCTCAAGCTGTCAAGTCTCTCAACAAGTCCCCTGGTCGCCGCCGTTTTGTGGTAACCTTTCGTCTATCTCTCTGGCCGTGTTGTGGCGGCTCTGCTAAAACCCTAAACCTCGTGTTTGTTACTGGTTATTTATTTATTTTTTTAAATTTATAGAATCCTTGTATCACAATGTTCCTGTTGCTGTTCATATATATATATAAATCATCATCCAGTATCGATTAGTTGTAGCTGAAAATATGCTCTCTGGTAATGCTCTTTTGTATTAGTTGCTTGTTTTTTTTTTGTTTTTTTTTTCAATTTTGCTAAAATTGAATGTGCAGTTTAAGACATTCTCCGAGAGAGTAGATGAGATCGATATCAATGTATATCGAAGTCTTGAGAAGGTCAAAGCGGAGCCATCTGAGGGTTCCTCTTTCTTCAGAGACTGCCTTATAGAATGGAGGGTATGCTATAATATACAATTCCTCTTTATATTGCTTTATGTATTTATTGGCTGCGTTCTGTCATTGTATATTTGTATTTGAGATTGAGTCTTCTAGGATAAAAATTGTTTATAGAAAAAAATTGCAGGCTTTAACTACTTCATCTCAATCATTCTTGGTAATTATTTGCTTTAACTGTCAAAACACAGGAGTTGAACACTGCCGAGGATTTTATTTCATTGTATGAAGAAATTATGCCTTATACACAAACTCTGCCCCTGGTGCTCTTGCACAAGGAATCTTTAATCTCAAAGCTTCTTTCTAGGTTGCACATAAAAGCAAGGCTATCCCTTGAACCGATTCTAAGGTATACTTGTCTGTTTTAAACATTGTGTCATTATGCTTGATTAGGGATGTTAGGGTGTTACATGATAAAATGATAACAATAAATCATATTACTATGTTTTGAAAAACTTGGGCATGATAACTTTTAATGTGATCAGAGCAAGTATTTTGCATTCTCAATAATAGCAACAATTTTGGTGCATTCCTGACTTTTCTATTACAACTAATTATTATTTGTAGCTGTATGTGCAGATTGATTGATTGATTTTGGATTCTTTTTGAGTGGTTGAAGTTGAATTCAGTTTGTGAAAATCTGTTGGATTTTATTAATAAAAGTATTGGAGTCTAGCCATACAATTATGTTGTTCTATATAGGTCTTCTATATTCTTGAGAAAATATATATTAGTTTTATATTTTGTTGCATTCTGTTTTACACTGAATATTAACAACCAGGTAGCCTTGGGCTTGGTTATTTGATGGGTAGTTGTTTCTCTTTTTCTCCCTCTTCTGTGTTTTTTTGGTGTTCTATTATTTTGCAGTTGTTGCCAATGAATCTCAAAGATTTGTTTTTACAGGTTAATTGCAGCTTTATCTAGAGATCTCCTAGAGGAATTTGTTCCGTAAGTTGCTTATCACATGGGCTAGATGTTGGCTCTTTTGAGTTTCCCTTATTTTGATTGTCAAATTTCTGCCTGGCTCTTGCACATATATCTTTCTACAAGAATATCACATGGTTTTCTTATTCATTGTGCATATGGTTGTTAGGCTATTGCCAAGAATTGTGGAGTCTTTAGTTTCTCTTCTAGAAAGTGGTGGTGATAGGGAGCCAGATATCATTGAACAGGTATATTCTATCATTTTGGTGTTCTTATGGGGATATTGTTGTCCGTGTCATCTTTGGTAGTTTCCTTAGTTCAGCATGAATTATGAAAATGTTTGTTTTGATGCAGATATTCACGTCATGGTCATACATTATGATGTATCTGCAAAAATATCTAATACGCAACCCATCAGAGGTGCTTAAGTGAGTGATTGAGTTTGGCTCAACATACAACTGATTATATTACTTATTTCAGCCTACAACCTGGAATTAAAAATATGATTTTTTCTAATTTTGGACTTGTTTTTCTTTGACTTTGATACTTCAAGGGTCACATCAAAATTGAGGTATTATCCAAATGAATACGTCCAACAATTCATGGCTGAAGCAATGTCATTTGTTTTGAGAAATGCCCCAGATGAGCAGCTCAAAAGAGGTATTCTTGTCATTGATTATTCTTCATTGTCAATATTTCTTTCCCCCCTTTTCTATCTTGTCTTCTATATTTTCAACCAATTTCCCTAATTTTCTAGGACTTCTATTCTAGAATAAATTACTTCCTGGTTTAATCTCTGTCCCTGTCTCTCTTTTATGTATCTGTAATTATGCCTTTATTGATTTGTTTGGGTGGTTGAAAAACTTATTGTTGTTTGATGACACAGGAATTAGAAAAGTCATTGATGATGCAGTAAAGAAGCCATCTCTGTGCAAAGAATCAGGTGTTGAAGCATTGCTTTATAATATTATGAAAGGTTACTCATCAAGATTCCACTCAAAAGCAGAGCGAGTGTTACGATTATTGACTAGTGAAGCAATTTATCCTGTTGGTGATAACATTGACCAAGGCAAGCTTGTTCTCTGATTAAAAGAATAATTCTATTTTGATTCTTCTGATTTCCAAATATTTTGATTGCTGCTCAAGCTACTCTGCTACTTAGTATCAGTAACATACAAAGATAATCAATATATGATTGGTCTTTTGTTCATCAGAGAATATTCATTTTTCATTGGTTAAATTCCCTCATTTGGCTCTAAGATTGGACAGTGAGATGCCATGTATATACTGCTGTAAAGCCTGTGGCTTACTGTTATGAAAATAAAATTGAATTTGTTGATGTCCTGTACAAAGGGGATATTATTGTGTATATCAAAGTCCTATACACCATTTGATGATCTAGCCTCCAGCAGCCTAATTTCTTTTAAACAAAAGTTAGAAACTCAAGCATTATAATTGATTGTTCCATGCAATTTTCATTTTCTCATTGTATATTCCCTGTAGGATTCTCTCTACTATAACTTTTGGGATTCTTGTCATAGGTCATCTTCTCTCTTAGGCTTCTGTCATCTGTAAATATAATTAACTTTGTTATTGATTTCTAGTATATTGTATTACAATGTTTCTTATCTAGACCTGCCTCTATTTCAGAGTCAAGGACAATTCTGAAAATTATAAAATCTGTCTTCAAGAAGTTATGTGAGAAGATGGAGTCCAAGCAGATGAGTTTGGTATGGAATTGCTTATATAAGGAAGTAAATGAATGTGTTAATACAGGAAACACCATCCACTTAAGACGCATTTTATCAGTACTTATCTCAGCTATAAAGATGCAAAATGGGCAAAAAGTGTCTGGTAAGTTACAATACCTTATGTTACTGAACTTTTCCTTTTGGTCTGTTCAGCTATGTTGAGCTGGTTGACAAGGATAACAAACTGTGGTTGTTTTATAGCAAGCTGATCACAAATCTGTATTGAATAAATAGCTTAAATTTTAAGTTTCTTTAGGATATCTGTCATAATGCTTCCCTTTATTTCTACTATTTAAATTTGGGTTTACCAAGTTATCCCTGCACTTTTGGGTATGAAAAAAGTTAAAATTTTAATATAAACCACAGGAGGTTGGAAACAGGATAAGCAAACTGCACTCCTAATGGAGTACAAAGGTTCAGGTCGTAAAAAATGTCATTTGTGGGAAGGACCTAGCCTCAGGTGGCTAGAGATTATCCGTTATATTTTCATTTTGTCAAAGTGTGCATTGTTTTAACAATATTTTTTTTTTCTTCCAAATGTAATGTGTTGGATATCAGGATGGTCTGCCTTATCTTTTCTTCAGAAAGTTGCCTGAGTTTGTCTATGTGCTTTTGGACTGATTTTAATTGCACTTACATTTGGCAGAGTATAAGCCTATGCTGGAACTTGTTCTGCTGCTTGTGCAGACATTTATCACACCTTATGGAGTTATTGAGTCACAAGAAAATATATATTTAGTTGTTGATAAAGTATTGAAATTAATGCTGGCCATTCTTAATGGGCTCAGTAAGTGCAGTAATCCAATGATATCAGAGTGTGCTTTCCAGTGGGCTCCGATTTTTAAATCACGAAGCTCAAGGTAATGACTGAAACAGTGCATTTGTGATATTGTTTTCTTTATCTTATTTCTATACCCTCTTGACATGTTTGAGCTTGGGTTCCAGTTTGCTGTGTTTTATTAGAGAACTACTACAGAAGGATCTTTGTTTACTTGCTTTCAGAAGTAATATTATAAGGTAACCTTAAAATGGTGTGTGCGCACTTGTGATTAAGTTATTGTTTATTGCTCTATGAATATAAATATTTGACTTCTATTACTTGTTTTTTAGTGCTTTGAATGATTTAATGGAGATTTCAGAGGAAGAGGTGGTACATTTGTTACAATCCTTCTGTGAGAAAATGCAATTACATATACGAAACTCGGACTTTGTGGATGGAACAGGTGCAGAAGCGCTTGCCAGGATATGCAGTCATTTGCAAGGGACAATCAATTATTGGGTTGGAACAATAAATGATGTTGCACATTCTGATGTATTATGTCAAATTGACGAAGGAAAGTTGGCACTGCTGTGGGGAGCTGTGAACTGCTATTCTCACATGTCCATTGTTAAGGCCAATCCATCCTTGTTGATGGATCTTGTGGATGCTGTAGATCATTTTCTGACTGTTAGAGCTGGTATTCCATCTTTTCTTTGTGCTTTGTTTAGATGATTAAAAAAATATAGAAGGAAGAAATAAAAGAGAAAGAAATATAATAGAAATGGGCTTGGATGAATAAAAATTAGAAATAAATGCATTTTTTTCTCTGCACTGTTTGGATGAGTGGAAGTGAGTAGAAAGAAACAGATAATGCATACAAAGATAACTTTACCCTTTATAATTACAATCAGCTAAATCCAAAGTAAAAAGGAAAAGTGTGGGTGGTGGAATACCACATTTCTTCTCTTTATTACAAAAATCTCTTGTAAAGGGGACATATTTCTCTCCTTTCTCCTTCTTCCATAATTATTTTCATCCCAATTCTATTTATCCAAATGTAGTGTTATCCCATATATAATATCTGTCCAGCTTTAGGACACATGTCAATTTCTGATCCAATTTTTTTCAGTTTTTCCAACCACTTGAACCTTTTCATTTGTGTAATATTTAGTTACGTTGAACCTTTGGTTTATATCCAATTGTTATTTACTTTTCTTAACCTGTGCATTTATATGGGGACTGTTTCTAGTTGTTTCAAATATTATACTTTGACTAGCAATCTTGTAGAACCTGTGTGTAGGTCATATTAAAGATGGTATTCCATTGTGTCTAGACAAGATTGAGTCTGCTGTCATAATATTGAACTGGGTTGGACCATACTATGAAAGAGGATATCTGATTATGGCTGACATTTGGATCATTGTATTTATTGATGTTTAGGGGGTGTTTGGAAGAGCTAATGTAGAGTTACTTATAAAAATAGCTTCTGACTCTCATGATAGCTCATTTCATAAAGCTTTTTGATATAACATAATAACATATTAAAATAAGTTCTTTTTTTAGCATATTCCAGTAAATTTTATGGTCAAATTTATGGTATAAGCTACCCTGTAGTAAGAGCTTATTGATAAGTTCTTATTTAAGCTGTTTACTAAATGCACCCTAATCTTGTTTTCTATTTTGCATATGTTTTCCTGTTGAATTCTATTGGCAATAAGAACATAAAATATAATTTCTTACATTCAGTTATTTCTTTCTGTTCCTCTATTTTATCTGTAGGCTTCATTGCAGATATGTCTAGAAAGGCCTGGGAAAGCATTATAGGTTCTGTATTAAGTTCTTACAACAGACTGTACAGAAACACTAACCTTGGAGCTGATAAAACTGCAAAATTTTTAAGTCTTGCAAAACGATATAAGTCATCTTCACAAGTGTTGTTGGGTGTTGCTGATTATTTGGAATACAAGAATGGGTATGTGTGTTGAAGTTAACTGCTTTTAGACACATCTTGTTTTCCATTCTAGTAAGACACCAAATTAGTCCCTGAAATTAAAGCATTAGTCAAATTAATCCATGAAATTACAAAAATTTATCATTTTAGTTCTGAAATTTTCAAACATTGGTCATTTTAGTCCTTATTTTTGTCATTTTAGAAACTAAAATTATAGTTGTTGTGTGGTAATGTTAGGGATTAAAATGCCCGTTGTTTGATAATTTCAGGTATTAAAATGATGTTTCTGTAATTTTAAGGGACTAAAATGATCGGTGTTTGTAATTTCATGGTCTAATGTGGTGTATTATTCTTTTGCATGCTTTGGAAGTTCAATTTTTTCAATAGCTTTATTAGTAGTTAGAGCTCTGTACTTGTGTAACTTTCTCACTTGTATATGACAGTTCCTCATTGGAAGACAATGGCTCTAGAATTTATCATTCAGAGGTTGAAGAAAGAACTACGGATGCAGTGGCAATATTTGCCAATAATTTGTACCATTCAGATAAGGATATTCGCATTTCCACTCTTAAAATACTTTGTCACTCTAATCCTTTGAGTGGGGAAAATTCTTCAGTAGATCAGCAAGCTGAAAAGAAAAGGAAAATTGAAGTTTCTCCAACTTTCAATGTGAATTGCCCAGAAAATAATGTATGTATCTTTTAGATTCTGTGCCATTATCTTTTTTTAACTTCAGTATGTCAATGTGTATTTTGGTGAATTGACAGGCACTGCTGTTGCTCCTTTCTATTGAATCAACTCCCATTTCGATTTCTACAAGCAGAAGCATTCAGCGATTGATTTCTAAGATACAAATGGACCTTTCTGCTAGAAGGATTCCTGATGTTTATGTGCCTCTTGTTTTAAATGGATTGCTTGGCATATTGAATAATCGATTTAGCTACCTCTGGAATCCTGTAATAGAATGTATTGCTGTCTTGATTAGCCAACATTTTTTACTTGTATGGGATAGCCTTATCAATTATCTGGAAAAGTGTCAAGCAATATTGCAGACCTCTTGTAACTTGCACAGCAGTGTCAATGGTGCATTGTTTGAGCAGCCAGCTGGTATGTCTCCACTATACTGACACTACATTATGTTCCCCAGTTCTCCCCTGCCTCCCCCCTGCATAGAGGATGTCTTAGGAGTGAAACTTGGACACTATTTTATATAAAATTAGTAATTGATTGGTGAATTTGACTTGAGTTTAATATATTCTGTAAAATTTTAATTAGTTTAATCAATTTGTATTTAGCTTAATTGGTAATACCCTGTAACAAAGTATTTATAGATTTGTTTGTTATGCTTTGTAATTTTCTTCAAAAATTTTAAATTCCTGACTTTTAATATTAAATATAATTGTTACTATTTTGGAAGGATTTATATATGGAAAGGTTACCATTTATGCTTGACTTTTGAGATTATATTATTGAAATGCCATTGTGTATGTTTGGTAATCAAGTTGATTATGTTTCTCAGGTCTACTTGATTGTTTCAAATTGTTTGTCCATCATGAGTCAGATAGCACACCATCTGTAACAATTTTAGCATTATTGCTTCAAGCTTTGCAAAAAATTCCAAATGTTATTGAACCTCGTTCTAGGCAATTCATTCCTCTATTTTTAAAGTTTTTGGGATACAATGATCTTGATCTCAAAAGGTAAATTTTTACTGGATTTTATCCCTTTTGTAATGCATTATTTTGAATTTTGTGAACCATTATGTTTTACTTAAATTTCCATGTTTGACAATTTTTGTTACTTTGCAAATGAAATTGCAGCGTGGGATTGTTTGATTCTCATGCTTGTAAAGGGAAAGAGTGGAAGGCTGTCTTAAAAGAATGGTTAAACTTGTTGAGGCTGATGAAAAATCCCAAGTCGTTTTACTGTGGCCAGTTTCTTAAGGATGTTCTGCAGAATAGGTTTGATGTGCAATTTTATTATGTATTTTTTTCATTACAGCAATGTTTTGTTTACCAGTTACTTAGATAAACTTATCTACGTGGCCTCCCAATTTAAACATTTTGTTGTTTTCCTTTCTGTTTTTGGTGCCTTTTCTGCAGGCTTCTAGAAGACAATGATCCTGAAATACAGATGAGAGTGCTGGATTGCCTGTTAATCTGGAAGGATGATTACTTTTTACCATATACTGAGCATTTGAGGTACTTGATTAGTTCCAAAAATTTAAGGGAGGAACTAACTACATGGAGTTTATCCAGAGAATCTGAAATAATTGAAGAGTGCCACCGTGCTTATCTTGTGCCATTAGTTATCCGTCTTTTGATGCCAAAAGTGAGAAAGCTGAAAGGACTTGCATCTCGAAAGGTATCCTCAGTTAGAGTATCTTCTGGTTGTTTATATATTCTGTCATGCAATTTTTTTGTTTCTCACATTCTTTTCATAGCCTTTTACTTTATAGACTAATCATTTGTCATCTCCTTCTCATTTGTCAGAAAGCAAGCATTTGTCATCGGAAGGCAATTCTGAGTTTCATAGCTGGATTTGATGTCAATGAGCTGCCTCTTTTTTTTGCATTACTGATAAAACCATTGCAAATAGTGAAGAAAGCTGATGGACCTGCTAACTTGTTTTGGGCTTTACCTAGAGGTTCCATTAGTGAATTTGAAGCTTCGTCTTTGTTAGAATATTTTACTTTGGAGAATATAGCAACCCTCTCCTGGAAAAAGAAATATGGATTTTTGCATGTCATTGAAGACATTGTTGGCATTTTTGATGAATTTCATATTAGGCCATTTCTTGATCTATTGGTGGGGTGTGTTGTTCGGGTATTGGAGAGCTGCACTTCAAGTCTTGACAAAGCAAAATTGAATGGGGTTCATTTAGATCACTGTAATTCTAGCACTGGCTCAAGTTCTTTTGGGGAGGACAGTGTGCCAACAAATCAAATACAGGTAATATTATGTTAACGCTGAGTGCAATTTTTATGTGCAATGAACTATCTAAATGAATGTCGTTGGGTAAATGTTATGAATAGTGATTAGCACTGCCATTTGGTGTGTTTCAATAAAAGTAACTTAGGTATAATACTGTATACTTTTTAAGCTTGTTTGTTGGATTGTTTTCTATTCTCTTCTTGTTGCATATTGACAACTAAAAGTATATTAGCAGAGCTACTGGATAGGCTCTAAGTTTTCCCTCTTTCATTATCTTTATTGTCTGATTTATTTTTCTATTTTTTAACTTGTGCAGATGGGCAGTACTTTGAAGCAGCTCAAGGATATGAGATCTCTGTGCCTGAAAATTATTTCGCTTGTACTCTATAAGTATGAAGATCATGAATTTGGTTCTGATATGTGGGACAGATTCTTTTGCTCAGTAAAACCGCTGATTGATAAATTCAAACAGGAGGCTGCTAGTAGTGAGAAACCAAGTTCACTGTTATCTTGCTTTCTTGCCATGAGTGCAAACCATAAACTTGTAGCACTATTATGCAGGGAAGAAAGTCTTGTACCTGATATATTTTCAATTATCTCCATCAATTCAGCTGCTGAAGCGGTTATATATTGTGTTCTAAAGTTTGTTGAAAACTTGTTGAGCCTTGACAATCAGTTGGGTGATGATGACAATTGTGCCCAAAGAGTTTTACTTTCAAACATTAAAGTACTTGTGGACAGCATCTGCTGTTTATTTGGAAATGATAATGCAACCAAGAGGTATATTAGCTCTATTTGCATGAGCTCTCCCAATTTTAGTTGCTGAATTTACTATTTTAACCATGTAAGTTTGCTTGTTGCTTTTGACATAATCCAAAGCCTCTGCATTGGGTTTGGCAACTGTATTTTTACTCCTCCATCAGTCTTAACAATGATACGATGCTTGTAGTTTTCTGCAAGGAAGAATTTTTATCATCTAGTTGATGAGGGGGCTATGATGTATGGTAGCCATAAGGATCAGGAGGCAAACAAAAACCATAATTGTCACATCTGACTGAGTGTTCCATCTGGACCAATCTTGAAATATAGACCTTAATGAAAACTAGCAGTAGTTTGTCTTCTGGGTGTCAGCCTTACCTGTATTGGGTAAATGTTGGGTATTAAACCAATCACGCATCTTCACCTAACAAAATTTTTTTGGGAGAGTTGGTCCTTGACATGGTATTAGTTCCTCCATGTCCCAGCGGACAGGAGTTCAATCCTTGTTGCTTCCATTCTTCTAATACAATTTGAATTTATGCATAAGTTAGTATACCTATGTTTTGTCCACGCTGCAAGGCCAAAGAGCTTGATATAAAATCGTTTATGTACCTTCTGCTTAAGCTTTTAGGAAGTTAGTCCTTGACAGTGTAGAAGAAGAGGACAAAGACTATACAAAAGCAGGGTAGGAAGTACATAAAAAGTGATATCTCAAACATAATTTTTCAATAGGAGTAGGATTACGAGTGAAAAACTGCCTTTGGATAATGCAATTGGAAGTTTCTAGTGCACCCAGGATATTGGGTGAACTCAGTCAGATTATTTGGAAAATAACAAGATTAAGTACTGACATAGTGACATATTTAGGAAATGGATTAACCGTATAATTGTATCATATGAATAGGTGGATGCCTCTGATTGTATATTATGTTTGAAGAAACATTTTTCTTTTATGTATAAAGAAGACATGTAGGAAAAAGGGGACTTGAGTACTTAATATTTTGCTATCGCTTGTTTTTTTGGCAGAAAGCTGATCAAATCTCCTGGGGAAACAATTATCAGAATTTTCAAACTTTTACCCAAGTACATCAATGAGGCAGAGTTGGCAAAGCAATTTGTGGACATATTGCTTCTGTTTATGGAAAAGAAAACTCAGAGTTGTGGTGAGAGAATGTTTTATTTCTGCACATGACATGTTTTTAATCCTTTGCTCTTTTTTTTTTTCAACTTGATTTCTGTATTATTATTGAAATTTTCTTTGTTATTGTAGATGTCTGGGGTGAAGCTTTACAAGTCATTCAAAATATTATACCGATATTAGGTCAAGGAAGTACTGCTAAAATTCTGAGTGTTGTCTCTCCTTTATATGTTTCTGCTGAGTTGGATTTGCGTTTGAGAATATGTGATCTTCTTGATGCTCTTGTAGCATCTGATGCATCTCTGCTCTCAGTGGTAATCCCCGTTCTTTTGTCTCCCTTGATCCATGGATTTTTCTTTTTAACAAAAGCTTACCACATTCCATGTTTCTTTTCTCTGCTATTTTATATGGATGCAGGCAAAACTTCTTCGGCAGCTGAATGCTACATCTACTTTGGGTTGGCTTGACCATGATGCTATTTTGAATGCTTACAGAGTCATTAATAGTGATTTCTTCAGAAGCATTCAAGTGGAACATGCATTACTTATTTTATCCCATTGTGTGCATGACATGGCATCAGAAGAAACAACTTTTATGTGTAGTGCCTATAGTTCTTTGCTATCTTTTGTTGATTTTTCTGCACTCATTCTATGCCAAGAAGGAAACACTGAAGGAGAGTTGTCAATGGTGAAAAACACTAACGGTTGTTGGACAAAATCATGCATCAAGCGTATTGCAAAGAAATTTCTATTGAAGCATATGGCAGATGCAATGGATGGACCACTTTCTGTTATGAAGGTATTTGGTAACTTCAGTTATAAATCATTATGAAGTGTTGAGTACTGTATCAATTTTCAGTTATGTTAAGTTTTAACATATACGTGCATATAATCAGACTTTCTCCCATGTCTCCCTTTGAGGCGCTAGATAGATATTAAGTTAATTACTGCTTGAAATGTAAACTTCAATTATAAATAAATGATTATTTATCCCTTGTGATGTTTATACACTAGTTTATGTTGTGGCAGGGATGGATAAAATTGTTACATCAAATGGTGTTGAAGCTTCCGGAAGTGTCAAAGCTTAAATCACTTATGGTCATGTGCAATGAGGATGGTGAAGTAAATTTTTTTGACAATATAACTGACTCAGTGGTATGTTTCTGTTTAAGCTAAGTAAATTTTTCTGTTTAACTTACGGTTGTTACCCTTAGTTGCCTCTTTCATTTGTTTACATATACATAGCTTTTTATTCCAAACATTTCACAATCAGTTTTCCATCATTATTTTCTATTGAAACACCTTTCTTCTGTGTCCTTATTGTATAATCAGAAACACTATCAAACTTACGTCTTTTTATTCATCTGTTTACTCCTTAATTTTGTTGGAGTTATTTAAATAGCCAGAAGGTTGTCTCACGTAAGTACATTTGGTGTTGCAGATACGTAAGAGAGTTAAAGCATTGTCATGGTTTAGGAATATTATCATTAAGAACAAGTTTTCTGAGGTAGTAACTTTATCCTTTCAATTGAATGGATTTTTCCTAGTTACTGAAATTTAATTATTTTATTGTTTACTTCCAGTTGATAGCTGAAAAAGTGTTCATGCGACTCTTCTTCAACATGTTGTTTGATGAGAAAGAAGCAAAGGCAGAGCATATGAAAAATGCTTGCATAGAAACCATTGCTTCTGTAGCTAGTCAAATGGGATGGAAGTCATACTATGCATTATTGATCAGATGTTTTCGGGGAGCATCCAGTAGTCCAGACAAACAGAAACTCTTTATACGCTTGATTTGCTCTATTTTGGATAAATTTCACTTTTCAGAAGTTGGTTACAATAAAGAACCTAAGGAATCTATGGTTGGAATTTCTGACATAGGAATAACCGACTCTTCTGATGCAAACACGGAGATACAGACTTGCCTCTATAAAGTTGTGCTTCCAAAAATACAGAAGCTGCTGGATTCTGATTCTGAAAAGGTCAATGTAAATATCAGTATTGCTGCACTGAAACTACTTAAATTACTTCCAGGAGATGTGATGGACTTGTATCTTCCAACTATTGTTCATCGAATTTCAAACTTCTTGAAGAGTCATCTAGAAAGCATTCGTGATGAAGCTAGGTCTGCATTGGCTACTTGTTTGAAAGAACTTGGATTGGAGTTCTTGCAATTTATTGTCAAGGTTTTGCAGTCTACCTTGAAGAGAGGATATGAACTTCATGTTTTAGGATACACACTTAATTTTATTTTGTCCAAGTGCCTTTCAAGTCCAGTTGTTGGAAAGATAGATTATTGTTTGGATGATGTCCTTTCTGTGATAGAGAATGACATTCTTGGAGATGTTGCTGAGCAAAAGGAGGTGCAAAAGATAGCTGCAAAAATGAAAGAAACAAGGAGGAAAAAGTCATTTGAAAGCTTGACATTGGTGGCCCAAAATGTAACATTCAAAAGCTATGCACCGAAGCTCCTTGCACCTGTGACTGCTCATTTGCAGAAGCACATTACACCTAATGTAAAAGGAAAATTGGAAAATATGTTGTGTCATATAGCTGCTGGTATTGAAAGCAATCCATCTGTAGATCAGACTGAACTATTTATCTTCATTTATGGAATTATTGAAGATGGCTTAAAAGATGAAATTGGTTGGCATGAGAATAAATTAACGAAATTGGAAGATAAAGATAGCCGGATTAATACCAAAAGAATTTCTACAGGCCATGTAGTTGCTAATGGTTTATTGTGTTCACACCTTATTACAGTGTTTGGTCTCAGAATATTGCATAAACGTATGAAGAGTATGAAACAGAACGTAAAAGATGAAAATACTCTATCCTTATTAGATCCTTTTGTCAAGCTATTAAGTGATGGCTTGTGCTCCAAGTATGAGGATATTTTGTCTACTTCCCTTGGCTGCCTTGCTATACTGGTCAAGTTGCCTTTACCATCCCTTCAACCACAGGCTGAGAGAGTAAAAACTGCTTTGTTAGATATTACCCAAAGTTTGGTGAACTCTAGCAGTCCTTTAATGCAGTCATCTTTGACATTGCTGACTGCGCTTTTGAGGAACACAAAAATTTCTCTCACCTCAGATCAGATAAATCTATTAATTCAGCTTCCTATATTTCTTGATCTTGAAAAGAATCCGTCTTTGGTGGCCTTATCCCTTCTAAAGGGTATTGTCAGCCGTAAGCTGGTTGTACCTGAGATATATGATCTTGTCACTAGGGTTGCAGAACTGATGGTAACTAGTCAGATGGAACCAATTCGAAAAAAATGTAGTAAAATTTTGTTGCAATTTTTGCTTGATTATCAACTTTCAGAAAAGCGCTTGCAACAACATTTGGATTTCCTGCTCTCAAATTTGAGGCAAGTGATTCAGCATAGTATATTCCTTGTTATATATATATATATATATATGTGTGTGTGTATATATTTATATAGTAAAGATTGATTAGGCTTATGGATATTTTAATCCCTTGCAGATATGAGCATTCAAGTGGACGGGAATCTGTTCTTGAAATGATTCATGCTATTATTGCGAAATTTCCAGAAAGTGTTTTGGATGAGCAATCACAGACATTATTTGTTCATTTGGTAGCTTGTTTAGCCAATGATAGTGATAATGTTGTTCGTTCTATGAGTGGGGCTGCTATAAAAAATCTCATTAGTTCTGTTAGTTCTAATTCACTTAATGCCATACTTGAGTATGCTCTTTCTTGGTATTTGGGTGGCAAGCGGCAACTATTGGGTGCAGCCGCTCAGGTAATGTTCTCTAAAATATTGTGAATCATAAATTGGTTTGAAATCATAAACTTCAAGATTATGTTGTCTTGGTATTATGATGTTTATTTTGAGTTCATTTGTAATATGCCATCTTACCAGATCATGCTTACATTGGGCTTTTGTAAAAACAATTATGCAGGCAAATTACTAATTAACATTAATAGACTATCACTTTAATTAAATTTTGTTTTTGGTCATAGTCCTAGTCCTAGTGTTTTATTGTAATATTTGCAGCCTTAGGTGTGGTTAGCGTGTTGGATTGCCTAAACAGTTTGAGGTATATTAGCAAATGGTTGAGAGTACACAAAGAAAGTACTCCTCAACAGAAAAGTGACAGGAAGAATCAGGTTTGATCAACATTTAGGAAATGACAAAGGAATTTATCTGGGTATTCTACTTTATTGTGTATTCAATCAGTCTGAGTTTGACATTCTACTCTTTAGAGGTTTGAGTTAAGTTGGACAGTTGGCATTTTAGTAGAAAAGTGGTTAACCTGGAATTTTCATTTTTTGTGATGATACAAAATTTTGCAAGAGCTATGAATGGTGTATGAATAGTCACTGTTATTCTTCTTGTTGAGAACTACTGTTCAAACAGATGATTTGACCTTAGAATTTAGATGGCTTTGGTTTTTCGTAGAGGAGTTTTCTCCAATAAGTAAGAAACTGGAAGACTGACTGGCAGTAGTAATCACTAGAAGAATCAAGAACCAATATATTCTGTGTTTGATTTTATTTAATTCCAATTTTTTTTTTGTATGACCTTAAATTTGAAAAATTATTCTAGCTCTACCATAGGACACTTGTAGCTTTTCTTGTCTGCATGATTTATACTAACCTTAAAAAATTGCTGATGTAGGTTTTGGGGCTGCTGATTGAGGTAATAAAGAAAGGATTTCATAAACATATAAATTGTATCTTGCCTGTGACTAAATGCATCTTGCAGTCTGCCATAGATGCAATTACTAACAGGCAAGTGGGCTTTTCAGCCGAATCTATCATTCCCCTTTGGAAAGAAGCATACTACTCACTTGTTATGTTAGAGAAGATGATTAATCAGTTCCATGATTTATGCTTTGCGAAGGATCTTGAGGTAAATGTCTGTGTACTGTCTATTAAATATAGATAAATTCAGATATCGATGTGTTGTTTATGACATGTTAGTCTATGCCCATCCAGAAAATAGGTGAGAAAGGGGCTGAAACTTAAACTTATTTTAGCATATACTAACAAGTTTCTCATGCATTACTACAACAACAACAATTAAACTTTATCTCACTAGGAAACAAACGTATTTTAGCATATACTAACAAGTTTTTCATGCATTACAACAACAACAACTAAACCTTATCTCACTAGGTAAGGTCGACTACATGGATTACACAATGACTTTGAGCTCGGTCTAAATGAATGTGTGTCAGAAGTGGGATTTGAATCCATGCCCTCTCACTAAAACTTACACGATGACTGATAAGTTTCTCATGCATTATACATGTATTTTTAAATTTAGACAACTTAAAATAATTTATATATATAAGAAAAAAATATTACCATTGTCAAACAATTAAGCAAGAATGAAGCGTTACAGGAGACATCCTCCTTGTCAAGAATGGATGTTTTATATTATTATATAAAAATAAATTAAACAGGCAATCCTTTGAAATTCACAAGTAAATTATAGGAATAAATTTTAGTGAATCAACTAATTATTTAATATGATGAATCAAAATTCCAACTTATAGATATGAAAAGTTTTGATATTAACAATTGGATAATTTAGGATCGAGTAAATTCAAATAATAATATTTAAGAAAATAAAGAATAAAATATTTAATGCAGAAGAAGCTACACAATTCTTAGTATGCAGACAGTTTTTTCCTTCCCTTTCTACAAGTTCTATTGCACGATTAATCAAAACTGTTGAGTTTCCACATTTCTGAGCTAGGACACTGACACTATTTTTGTCGAAATGTTTCAGGATATATGGGAAGCAATATGCGAGATGCTGTTGCACCCACATTCATGGATACGCAACAGATCGGTTCGCCTCATAGCCCTATACTTTACACGTGTAACAGATGTTAGCAGAGAAAATCATGAAAGCTCCTTAAGAAATTATTTTATTATGAGTCCAAGTAGACTATTTTTAATAGCTACTTCTCTTTGCTGCCAACTGAAAATGTCACTCATTGATGATGCTGACAGCAAGCTTATGACCCAGAATATTGTCTTTGCTATTTGTGCTGTCCATTCTTTATTGGGGCAACTTGCATGTGTAGATCCCCCTGCATTCTGGGCTACTCTTGAGCAACACGAAAAGGACCAGTTTCTTAGAGCTTTTGAGCTTCTTGATTCAAGAAAAGGAAGAAACATGTTCATGTCCTCATCTCTTACCTCTCCTGCATTTGAAGATGACAATCAATGTAATGTTAATAATGCCAAGCATGTACTTATCTCGTTGTTGCTCAGTAAAATGGGGAAAACTGCCCTTCAAATGGGTGCTATTCAGGTTGGTACACTAGTTCTTTGTGTGCATTCTCTAGTATCGATTAATGTGCTTATGAATAATATTATATCCCATTTTGCTTGTTTAATGCAGATGGAAATAGTCTTCAACAGTTTTGGAAATATTATGACACAGATTAGTCAGGATGACTGCCTACACTATGCATACATGGTCCTGTTACCGATATATAAAGTCTGTGAAGGATTTGCTGGAAAAGTTGTAACTGGTTAGTTTTCATAACTGGGAAAAGTAGAAATGTAACCAAAATTTGCTTGTTTACTCTCTTTTATTTCCTTAATTTATTTTATGGTAGGTAAATTTCAAGCCTGTAATAGGTAGCCATCTTACTAAAATGGTGTCGTGTATAATTATTGATAATTTTCTATACACTGTTGTATCTGGATCAGAACCCTCTCATATGACCAACATGAGCCGGTCTTGTTATGGGACAGAAAGCCACCAAAGGAAAATCAATGGATCCTACATAAATAAATGTGGGTCCTACACTCCTAAAATTGCTTTGCATCTCTTCTCATAACATGATCCTTTCATGTTATTAACATGAGAGGGAGGATCCTGATCCATCCGTATCATGTTCAAGATTTTCTTTACCTTCTATTTTCCCTATTTATTTTTCTTATTCCTTAATTTTTTTGTTTTGTTTTGGTGGTGTGGGGTGAGGGTTACTAGACATACCTAATGTTCCAAGTTAAATCTTTACCAAGCCCTCCCTTCGTGTTATATTTTTAGATTACCAGTTCCCCTCCCCTTTGTTAATTTTTTTTCTGACAGCTTACTGAGCATGGTTATTCTTTACCAGATAAAGCAAAAAAGCTGGCAGAGGACACCTGTGGAAAAGTAGAGAATATTTTGGGTACTCAGAACTTTGTGCAAGTTTACAACCTTGTCAGGAAGAACCTTAAGTTGAAAAGAAATAAAAGAAAACAAGAAGAAAAGCTCATGGCTGTTATCAATCCAGCGCGAAATGCCAAACGGAAGATGAAAGTTGCTGCCAAGAATCATGCCAACAAAAAGAGAAAAATCATGACAATAAAAATGGGGAGATGGATACATTGATCAAAAGTTGGGCGACGAGAAAGGTCCATGTATGTACATCCAGTTTGGCGCTTCAAGTAATCCTGTGTCAAGGTTTTCATTCTGTCGTTGATCTTACCATGATCCAGGAGACTCCTGGAGATAGTCTCTTATAAAGGATAGTGTCGGCACCTACTGTTGCTTGAAGAAAAATTGTGGTGTGGTGATTGAATTGGTGAATAGGCATCTCTGGTGGCGAAGGGCAGACATGACTGGAAGGACAAGTTGGAATTTTCTTGATAAATTTGGAGTATTAACTTTCATTTCATGATAGGATTAGGTAGTTTTAACGAATGTATTTTGAAAAGGAAAGAAGTCCATTTACGATTACAGCTGTTAGTTATAGGTCAGCCTTCAGTGCTTGGATCGCTTCACTTTCAAGTATGAATGATTGGCGAGACTTGTTTCTGAATATTGTATGTAGACTCTATCCAAATTTTTGTTCCACACACATTGAGTATAAAATTAAAATACAGCATTCGGGAGAATATTCTTTTTGTACCGTATATGTTTCGCTTTTTACCTTGACATCACTCTTGGACCATGGCATTATGTTGGCCTTTCCACAAAAATATTTGATGACATGCTAAAGCCTTCGTATTCCAGTTTGACATAGTCATCTGAAAGCATTCTACTTCGTTATTGAAATTAACTTTCGTTAAAATGTGAGGTTGAGATGCGTTATTCTTCTTCGTTCTAATAACATTAGAGGTCTCTTTTTTGTAAATTATGTATTTTAATATATCAATCAAAATTTTCACTGATGTTAAAGACTAAAAGCAAATGACTTTTAGTAAAACTAAATACCAAACAATGATTTTAAAAAGAGACCTGAATAACTCGAGCTTATACATTGATAAATTAATATAAAGGTTTACTTTAATTTTATTTGTCTAATTCCAAATAAACCACACATCAGCCACATGTAAACTGTTATATTAGAGCAAACATGAAAAAAAAACAAGTAGAAAAATGTGTTCAGAATTTGATGTAAGAATGGTCCGTCAAAAGTTTATAAATTTTGTTATACCTGTTGTGTTAAAAATGTTGGAGATGAAATAGGTATTTTGTTAATAAGAGGAGAGGTTAAAGGAAATTAAAAATCCAACTCGCATTACGACAAATAAGAAGGGGGATGCGGTGGACATTTGATAAGAATGGAATTGAAGAAATAAATAGCGGCTTCTGTTTGTCATTTTCTCTTGGATGCATAGGTAACGAATTTACCGTTGCCTGTTGCGTTTCATTCTCTCTCTCTCTCACCCAACATCAGAATCTGAATCCACATCAATTTTTGTTTTCAAAGAACTCTGCTTTCTGATCAGATGAAGATGATGGGGTTATAGCTGCAATTGTTGTTTGCAGGGTTCCAAGAAAAACGTACCCTTCTCTTTTGTTTTATTTTATTTTATCGCTTAAAATTTGCATTTTTGACTTTTGTTTTGCATGATCAAAGGTCATAAGATTGGACATCTTGGCCCTGCAAAATTATTCGTTAGTTTTGGGCATTGTCGTGACACATCATGGGGGCAACCTCGGACAATGGTATCGGACTCATATTGGCTCTCTCTTCCAGCATTTTCATTGGCTCAAGCTTTATCATTAAAAAAATGGGTCTTAATAAAGCTGCCAATAATGGGAAAAGAGCAGGTTCACCACCTCTCTCATATCTTTCCACCATTCATTCATCTTGGTTATTCAAAAGTATTAAACCTTTTTTTTATTTTTAAATTTTATTTTAATCTATTGTGCTTTAATTTGATCAGCCACAGGAGGGCATGCGTATCTGTATGAACCGTTTTGGTGGGCTGGAATGATTTCAAGTGAGTGATTTCATTTTTACATACTCTAATATATATGATTTACGTAGCATTTCTGCATGCATCCCCTACACGGTCTAATATATAAGCTATGTAATGAATCATATCACTATTAAATGATATTCCTCTCAATCAACTTTGTTGCATGTGGGACCTAATTTGTAAAGGAATCAATCGTGTCTCTTTTTCTATTCCCACATGGAGAGAAATAGATGAAAAAAGGCGTCATAAAAAAGTTATGTATATAATTGTAACTGGTTTTAATTTTGTTAGGCGATGCTAAATCATATGCTTAAATCTTTTTGTAGTGATCGTTGGGGAAATAGCCAATTTTGCAGCTTATGCATTTGCTCCTGCAATCCTTGTAACTCCTCTGGGAGCTTTAAGCATCATTTTCAGGTAAACAATTGTGGGTGGGTGTGCGTCTTCGTTTATTTTATCGACTTTCAATGTGCAATGTGCAATGTGCATGCAAGAATCAGTTACAACCTCATATCATGATGATGCAGTTCAGTGTTAGCTCACTTCATCTTGAAAGAGAGATTGCACATATTTGGCATGCTTGGATGTGCTCTCTGTGTGGTGGGGTCTACAACCATTGTTCTGCATGCACCGCATGAGAAAGACATTCACTCTGTCAAGGAAGTGTGGCATCTTGCTACAGAACCAGGTATTTTTCAAGTCGCACTTGCTTGAGCTTTAGTTTGAGTTTGATGAATTATGGCGTTATTGATTTGGTTTTCTTTTTGTCTGAACAGGTTTTATTGTCTACTTTTGCTTTGTTATCATAGTGGTTTCCGTCCTTATTTTCCGTTTTGTGCGGACCCATGGGCAGAGCCATATGATGGTTTATATCGGAATATGTTCTCTTATGGGCTCACTCACGGTATTGATTATTACATGTTTTAATGTTCAATGCTTATGCACATCTTCCTCTACAAACTTTTAAGGCTTATCCTCGTTTTTGAGTAGGTTATGTGTGTGAAAGCAGTGGGAATTGCTCTCAAGCTTTCATTTGAAGGGACCAATCAATTTATTTACTTTCAGACTTGGATCTTTACAGTGATTGTGGTAGGATGTTGCCTCTTGCAGATTAATTACTTGAACAAGGTACCCTATACTAAATCCAATCACCAGAATGCATTAAACTTGTTTGAAATGAATGTAATAAGTATATATGTTAAGATAGCTGTCCAAGAAAATAATAACCTTGCCAGTTGTTTAGTAATGTTATTTGGTTTGATTTGGCAAATATGTTTTCAGGCTTTGGACACCTTTAACACTGCTGTAGTATCACCAGTTTACTATGTCATGTTCACAGCATTTACAATCATCGCCAGCGTAATCATGTTTAAGGTGACTTGTTATCTTCCATGGTACATTTATTTTATGATGTTCATGGTGATGCTACTTTATTATCTTGACACGTTGCGAAGCCAATATCATGGTGGAACATAATAATTACAAGGATTAGATCAATCATAAGTGGAAAATTTTACAGCTTTTCTTTTTGGTTTTAAATTAGTATTAGTGAACATATATAAAAACCTTAAAAATTGTATCAAAGTGAGGCATAGCTTTATAGTATTTTTAGGGTTTTATCAATGTACTAGTCTTAAAACAGTATCTTAGTGGATGATGTATTATGGTGCAGGAATGGGACAGACAGAATGGAACGCAGATTGCTACTGAGTTGTGTGGCTTTGTCACAATTTTATCTGGGACCTTCCTCCTTCACAAAACAAAGGATATGGGAAATAAACCTCCAGAAACCCCTGTTTTCACAACTCCATCCCTTTCTGAGAGACATGATTTCCCCTAAATTTGATTCTTGTTTGGACAGGCAAAATTTCTCTTTCATCTATGTTCCCACCTAAGCAAACATCTGATACTGTTTGGTTCTTACAAGCTTGTAATTTCACATAATAAAATGATCAAATCAGAGAAATGTTATGTAGAAGTGGTTAATTAAAGGAAGCATATTTTGACAACCTTTAGGACATAGCTTGATGCTTCTTTCTTATGATACACTATAAGCCTTTATCTTATGATTTTCCTCCCATTCTCGTAAATTCTTTTCAACCAGTGGATTGTGTATTCAACTAAAAGTCTAAAAATGCATATTAATTAAAATTAGGGTAGCACTATTTTTGTATGCACAATACTATGAATTAACACACACTAATAAATTTATGCATATCATCATTTACTATATTTTTCATTGATATTTTTCTGAAAATAAATCAAGTAAATAAGAAACAACACGATTAAAAGAGTTTGTTCATAAAAAAGAAAGAAATGGAACATTTTAATTACATGCGGACGTGAGCAGCAAGATTCGAACGTGCCTGCGGGCATAGCCCACATTGATAAATAGTGGCATCAAATTATATTAGATGATCTATTACACTTCTCCACACCTATACTTTATTACAAGTTTGGCCGCATTTTAGTTAAAAGAAGAAAGTCAATAAACGAATCGAACCTAAATAGTTTTTTTCGTTGCCAAATTATCCATTTATTTTATAATAGTAAGTGGTCGATGAAAGGAACCAAATCTGACTCTTTTTTTCATCTCTTACATACTCAAGTTATATAATTACTTTATAATCTTTTGGGTTTCTCTAGTTTGAGTGTTGAGTCGGGTTTAGTTGATTCTCTGCTTTGGTCTTGTAGAACGTCAATATAAATATAAAAAAGGGACCAGATAAAAAGAGCTTTTGAGACCTTTGTATGTTTGAATGATAACGAAAAAGTAGATCATTTCAATAATGGGTTATATGTATAATTGATTGCATGAAATAAGTTTGCAATTAGATATGTTAGATGAAAAATAATATAAATAATGTACTGTATTTAGATTGTAGAAAATAATCATTTGTATTAAAAATAATTAATTACGAAAGATAAAATGATAAAATAAGAGTTAACTAGAACATAAACTAATAATTTATAATTATAAGTTTCAAAATTGTTTATCGTAAATAAGCTATTTTTTAATAAAAAATTATAAGCTAATTTTTTAATCTTTCCCAAATAAACATGAACAATACTTTTTAATAGGTTTTTTTTTCAAATAATCAAAGGAAATAATCTTTTCCAAACATTCATGAATTTTTTTTTACTTATTGACAATTTTTCTTATTCGAACCCAAGAACATGAACAAGAATCGGTAACTCCAAAACTTGAGGGATTCATTTTGTAACTTTTTTTTTCTCTTTCTATTTAAATTAAATTATAAAGAAATTATACAAATTTATTGTATTTGTCTAAATTTATAGATCATAGTTTTGGAAAACGAAATATTTTTTACACAGTGAGTCAAAAAAATACGATTAATTGCAGCAAAGAATGGAAAGAGAGCATTAAGAAGTGATATAATAAAACACTACACATATTCAAAGGAATCTAAGCCCTAATAATTAAAACATCAACTTCTTGACTCTTTAAAAGTCTTCGGTCTACGCTGTCATGCGCGGCTTTAAGCGCCACCCTCACTCACCTAACTCTATTTCTACTATTATTAATTCATATTTTTATTGTCTTTATTTTATTATATTACTTGTTACATTTTTCCCTTATTATTATATATAAACTAATTTTCTATTGTTATTCTCAGCCGGCCAGTGGTAGTTTCGTTGTAATAAGGCATTGCCAATGGTTGAGTCAAGCATGTGACGTCCAATGTCCATCTACCCACTTTCTCTAACACTGTTCATTGCTTCTCCATATATATATATATATATCCACACCACAACGTGCTAAGCATCAACCATTCAATTCACTTGTTAACTCTACCACTCAACCCTTCCTTCTTAATTTTACTTCTTCAATTCATTTCTTTCCAGCGACTTTAGAAAATTAATTGAGAAGATGGTGACTGTTGGTGAGATCCGCCAGGCACAAAGGGCTGAAGGCCCTGCCACCGTCTTGGCCATTGGTACCGCAACTCCTCCAAACTGTGTGGAGCAGAGTACTTATCCTGACTACTATTTTCGTATCACAAACAGTGAGCACAAGACCGAGCTCAAAGAAAAGTTCAAGCGCATGTGTAAGATACCCATCTTTTCGTTTCCTTATATTCTTTTTATGTGCTTCTACATATACTTCTATATATACACACTTGGACTAAACTGCATATTATGTATGACTTTTCAGGCGACAAGTCAATGATTAAGAAGAGATACATGCACTTGACTGAAGAGATCTTGAAGGAGAATCCTAACATATGCGAGTATATGGCACCTTCATTGGATGCAAGGCAAGACATGGTGGTCGTGGAAGTACCAAAACTAGGAAAAGAGGCTGCAACAAAGGCCATCAAGGAATGGGGTCAACCCAAGTCCAAGATTACCCATCTCATCTTTTGCACCACAAGCGGTGTGGACATGCCTGGTGCAGATTACCAGCTCACAAAGCTCTTAGGCCTTCGCCCATACGTGAAGCGTTTCATGATGTATCAACAAGGTTGTTTTGCTGGTGGCACGGTGCTTCGTATGGCCAAAGATTTGGCTGAAAACAACAAAGGTGCTCGTGTGTTGGTTGTTTGCTCTGAAATCACTGCAGTTACTTTCCGTGGACCCAGTGACACTCATCTTGATAGTCTTGTGGGACAAGCACTGTTTGGAGATGGTGCAGCTGCTGTCATTGTTGGTTCAGACCCATTACCTGAGGTCGAAAGGCCTTTGTTTGAATTGGTATGGACTGCACAAACAATCCTCCCAGATAGTGAAGGAGCCATTGATGGTCACCTTCGTGAAGTGGGGTTGACATTCCATCTTCTGAAGGATGTTCCTGGTCTAATCTCAAAGAACATTGAGAAAGCTTTGGTGGAAGCCTTTCAACCACTAAACATCTCAGATTACAACTCCATCTTTTGGATAGCACACCCTGGTGGACCAGCAATTCTTGATCAAGTGGAGGAAAAATTAGGCTTAAAGCCAGAAAAAATGCAAGCTACCCGACATGTCCTTAGCGAATATGGTAACATGTCAAGTGCTTGTGTATTATTTATTTTGGATGAAATGAGGAGGAAATCAAAAGAAGATGGATTAGCCACAACCGGAGAGGGACTCGAATGGGGTGTGCTATTCGGTTTTGGACCAGGACTCACCGTTGAGACTGTTGTGCTCCATAGCGTGGCCCTCTAAACCAAGGACACCGAGTCTTGTTCGCTTCTAATCTTTTCTTTTCAGCCAAAAGTTTAGAAGGATGCATTCTTTTTTTGTTTTTAAGCTTTTGTTTTTCTGTTAATCACTCTTTATGCCTTAAAATTATTTATCTTTACGTTTGAAAGCCTTTATGATTTAAGCTGTATTTCATTAATTTGTAATACGATCAAGTGCAATTCACAATTTTATATGAATAACAGGCTTCTGTTATCCTTCTTCAGTTTTTCGCATTCTTAATTAAGAAATTAATTTATATACATATAAACCACCAACATATATACTACTTATTTAACCTCTGTTACATAAAAATTATACTATAAAATAAACCCAAAACTTAATCGTTGATTTATGATATTTTCTAGAGCGTTAAGAAATTAATTTATCAACATATGAACCACCTACATCTATACTCTTTATGATTTCAAATTTGGACTTTCAGACTATTTATTTTCCAATCGATCGAAAGCACATCAAAGAAAGATAAAAAATTTAGCTTTTGTAAAATTGGCCTTGTAATGTTTTTTTTTTTTTTAATCTCATTTGTAGTGAAACAAAGTCTATCCAACAAGGTTGTTTACATTAGGGTACAGCAAAAAGTACTCTCTTTTTTTTTCATCTCGAATGCATAAAGAGCAAATTAATGAAAGAAAGTCAATGTTTATAGCTTTTCTTCTTGTACCATCGTTCACTAATTTACCTAAAGTCAAGTTTTAAATTTAATTATAGAATCAGGGAGACATGGTAGGTTACCGATGAGTAGGGAGAGACCTACCTTCACTTTTTTGTTGCTCTAAGTCTTCCTCCTTAGTGTTAATGCCAAACGAAATATGAGGAAATAAAAGAAAATATGCTTCTAACAAATAAAAATAAGTTTGATATGATTGATGACATGAGAAGAATTCCCAAAAAATAAAAATAAAAATAAAAATAAAAATAAAAATAAAAATAAAAATAGAAGGAATTTGATTAACCAAATTTCCTTTTGTCGGATGATTAATCAAAAGTTGATCGTGTTTCGAACTGTGAAATGTTAAATTTAGGATGTATTTAATTGAACAAATAAAAAATATTTAACTCGAACTTTATGGATGGGTATGGTTCCCCCACCCCCACAAATACACATACACGCACGTGTCAAATGAATTTTTGTCATATTATAAAAAAATAAATAATTGTAATTTTATTTATATTTTTTAGTTTTTTAAGTTTTGTATAACATAATATCATTTACCATTATTTGTATTTTAATTCTTTTATAATGTTAATATTATTAGGTTGCTATCGCGAAGGATCCAAAGTTCCAAACCCTATATACATAATTACACAAAATATGACAAACTTTCATTCATATGGGGACACTAATTTATGATAAAGAAAATGTTATCATTATAATAAACTCTTACATATTTATTATTACATCACTCGTTTATCATAAATAAAAAATATTACAAAAGTATTCTTTATATTAACATATATACCTTGTAAATAAAATATCTATCTATAAAATGCGTGATATTGACGGATGCTAAGAGAGACAAATGGGATATCAATGCATTTATAGGAATCAAACAAATAAGCCGTTTCCTTTTCAATTCAAAGTAAAATAAAATTATTTATTTAGTCTATACTCGTCTATTTATATACTTAAAAAAACTTATCATGTTATTACATTTTAATCCGATAATGATATTATAACGACAAAATATAAAATGCAATAAAATGCTCATACATAAACTTAAACATAATTTTTTTAGTGTTAAAATTAATTCATAAATAAGTATTAAGATAAGAATTAAAAGTAAATTTTAATTAGAAATAAAACATGATTAATTTTTAAAAATGAATCACTATATACAAAAATCATAAATTTTAAAACTACTAAAAAACTTATATTTAAGTCAAATATTATTTATAGTTTAAGATTATATATATCTATTGATAAGTTTAATTAATTTGATAAACGCATAAATTAATCAAAAAATAATAATTATAGTTAATAAAATACTAAAAATAATTTATATGTGATAATTTTTTTATTATAGTTAAAAAAATATAAATATATTTAATTTTTTTAGTCAATGTAATAGGACAAAAAGGAAAAACTAGATATGCCAAAGTAACAATATAATTTTATATCTTTAAATATAGTAAAATTTCATTTCTTATATGAAAAAAATGTTTTTTAAAAAAGTAAGTGTTGTGATCAAGTAATAAAATAAGACCAGAACTATTCAATTATATGAACGGTTTGTTCAGCTACTAACGATGGAGAGCTTATCACCGCATATTGAGACTCACACTCTTTGTGAAGAATATAAGCCAACTTCTCTGTTATAATTTATATTTTTGTTGAAAGTTTTACCCATTTCCTCGCATTTGATTTCATTTACAGGAGCCACTATTTACCGTCCTCTTTTACAAGTTTAGTAATTAGATGTGATTCTACAATTTAACGAAAGACAAATAACAAGTGGTCAAATTAAACGTGAATAAAAAAGCTTAAGATGATATATATATATATATTAATCTAATGCAACACAGAATTTGAAAGGTTTGGTAGAATGAATGGTTCAATGAATTGAATTTGATATTTTGAAATATAATAGAATTATCTGTGAGGAAGCCAAATATCTCCCATTTCCCTTCAGCTTCCTGCCAGTCACAATATGTTGACCGTTCAAATATTAAAAATAAGTTATAATATATAGTTTGGTAAGTAACAGTCTTCAGTCCATAGAGTCATGCGGGGGTTGCAAGTGGAAGATAACTCACCTACCTCCCATCACCAATACACTCTTTCATATTTCTTATTTTCAATTATTGCCAGAGTTTTAGTCAGTTAAGCATGTGATCTTCATCTACCCATTCTCTTCGCCAAATATTATATATAGCTATCCACTTCGAACTTGTTTGTAACACACCCTTTTCATATTCCAAGTGCTACCTTCCATCAACCATTCCATTCCCTTCATAACCTACCATTCACCTTTTCTATCTTCTTCCATCCGTAGCTGCAAGATGGTGACTGTTGCTGAGATCCGCCAGGCACAAAGGGCAGAAGGCCCTGCCACCGTCTTGGCCATCGGCACAGCAACTCCTCCAAACTGTGTCGAACAAAGTACCTATCCTGATTACTATTTCCGTATCACAAACAGTGAGCACAAGACCGAGCTCAAAGAAAAATTCAAGCGCATGTGTAAGATATATATCTCATTCTCATATCTTCATTTCCTTATATTCGTTTTATGTGCTTCTATATACATATTGTTTAGTTTTGCTTCCTGTTTCTGATCATAGCTAGCATGCATGTGACATAACACTTGGACTAAACGGCATATATATGTATGACTTTTCAGGCGACAAGTCAATGATTAAGAAGAGATACATGCACTTGACTGAAGAGATCTTGAAGGAGAATCCTAACATATGCGAGTATATGGCACCTTCATTGGATGCAAGGCAAGACATGGTGGTCGTGGAAGTACCAAAACTAGGAAAAGAGGCTGCAACAAAGGCCATCAAGGAATGGGGTCAACCCAAGTCCAAGATTACCCATCTCATCTTTTGCACCACAAGCGGTGTGGACATGCCTGGTGCAGATTACCAGCTCACAAAGCTCTTAGGCCTTCGCCCATACGTGAAGCGTTTCATGATGTATCAACAAGGTTGTTTTGCTGGTGGCACGGTGCTTCGTATGGCCAAAGATTTGGCTGAAAACAACAAAGGTGCTCGTGTGTTGGTTGTTTGCTCTGAAATCACTGCAGTTACTTTCCGTGGACCCAGTGACACTCATCTTGATAGTCTTGTGGGACAAGCACTGTTTGGAGATGGTGCAGCTGCTGTCATTGTTGGTTCAGACCCATTACCTGAGGTCGAAAGGCCTTTGTTTGAATTGGTATGGACTGCACAAACAATCCTCCCAGATAGTGAAGGAGCCATTGATGGTCACCTTCGTGAAGTGGGGTTGACATTCCATCTTCTGAAGGATGTTCCTGGTCTAATCTCAAAGAACATTGAGAAAGCTTTGGTGGAAGCCTTTCAACCACTAAACATCTCAGATTACAACTCCATCTTTTGGATAGCACACCCTGGTGGACCAGCAATTCTTGATCAAGTGGAGGAAAAATTAGGCTTAAAGCCAGAAAAAATGCAAGCTACCCGACATGTCCTTAGCGAATATGGTAACATGTCAAGTGCTTGTGTATTATTTATTTTGGATGAAATGAGGAGGAAATCAAAAGAAGATGGATTAGCCACAACCGGAGAGGGACTCGAATGGGGTGTGCTATTTGGTTTTGGACCAGGACTCACTGTTGAGACCGTCGTACTCCATAGTGTTGCAGTTTAATTGCCTGAATACCCTTTAATATACTATACTAATATGTTCTTTCGACAATATTCACTTGTTCTTTTTCATTTTTTTGGGAAGGGTTAAAGCTTCACTTGCTTCGTTGAGCACTTGAATAAAGTTCATTTTTAATATTAAAGTTCGTAATGATTTTGCCAAATGTATTGTTCATGTCGAATTTGTAAACGGATGTTTGAAAGATTAGCAATTTTTAATTTATTTGTATTTCAGAGTTAAAAGAGACATTTCAGTTGGGTAACAATATTCTATCTTCTTAATTTGACAATTAGCAGACGATTATTGAAGAAATTAAAATAAACACATTTAAAAAAAGGACTCGTACTGAATTGGCCATAACTGGACTGTTACTTTCATCTTACCTTTACTATTTTTTTTTTATGTTGAACCACGTTTTCTTTTCTTTTATTTTTTCTATATCTGTTAATTTAATGGATTTGTTTTATTTTTAGTTTAAAAACTCCCATTAACGAAAATAATATAAAATAACTATACTTCTGTTATAACTTCCTAGTTTAAAAGAGTATAAACTTCGAGAAACAAGTTCTAGAAAATTAGAAAAATCACTTATTTAAAATGAATGTCCGCAAAACAGATGAATAAAATGTATTCACTTTTAATTTAATTTAAAAGTTGTCATAAAATTTTAAAAACAATATATACTTGCGTAGATACTTTACTAATTTTGCCTTTAAAAAACAGCCAACAATTTCCTTATGAAAGAATAGTTTCACAACATTAACACAATTAAATCAATGTCATAGAGTGAATCTAAACAAGTATAATGTCGAGAAATTAAGTAAACATTGTTCGAGCTATTATATCAGCATATTAAGGTAAAAAATTTATATTTTTGTATTTATCCAATAAACTTATCACACGAGGGTTTATGTCATAAGCTTAACTATTTGACACAATTTGTTGAACTTCACTTTCTTAAAAGCATAATCTACTCTATTCGGCTACTATATAAACTCTGTTTTCTGTTTTTGAACTTATGTTCATTATAAGAAAAGAAAACTTTATTTTTTTAGAACTTTTTCAAAAAGATATTTGACCTAATTTATCTTTTTAAGGAGAAAAAAATAATTTAAAAGTGGTCTCGGCAAACATTACCTTAATTGTGAAGCTTATTAAAATAAGATTTTTTGTTTCTTGTTAAAAGAAGATAATGAAAACTTATAATTCTACTAAAATCTAAAACAAATGCTGTAAATATTATATCACTTCAAAACATTAATTTCTCTTAGGATTACTCAAAATTTTGAACTCCATTACAATATCTTGCTGTTCCATACCATTCCAATGTCACATACACCTATTAAGCATGACAGTTTCATGTCTAAAATACAGAAAATCATCTTTACAAGATATTTATAACATTTGTTTCACCAAGTAGAAAATAAGTCTCAGCACATACAGAATTTCAACCACATGCAAAGGTTCTAGAGGTATCTACACTGAGCGTCACAGATACGAGAGTATCCTTAGCCCGAGCTATCATCGGCCCGAAGATCACACTGCAACTGTTCTATAAGCACTTTTTCGACCGCATCAACGAAGCTCGATATATTATGCCGAATATGAGTATCTAAAGAATTGGCTAACTTCTGAAAAATCAATCCCCCAAAAGAAAAAGGTCAGAATGGACATCTTCCAATCCTTGCTGGTCAATCAGGTCATTACCAGAATAACACTTCAATGCAAAATAAAGACATGGGATGAGGAGAAAATATCTTTGGTGCCAAACCTCAGCAATTCATGTGACATAAGTGATTAAATGCATAATCAGAAAACGTTAAGACACTATCAACCAATGACCTGTCAAAGATCTATCAGCAGCATAGGAAAGACCACCAGTGAAGTGTGTATGAAAAACACGTCCCCTAACAGGAAAACAAAATTCTTGTGTACAAACATTTTGATCTTAAGACTTTGACCTCATATTGAGAATGCTAATGCCTATCCATAGACCACAAGGATGAAAGACGGCAAAGAAATTTTAAAGCTAGTAGAGAGTGAAATTCTCTCACCTCAAGTTTGGAATGAAAGTTTAGGGAAGTTCTCTTTAAGTCATCTGATGATTCTGATCCCTTGATGGATATCAGCTTCAATGGAGAACAAAATATTGGCCAACCATTAGACAACTTTATGTATGCATCAATTCCTCCAGCCATATGAGCTACAATAGTCTCATTTTTGTCCAAGTATTCAAGCGAATATCTACATTGAGATTGAAAATAGTAAAGAGACACTAAATGATAATCCAAATTTAAGAACATTAAAGCTAAACAGTCTCACCTTGATTTATTAGCATCCTTTACAATAAGACGCCTAAGGTTGCTTAGTATAATTCTATCCTGCACTTTTTGTATAAACCACTGCAGAGAGGACTTACTGCATGGTAAATGAAAGTTGAGATGTATGAGTTGTGGACATAATCATTGTGGGACCCAGGGATAATAGAAAAAAGAGGACATGGCAAACCTGAAAGACTTTGCAGTATCAACAATGTCGTTCACAAGTATATCATTTGGAAAAACCTAAATAATAATACCCACAAAATCAATAAATCATCAAAAGATTATAAAAATGCTAAATTAAATTTATGAGTAAATGTTTTTGGTTTGCTTTTCTTAAGGCATAAACAAATGGTAGCATATTAAAACATCCAACAACACAAACTTAAAGGAGGAAATTAGGAGAGAAAAGAGCAAATATGTTACCGTGTTATGCCAGGATCACATGCAAAGTATAAAGCAATAATACTAATGACTAGAAATAAATTCCTATGGTTACTCTCTTTTAATCTGCTACCCGGAATCTAAAGATCAAAACAAGATCTGATTCTGAAACTAGGTATTCAAGAGATGTTAGAGTAATGATATTGGGAAAGGGTAAAAAGTAAAACCTTCCATCGCATTCACACTAGGATCTTTAGGAATCATTAGATATTGAGATGGCATTCTTTCATATCAACTTAATATAACTATTAAAATTTCTAACTGTAAAGCCAACAGAATACGATAATGGAGTTCACTATCAACCTTACACCCCCAAACAATATTTTTTGGGTGATTGAATTTGAACCTGAGTTTCTTGGTCCATGTCTGCTACTAAATACCAAAGCACAGCCAGTTCAAAATAATGCAAGAAACAACTTTAAACCATAAACTACTTGATGACATAAAAGCCACTCATAATATCTAAACCATTAATCTAACTGATGACATGAATTGTTACTTTTGCCTAACAGAGTTGTCGGTGCCTACTTTTTGGGTGATTGATTTTGAACCTGAGTTTCTTGTTCCATGTCTGGTACTAAATACCAAAGCACAGCCAGTTCAAAATAATGCAAGAAACAACTTTAAATCATAAACTACTTGACGTTAATTTAGGCACTAATAATATCTAAACCATTTATCTAACTGATCACATTGGAATTGTTACTTTTGCCTAACAGAGTTGTTGGTTCATGCCAGTATTTTTCAACATCAGCGCTGAACCCAGTTCTAAAATCTTTTGAACAATTATCCTCATACAAGTCAAATTGAGTAATAGTGATCTATTTTGATACCTGAACATTCTTTAACTTCATAGTCCCCTCAAAAACTTCAATTAACAACTCATGACTAAGGTCAGCTGCATCAATGGTATCTTCAATTTTCTGTAGGTAGGAAATGCCCTCAAATGTTGGCATATAAGTCTGCAATGATAACCTAATGCAATTCTCATCAAATGCAAGAACTTTTAGACCTGTGAATGCATCCTCAATCTGCTCTACAACATCAAACCTGAACAAGGGAACAAGATGAGTGAGATACAATTACAGATAAATATTTGAAGTGTGAGTAAAAGTAGTTGGATTTACCATTTGACCTTAAGCTCAAGATCCTGCAAAGACTTTAGAGTCAACTTCATTTCATCAATCTCATTATCAAGTTCTAATTGCTGCAACATACGAAAGAAAAAAAGTACAACGAAAGTATATTCTTAATAAAAAAATTATAGTAAATGAACTATAAAAAGGATTACTGAATAGTTAGTTTCCACATCTTTGAAACTAAATCAATTCGATGCCCAAGAAGAAAATAAATAGCAAGTAGCATGGCTGTCAACAACACCTCTACATTCTTGTCTAGATTCACAAAGTTCAAATTTGAACCATCATCCGCCAGCATTGGGGAGTCAGTGCCTTCAGTAGCCTCAGCTGTCGTCGGATCCTAAAATTATTAAAAGTAAAAAATGATTACTACAAGAAAAATCCCCTAAACCCTACAACTCATCAGCCAAAGAGATGGTTAATGAAGCTGATATAATATTACTTAACTGAATTCACACCAGCATTCCATCAGAGGGAGCGAATGAATTAGCTACATACAGTATAAAACACAAAAGTTGCTTATGTTAGAAGAGCAACAAGTACTAACCTTTGATGTAATGTAATCTAAAGAACATTCAATTTCTTCAAGTTTGGCCTCCAAGAGAATATAATCTGGATAAAGGAGAATAACGATTAATTTATGGAATAGTTGATGCTGGCGGTGTAATACGAATAGACAAGACAAATATGATAATAAAATAAAAACATTAAAGGAGTGAGCGAGACCCACCATCCCTATGAGTTTTGGAAAGAAGCTCAATGTCGTTTGCTACAAGGGTGGTTTCAAGCTCCACGTTGCGAAGTTCGTCTTTCAAAATCTGTAGGTAAGCATCTGAAACATGAAAAATCAAAGTTGAAGTTCCCACAAAATAGAAAGCACCGGAAAATAAAAGTTAAAATTACCGAAATTTTGAATTTCGAAGGAAGACAGATCAGGGAACTCGGACACAATCTGCTGCACTCTGTCCTGTATCATTCAAATTTGAAAGTGAATGCATTGCCATTAATTGGGAGAGAGTGAGAGTGAGAGGACAAACGAGAACACTCAACCTGAACATGAAGAGCACATTGGTTGAGTAAATCGTGGCCATCCAATTCGTCGTCGTTGCAAAGCTTCTGAATCTCTGCGATTCGACTGAAACACACAACGGGACGGCGTCATAGAGAGAATAACAATCGGAAGAAGAGAGAAAGTGAATACCTGTGGATCTCGCTTGCTTCCATCGTCTCCTTCTCCCAATACCATCAAAGGACCGAACCAAATTTCAAATCTTTTAGTTTCCCCCAATTTTCCATATAACTTATCTTTAATAAATACATTGAATTTGTCCAATTTTAATGTTTATAAAAATTATTTTTCTCTTCTAAATTATTGTTTTTAGACTACAAATATTTTTTTTATAAGAAGTGATTAAGCTTTTTTTGTTATGATTTAATACAATTACGCGCACTTAGGACTTAAATTTGAGCTACCGAATATTGATTAATCCACCTGTTGGTAATTTTAAATTATTAGTTTAGTTGTATTTTTCATCTTTTAAATTATTTTATTTACTAAAATAATATACGCATAAAAATATTTTTTTAAAAATAATGTTATTTTGTAACATGTTACCAAAAATGTTAATTTTTGGATTAAAAATTTATGGTCGTTTTTAGTTTCGGCGGTCCGAAAGTTTATGCTTCAATTTAATAAAATAAGATTATTTTGATAATTTATTTAAAAGCATTATTTTAGTAAGCCCAAGTCCTAAAGCCCAGATGGGAAAGTTGGGGCCTTGGATCAGCTTAACTCCACGGATTATATTAAAACAAATTAATTAAAGAAATTCAGATAGAAAATTGCTACAAGTTAAGTATAATTCAAATTCAAATTTGAATGGAAGGGAATGTGAGGTCTAGTTATTACTTGTGATATTTACTTAAAACTGTTTCTAATTGGGTGTTTCATTCGTCCCTGTACGCGGCATCAAGTTGTGTCCTACATTGATGCAGCGTTCAGTAGTGGGAGCATGCATGCATGCACGTTCTCTTTGGCAAAACCAAAGACTAACTTGTGTGTATGAAAGTGGATTAGTGTAGATGATGAACCACCTCAACATTGTTGAATTAAAAAAGGGTCTATGTTGTTGTTTTGGGAACTAAAATAACCAGCCATCATGATGTGACTTGGACGAGAGTTGTTGCTGCACCACTAAAATGGATGCACGACTCCTCAAATCTGGAGAAGAAAGAAAATCACCGATGACACCCAATTCTGGAAATTCACTCCAATGTGTGAGTCCTTCCGTTTGAGGTGAGTTGATCCCATGGCCTCTCCCAACTATAAAGAAGTCATGCTCATTCACTATTTCACCAAGAAAACCTGCTGTCTGTGATCCATCCATTGCTATGATTTGTTGATACCTCACATTGGGTTCATGCTTCATATCTTGTAGTAGTAGCATATCGCCATCATCTTTGTAATAATCCCCTAGTTCATCCCTCTCTCCTATGCAATCATCAGAAACAAGGTGATAAACAACTAGGTTAATGCCCGGGTTCCTAATTGCTCGTTTCGCTATGCACAAAGCCTCATGATCATCTTCTCCACCCAAATAAATAAGGGCTACTCGAGTGGTTGTGCCTCTTCTTTGGTGGGAAGCACGACTCACCAAGATTCCAACCGAGCATGGAGCAATTTCTAGGACCCTACAGTTTAGTGTTCTTATGTTCTTGTCATCAGATTCAACATCACCGTCGCTGGACCATCTTTGATGGAATGGAAGAATTATGATGGATGCAACCTTGTCCAACGCCTGGTTGCAAACATCCTCGTACATGAGGTTGGGTGGTGATATTGCGGTGCATGTGTATGCTGACAAGGCGTCTCCATTGTCGTGCTCATAAATGTCAAAAGCAAGAAGGATATCATCTGAGTATGACTTGTGCAGGCCAGATTCTTGCCTTTGAAGACGATGAGGAATGAAAATGGGTAAGGCCCTTCCAACTAGCTCGATTAGGTGCAATACCTCCACAGTTATGGGATTTTCAGGTGTTGGACAACACAGGTCAAGCACATCTATCATGGCCGATATATGATTCGTTTTATGAATCGCTACAACCATCTTCAGATCCGAGTTGGGCCTTAAACTCATAATGTTCCTTTTCTGGTAGCCTGCGTATTTTCTGGAAGGATCATACAAAACCTTCACAGACCATTGCACAACGCTTGCTATGATAATTATGCTGATCATCAATATTTCGTATGTTACGCCATCAATTATCTGCATATTATATATTTGAATTAGCTCGATATATAAAACATCAACTAGAGACGCCTCAAAGTAAGAATTAAGAAAGACTATATATATAGTTTTATTGGAACTTTATAATCATTGTAATTAAGAACTACACAATCATATATGGTAGAGTACCCGATTGTCGTATAAGTAAAAGTAGATGCCAATTTCGACTACGCCTTTGGTGTTCAAAATGAGAGCAAGAGAGAGAGCATCACGAATGGGCATGTTGCTAGAGATGGCGGGTAGAATGCACGACACCATTTTGATTAAATGGATGAGGATGATGGCGATAACGACGCATGAAACTGTCCTTGATAAATAAATATCAGACATGGAACTATAATCAGCCTTCAACATGCAGGTAGTGACGAAGATTGGCAAAAAGAAGGAGGTAGAAAAGAACTGAAGCTTCTTAACCAAAGCAGAGCCTAATGGAGCACCTTCTGGCACAGACAAACCCAAAATGAAAGCTCCAAGAGTGAATTCTTGACTAATCATAACTGAAAGCCAACCCAAAGCAAAGACCACCACGATGATAATATAAAGGTAACCATCCTTCACAGGTCTTCCTTCTGGAGTACGTTTGATGATCCAAAACATTGCTGGCCGAAACACTAAAGGAACAAAGATAGCCATTGCAAGCAAACCCATAAAGTTTTTGAAAACGTGATCCATTTGTGTTTCAGGGGTAATCATCAATGCAGTGCCAATAGCGGTAACGATTGTGCACAACACGTCACTCACCAATGCTGAGGATAATGCCAATCTCCCCAGTTCCGAGTTTTGGATTTGAAGTTCATTGAGCAGGGAAGCAATTACCGCAAATGAAACAACAGTGTGTGATACCGTAGTAACGTAAAGATCATCGTAGTTGTAGATGTACATACTAATCCGTTGACGGGAAAAATATAGTGTTGTAGCGGCAACAGATAACGGTACTAACAATCCAATTATGGCAATGGTCCATGCCTTCTTTCCCGTCCTTGTTATCATGCTAAAATCCATTTGCACTCCGTTTATAAAAATGAATAGCACGTAACCAATAGATGACACTGTTCCAATGGTGTCTTGGGTTCCGTAGGGAAACAACTTCCTCATAAACATGCCTAATTCCCCCAGGTGAAGCGAAGAATGTAGAATTAAACCAGCCTGCAAAATTAATTAATTAAGCAGTGCATTTTCCGAAATTAAATTGACTTAGACCTAGTTGAATGCATGCATGCATGTATCAAGTACGTGTTATATACAAAAAATAATATATAATTAAATTGAGATCATATGGGAGGTACTTACCATCATTTGTGAAATAAATAGAGGGAGTCCCAAGGGCTTGAGAAGGACACGGCATATTTGGGTGATAGTGAATATTATAAGCACCTGTAACTCAAACATGGGGAGAAAAGATTTCATTGGAGACCTTCTACGTTCTCCTACAGCCCATAAGCCATCTGAAACAATATGGGGTGGAGCATCATAGCACACCTCGTAGGTGTTCAAACCCACTTCTTTTATTGAGTGGTACATAGTTTCGTTCGTATTAATTAAATTCATTTTGGTGTACCGCAATCCCAAGTTCCCACCTGAGAGTTGAGGGAGGGAAATTGGTATGAAAACTAGGTAAAAATTCAATGTAGGCTAAAATATATTGGAAAGATGACTCTATCTATAAATAAGAAGAAACATGTAAAAACGTTGTGGTCGAAGTTTGGGTTCCTTCTGAGCAAGATTTAGCTATGGTCGTGACGTGCTGATTTTTGCTTCGGTGTAACTGATAAAAGTAAAAACTAACAGACTATATTTTAAGTTTGACACCGTTTGGGAGACAAAGTTTTCATCGACTATATTTCGAGTTTGTCAAGGTTGTTTAACAGAACAGCTTATCAGAAGTTTAGACCATTTAATTCTATATTTATATTCCACGGTGTTTTAGTCTCCTGTCAACCGTATATTATATTTAGACTATCAGAGTGAAAAAGAACCAGAAAATGTCTCCTTTAACCGTTTTAACAAACAATTACATACCTTCTATATTAATTGAAATCTCATGTTACCATTATCATTCTCTTTCTTATCCCTCTAATTAAACAAATACTACCACTCTTTTCATATTATTTCCAATTTATTCCATCAAAATTTTCATTGTTACGATCAAGGAATTATCTCACTTTTTATTTATATAAAACCCTAAAATCCTTTTTTTACTCTCAAATAATTACAAAAAATATATATTAATTTTAGATAAAATGTGATATTTTTTATTATGAATTTCGAATGAAAAAATGGTTTAAAATAGTTTGGTGAGTTTTCAGTTCACGAAAATTTTGAGAAATAATATTAGAATTTGAGATTATTAAATGAAAAAAAAAATTGATGAAAAGTTAATAATAATTATTTAATAAAATAAAAATCCGACCTGCCGGATTCGAACCAGCGACCTAAGGATCATCTGCGGGATTCATCCAACTACAGTCCTCCGCTCTACCAACTGAGCTAAGGTCGGCTTGCTGGGTTCGAGTATGTGCTTATTATAACATAGACTCCAGAATTGTTCCATGCTGCTGCTTTATGACATCTTGGGAGATATTCAACGCAACAGCTTATTTTAGAAAGAACATAATAAAACTCTATCTTCAATTTTTTTTCTTTACTTTTTTATCAGCATTAGAAGTCAATATTATTTAGAACTACTTTTTAGTCTCAAGGTTGCTGATGAAACTAAAGTTTTTCTCATTTTCCCACAGTTTCAATTTCATTCCTTTGACTTTGCTCTAATCGCCTAGAATGCAAATGTTGTCTGAGAGAAGAGAGTAATCTGGCGAGTGAGATGCAGCCATTGACATCGAAAACCAAGCAAAAATCAACAGTCAAGGACAAACGACCATTACAAAATAGAGAAATAATGGGCCACAACAATCTATGGTTCTCTCTGGACGCGCATGAGAAGATCGCAGTAATGTGGGCTTACAATTAAAAATAAAATAAAATGACAATCCCAGAGTAAACAAAAATACCAGCTTATGCTCTGAACAGACATTTACAGTGTAATTTACAATCATAAAATAGAAAACACTACGTTAAAGACAAAAGCAAATTGCGAAAAAAATCAGCGGCGAAAACTACTAGACTGAATGTACACGTAACTTGTTGGCAACATGGAGCAAATGACTAATGTTTGTAGAGGGATAATTTTGCAGCAACTTGAGGTTAGAAGTGAAATCACCCGCTAGAAGACGCCTACGAACGAGAATTAGCATTGCACAGCATATTCTGAGAAGTGTCTCCTACACAGCATTGTATGAGTTAGTTTTCCTGTTTTTCTATTTTCATTGCATAAAAGAAGTACAAGGTATGTTAAGGGGAAAAAAGAGAAAAACAAATAATCCCATGCTCCTCAAGGTTCTGATCCACCATTATCAGTTCTATGCACAAATTGAGGAGCAAAAGGAATTTAATGTAGCAAGGTAACAATCATGAAAGGCACGTGACCTGTATAAGTTGAAACATACCCTAGCACCCTCAAGCACAACATAAAACGAAGTAATCTAGATTTTGTCGATAAATAAAACCATTCAACATGAGGACTAATCGTCTTTCCTTTACAATGAGACCCATAAATGTAGGAAGTTTACATGGGAGGGAACATGTTATTATTTTCAATGTTCTGTGGATTTTTAATTAGGCGGGCTCAGGATGATTGCAAGCTGTCAATTTTTCATTTTAAAATGCAAAATTTCAAGACAAACGCATTCAAGACAATTTTTGGTTTTATGGGTGATTTCTTTAGGAGAGCATACCTTATCCTCTTGTATTTTCCCATTCTTATCCAACAATGTCTCTTTTTCTATCCAAAAATTAAAAGGTACAAGCATTCTCGCAGCAATCAATATATTTCTGAAAACTTTTTTTTTTTTTTTAAAATCATTGCTTATCCACTTGCACATTACTAATGTCTGTAAAGGACAGCCTCCACTTCAGCAAAGCCAATTCCTTTCCTTATCCTCGCAATGAAGAGTAATTTTACAATTTCAAATTCAACAGCATCTCTTACCATTGGCGTAAGTGCTGCTGGATCATAAGGTTATATTTCTGTCCATTAATATTATTTAGATGATCGGGAAATGTTTAGGTAAAGGGGAGTCAGTCCAATAAAGTAAAAGGTAAATAGGAACAAAATTGTACCTGTGGCCCCTCTGGATCACTTAAAAGGGTGTCCCATATATGAAGACTTTCAGCAAAATTAAATTCCTGAGTCAAGAGGAGGGTAATCCACCTGAATGCATAGAATTGGGGATTGACCTGACAGTTAGAAAAAAAAATGAGTTTTTCTGATCAACTGTTCAATAACCAAAGCAACCATATTGTGAAATCATCCGGCAAATTGACACACTCAAAACAGCACAATGACTAAGTAAAGACCACAAGTGTCACTTAACTGACTAGTACAGGAACATAAAACATCAGAAACAGACGAAAAAAAAATGTCAAATAAAAATCACAATTCTAACATAGAGAAGATCACATCACTGAAACAAAGAAGAAAGGAAGAAACACACTTTCGAGATCATTTATTATTTAGTGTCACAAATATTGGAGTGAAGAAAGTAATTGTTTTCAAAACAAATTTAATAAGAAAGAGTAGAGGTACTGATAGGATAATGTCTTCATTATTCATTCCTTAAATTCATTTGCCTATCAGATTGAGTTAATCAACAATGTTTCAAGGATCAATTCTCCCTCTTAACCCTTTACCATTCTCAAATTGTTAACATGATAGTTATTTTTTGATAGAGAATGTACTCAAAATTGCATCTTACTTTAGTTGTGACCTCAAGATGACGCCATAGTTCTTCATCATGTTCTTTCAAAAGCTGGGACAATCTTGTAATAGTGGAACGGATCCCAACAACACTATTGTCAAGTTGTTGACAAAAATTATCTCGGAATCCACTCAATAGTTCAACAAAACAAAAGAATGTGTCTGCTTCAGCAAAGGCCTGCAAATTAGTAGGCAGCGGCTGAGCCTAATTAAAATCATATAAGATGAGTAAAATCAAACTACATTACTCAATCACTGTAATCTGAGACACTTTGGAAACAAAAACCCAATCAACATTCCCATGGTCATATTAATCTTTTCACACATTTTCATTTTCTTTTATGTACATGGGAATTGTATTGCATTTGTCAACATTTCTTGTCCCAATTCCCTCAGTAAGCAATAATACATTCTCAAATTCAGAGAAGGAAGGGACGGTGAGAGCTTGCAGGATATACTCACCGCATTTTCCTCATCAGGATCATTTTTGAACACATAGAACAGAGGAGCCAATACTTCATTCATCCCTTGAACATATCTTATACCTGGGTTCAACTTTGCAAAAATAATTAATATGTTCTTTAAAGCCTCCTGAAAATGCCCCAAAAGCAGAAGAAATCAAATCAAAAAGTTCACGCTTTGAGTTACTGAGTTTGCATCAATTTAAAAGAAATAGAGGAATAACCTGATTAGATTTTGCAAATTGAGAATCACCAGAGAAGAAGTGCATATCTGGATGAGTACGTTTTACATCTCGGTCAATCTGATCTATGATCTCTGTGTCCTAAGACGTGCAAAGAGAAATGTTAACTATCACCACAGCCATTCACATGCCAGAGTACAGGACACTAGATTAACTTTAGTGTGGTGGTGATATGATAAGGAGCATTGAAGTTCATAAACGATTAAAATATTGATAACGGCAAGATTGTTATCAGCAGTCACATTTGCTAAACTAATTCCCCCATGACACGAGGAATTTACATAGTATATAATATAAAAATTCAGGAACTTAACTTGCAATTGAGAATATTGTATAATTTAAGCAATTGTAGAAAGTGACACGAACAATGACAATAGAAATGGCTTTGTAATTTCATGTGAAAAGTAGTGGATTTGGGTGATATATATTTTTGTGGAGGGGAAAAAGTTTGTATATACCTGGAAGAACTGATTCCATATGCTGGTGTGGCCAAGACTCAAAGGGTGTTCCCCGTGACTGATTTGTGATCTAGAAAGCAAGCCCCTAGACTGAGATTTAGCATCATCGATGTCGAGAGTAGCGACGTTGTACATCCTCCTGGTGATTTCTGACTGACTAGCACAGAAAGATTAAGAGGTGTGTGGTTGTGGAGGCATAAAATGTTATGCGAGTAAGTAACTTACAGGGTTCATGAGGAGGTCTTCTTTGAAATGTTTGTACTGAGACCTTTTCTTGCCTAATTCAGAGGACCAAAGGCCACGATCGGGGGGAAGATATCCAAGCAAAAGCTGCGAATGTGAAATTGAAGCATAAATTGAATTGTATCGTATTGAGAAAGAAAGGGTAGATAGGTAGGTAGATACCTTCCAGAGCGTAGGGCGTAAAGCAGCGGCGGCAGCATCGGGTACACCTTGAGAAGCCACTCTCCTCAACTCGCGCATGTCTATTACCTTCCTAGATAACTATGACAGACACAAAAACTGTGCTCAGCAGCAACAAAATTAGATGAGAGTGAGGATGATGAAGTGTTTTCACTAACCTCGGCCAACAAGTGAGCCTGAGCCTGAGCCTGAGCCTGGCCCTGGCGGGAGATTTCATCTGCGGAGGAAGAGGCGGACGAAGAAGAAGGAGAGGTACTAACGCCATTGTGATTGGGTGGGATTGTCGGGGGAGGCGGAGGAGGAGCAGCAGGAGCAGGAGGAGGAACGGGAGAAGGAGGAGACGGTGGCTCGAGGGCTGCGGATAAGCGGTGGTGGTCGGAGGGGGAGGACCAGAGAGAACTGTTGAGCCAGTCGGGTACCTGCTTCTTCTTCACCATTTCTAGGGTTTCCTTCTGGTTTGGCTATGAAATTAGATTTGTTTAATGTTTAGCATAGAAGAAGGCGAGAGTGAGATTCGAAGCAATCAGCAGTCAGCAGTCAGCATCCAGCATCCATTTGCATTTGCATTTGCATATGCATTGATTTCAGACGGAGTGGGCCATTGCCATTGGACGCCTGGCCCGTCGAAGAAATGCCACCCCAACCCCTCCTATGTCCTAACATACACCAAATGCCCGTTCCCCAACACACACACACTCCCCTTCCAATCATGGTTAAGTCATTATTAAATAATACTTTATATAAACTTCCAATATTACAAATTTTAGTTTTTCTTTTTTACTTTTAATTCCATAACTTAATATTTGAAAACTGATTTTAGTCTTTAATAACAAACTCATTTAACTAGTAAACTATTCAAATTTCCTTAAAGCCCGTTCAAACAATGCCTCAAGTGAAATTGTATACCTAAGTAAATGAAAATTATTCGATGGTTGTTTTTTTGGGCCTAAACATTATTTGCCATTTTTGTTTGTCAACCAAACTACCGTGGATTCAGAAGTATTATGCTCCATTAACTACAAGTCTACTGTTGACCAAAAAGCAAACTACCAGTCTACTACCTTTTTTTATATTAGTGTTTAACCATATTGTTCGACAAAATGTGATTCTATCCCAGACTTTTATGATGTATTTCCCATTTATAAAAAGAGTGAACCATTCAAATTGACGATGGATTGAGCCCGAGATATGTTGCTGCAGAGAGTATATTGCTAATCGTTTTAGCAGACAGCAGAAATATTATAGAATTAAGAGAAGTAATTAGAAAGCCCAAGCGTGAGCCTTCGGAAGCATGTCTGCTCAAGCTGATCATAAGCCGCTAATAATCACTTTTTGTACGTGGGAAGCTATGGACAACTGTGATTGCTGCTGTTTACATAATAAATTGTACGCAGCAAAAACTTGTGACAAGGTGGGGAGATTATTGGATTAGAATGACATAGGTGGAAATTTTTAGTGTGTTTGCATTGACATCAAGTACACTTAGTGCAAACATATGCTTAAACGTGATCCATTTCAACACTAAAAGTTATATGCTTAACGTGATTTCATAGGCTTTCCAAACATGCACTTGGTGAAATATTATGACAAAGGAGAGTTGATGAAGAATCATGCATGTAGTCATTTCTCACTTCTGGATGAATGCAGAATCTACTGTCAGAGTGACTCTGGGAAAGATGACCAACAATTAAAAGATCACCAGCATCAGGGAATGGAACGTTCTCTAATCTTTTAACATCATTAGTCCTATTACGAACGATGAAAAAATAATATGCAGAATGCACTTGCTAGTTGCAGCAAAAGACGATGAGTTTTGGTAGTGAATTCGAACTTATAATGCTTGGTGAATCATGAGAGTCAATTTGAGTGGTCCATAACAAAAGAAAAATGAATCATGCTTGGGGTTTGGACCTAAAGGAACTAGGTTTTTCTGTAACATTTTCAGGTTCAACAGTAAAAACAGCTATGATGTCTAGAATGTTTTGATTTGAACAACTTAACATCGTGACAAGTCAGAATTAGGAGGGAATCAGCAGCCTGGACTCGTGATGTCCATTTTAACTGAAATGCTGTGGTGGAAGAAGCTCGAAGAAACCTTTTCAGGTGGCGTGGCTTTTATTTCCAATTTTGAAGGCTGACAACACAAAAGGCGTACGGAGAGTGCAAAAGGAGATTTCCTGAATTATATCTAGTACTTCCTAGATTATCTGTGTGTATTTCTTCTCCTTTGTATGTCTTCGCGATTTTTCGTTTATTTGTAGTCTTTTATGTTTTATTATTGTACAATCGTTCTATTGCGGCAGCATGTGTTAGTTCTATCATTACAGTACTGTTTCTTTATTAAAATATTGTTCCTTCTGTTTATCAGATTATAGAAACTTTTGTGATTGATTGTTTTTGCTGATGCATTGTTGGTAGAAAATAATTCTTTCAACGGTGACTGCAAGAAATACTACACTCTAGTCTGATATTAAATGCGCATTCCATTTTGATATTGTCAATTTGGATATATTCTCTACACCATTCAAAAATCGACTTGCAAAAGTGATAATCAACTTCAGGCCAACATTTGTCACTATGCCTCCTAAATAAATTTTCCATGTGCCAAGGGTTTGCGGTCAAGAATTTGTTACCGAGTAATTAATTTATGTTCCACCCTTTGCAAATGATTCTGATCTTCTCATGTTCAGGCTGAAACATGATCCTCATGTTTAAATTTGCTTCATATCAAATATCATGTAAAAATAAATAAAAGAGAATGATTTTATCCTTTAACAACATGCCTTTAGTTTCTACATAATTTATCTTTTTTTTTTAATAATTTTTTTAAGCCATTTTTAATTCGCTTAAGCCGTAAATTTGAACATGAGGATCCGAATCCCAACTAATTACAGTATCATGTGTCTGCGTGGGTGTGTGTGTCAATATCACCTGATAGCGGTAGTGGAAGCTGTATGTGTTTGAAATTATAGCTGATGGCATCGTTCGTAAAGGCATTTCACTCCATTATGACCCACCCCTGGCAAACGTATCGTCCCTTCCAACCAAGCGAAAATAATCGCAGCACAAAGGAAAAGCATAATCAAAAGCAAATTAAACCGAGCAAAGCTTCAATCAGTCATAACATCAAGTGTTATTTACAGTACAGGCAAGAAGCTGGAGGATAATACAATTTCTAGTCAGAGTAAGGGTAACCATATGCTATATCTTCAAAACTACCAAGAGCATATTCTGATCAGAGTAATATATCAGACAATTTACAAATCAGAAAGTAAACAAAAAGACTCTATCTGCCGATAACATGAAACCTCTTCTTTGAAAACTACTTACAAATTTCAAATATTTTTTCACGCGACCACAATAAAGAGAACAATCCAAATTAATGCTCTTCTTTATCAGCTTTGCACTGCCAGTACCTGCAACTGGTCTAGAAAAACTTGCAAGCTCAAGTCATCGGTAAATATAATATCCGAACCATCTGTATAGGTTGAATTTTGTGTAACAGAGGGATTCAATTTGGCAAGAAGAAACCTAGCCTGGCTACTATGCTGATCACATTTAACAATCTTTGGCACTGGAAGCCGGTCGGCTACCAATTGCTCTGCATCCAGTTCTGGGGCTTCCAACAGCTTTCTAAAGTTCTCGTGATTAGGGTCCTTATCATAACCCAGCTTCCTCCACTGAGCAATCTTGGACCCATAGTGAATCACCACATGGAAGAAAGAATCAAAGAGCAAAATAAAATCTGGAGAAATGGAACGAATATCAAGCAGTACTGGAACAGGTGGCCCATCAAACGAATATTGGAAAAGAGTAGGTTGAATCATTATAAGAGAACCTACTACTCCCTCACGGTTCAGCATAAGCCGGAAAAATGCAGTTTCATCAGGAGTAGTGTTACAGACATCAATGAATTGAGATCGTCTCAAGTGGAACATAAACTGGGGATAAAGGGAAAAGTTGGAAGATAGGCGGAAGGAGGAAGGATCTTCCGGCACATAGTCCCCAAACTTAGAAGTAAAACGGATAAGCGCGTCATCGAGCCATCTAATGACATCACGAGGATAGCATGTCTCTGCGCGGAGTATAGCAAGCCTTGCCATTACTGCCGCTGCGGCTTCTTGATCAAACCCAGCAGCAATATCAGCAGAATGGTTTGCAACCCATCGTCTTGCAGCAGTGGTCACTCTTTTTCTGAGTCCCATGTTGCCCTGCCGGTACCGTGTTATAAACTGGATCAAAAATGCAGAGCCGGGTTGAATTTTCTGTTCATCATTCACTTGGAAGAAAAAAGCGACACAAGTTTTGTCAGTGAGGGTGTTCAACTTCCACACAGAGGTACCACCTTGTCCAACCTCAGTCTCACTCACTAAACTGGTCTTTTTTCTAAGAGACACACAAGGACCAAGAGCTCCACAGATTTTCACATCCTTAGTAGTCACAATTTCAATAGTTGCATCAAAGTTCATGTTCAAATGGCCCTCACGGCCACGTTTAAATATATGGCGGAGACATTTCCTGAATTGGTCGGAATCAAAGGAGTCCACAAGAATCATGAATCCACCAGAGTGCTCAACAGGTTGGCGAAGCTCGGCTGCCCCGACTTGGTCGAGGGAAGAAGCAAACAGATCAAGAACAACGGTGGAGTCAGAAAGCCTCTTTGAAATATGGGTGTAGAAAGAGGAGGATTTAGCATGGTGTGTTGCTTGGGCAGTGAAGATGTGGTGGTGGGTTCTGATGGAATGGCGGAGATCAGACTGTACAATGATGCCGGGTCCGAGAGTAGCAGGTCCAGTGGTGAAGAGCATGATCCTGGAGCCGGTGTTTACGTGGCAAGACTCTAAAAGTCCAATGGCAACAGAGATTGCAGCACCAGTGGCCCTCGGGGGGCGAGTGCCGGGGGTGAAGTTGTATGTAGAATGGATGTCTTGGATTGCAGCAGCGATGCTGAACTCGCATTCGGAAAGTGGGAGAAGAAAACCCTGCCTGGGGACGAGAGGTGTTTGTCCTCCGAGATGCGGGTGGTGGGGGCGGTTAATGTTGAGCAAGTGGCGGATCTGAGGAATGACGGAGTACATGACATGCATACATAATATGTTCGCTAATTGATTGAAATTTGAATTGAATTAAAATGGCGAAAGTGAAGAGAGAGAGAGAGAGAGAGATAGAGTACCTGATTGGAGGAGAGTTGACGATTGCCATGAAAGATGAGGAGTCTCGAACAGTGGGAGAAAGCAAGATCGTGGAGGTAGACCATGGAGTCGAAGGTGAGGAGAGCGACGAGAGCGTTGTCGGGGAGGAGGTCGAGGAGGAAGAGGAGGTGGTTCTTGAGGGAACGGAGGTCTTCCGGGGAGGAGGAGAGGTCGACGAGGAAGAGGAAGGCGGGAGGGAAGGGAGAGGAAGAGGAAGGTGAAGAGTACTCGACGGTGCTGTATGTGGGGAAGAGTTCGGCGGGGAGATTGGTGTCGGCGATGGGGCGAGGGAAGGGGTTGCGGAGGGAGCAGAAGGGGCAGTGCCAGATGCGTGACTGGTAGTCGAGGCGGGCGTAGGGGTTCAAAACGGCGCCGCATCGGGAGCACACAAGTGCTTCATAGGGCAGAATTGGTAGGTCAGTCCCACTTCCTTGCATCAAATTCAATGGACTGCACATTATGCTCAGCGGAATTATCAGACCGCTACCTTCCGATTTCGTGCATGGCCACGAATTCCACGACCATCTTAGCCCTTCCACCGCCTCCAATTCCACCAAATCCATCTCTCTCTCTCTCTCTCTCTCTCTCTCTCTGCCACCGAGGGTTTAGCCTCTCCTCTTTCACTCCCTTCTAGCCAACTACACTCTTAATTCCTTTTTATTTTTATTACTATTATCATCATTCTACTTATAATTCATTTTAATTCTCATCAAACAATGTCTTTTTTTAATCAAAATTCATTATTTCGGTCAAGTATTGCCCTTAATTATTTCTCTCTTTTTTTACCAAACATATTCCTAGATTGAATTGTCAACATTATTACAATCAAATTTGTCCTTTTTAATAAAATTATCATCACTTAACACAATAAAACAAATAATTTACTAATAAAACCTTTACACTTGTAACTTAGAAAAAGCTCTACTCTATTCTTGTCTAAAGAACATTACTTAATAAGTGTAGAGATAAGTACAAGAGTGACTTTGGTAAGTACCGATTCTTCACAGAATTTGGGAATTGGTATGTACTTATGACGAAGCAAAGAAAAAGGAGCGTACCATTTGAATTATCAGATGATCTAACTTCGCATGTGATGCCCGGCTTGTACAGCTATAGAAGACAGGAGTAGCGAAGAATGCATTTTTGTTAGTGTTGAAATGTATGCTCTGTCTTCATCATTTTAATTATGTCACTTTATGATTGTAACTAAAGCCTACATTTAATTGACGGAACCGGTCTTCGCACGAAACCTGTGAGACATCTTTTTTAAGGGACATGGATTCTAACTTTTGAACTTTCTTCAATTTTAGTACCAAAAAAAGTGAATTTTGTTCACAGTATTTGCCAATTTACAATAACAAAATTATGCTAATGACAAATGTTACACGACCAATCTCTTCCGGCATTTCTCTTTTAACAATTGATGCTGGGAACAAAATTCGAAATTTGAGTTCGTTACACTAAATTAAGTAAGAATGGACAACATTTAGGATATATTTCTTTTAGTATTTTTATATTATGTTTAATTAAATATTGTTTTTATAATTTGTGATTATTCATTGTAGATTTTTTTTATTTAAATAAAAATTTATTTTTAAGTAGAAATAATATAAAAATGTTTTAAAAACTTGACCTAAATATTGTGCAAGTTTATTTTATATTGGTTGAGTCGAATTTATTGACATGTTGGAATTTCTTCTGGGGCCAAACGCGTCAATTAAAATTAGTATTTATTTAATCTTAAATGCATGAGAAACACAGACACATGTGATATATTGGTACGCAGCTAAAACATGAATATGAATATGAATATGAATATGAACAAACTTAATGAACGCAAGTGTAACTTATCCAGGAACCTTGTCGGTAGCAAGATTGGTCATCCAAACAAAATAGCTTTATATTCTGACTATGAAAAAGGAGCTATTAATTATCTTGCCTTCTACGCTGCATTCACCATGACAATGTGAATGTGAAGTCATCCTTTTGTTTCTTTATATTCTTTGATGTCCTTTCCAGCCTCACCATTAATTTTTAAAAAAGAAATAAATCCTCGAATTGCTCAATTAATCACGCGCAACAACTTTGAAATAATTTCCTAAAATGTTTGAACTTTGACCCTTGTTTTTTTTCGTTTCTTCCCGCATCCCAGCTTGGTGCGGTGCCCATGAGACTATTTAATTAGCCATATTAACTCTCAACTCACTGTGTTTTGAATGCTGAAATGGGTCGGCTTCATATTGCCATATTGTCTCTGTTGTTTTCAGTCTACACCATTGTTCATGGCGGAATTCCAACAACTTTGGATGGACCCTTCAAGCCTGTCACCGTTCCTCTTGATCGGAGCTTCCGTGGAAACGCTGTGGACCTCCCAGACACAGATCCTCTTGTTCAAAGAACTGTTGAAGGGTTCCAGCCAGAACAAATCTCTGTCTCCCTCTCTGCTTCTCATGACTCTGTTTGGATTTCTTGGATTACTGGTACCACTTCCCTTCTTCCACTTATCTTCGTTACTTTCTGATCCCCTTCTTCAATTTAATATAACAAACTTAGAAGAAGAGGTCACAAATGAATTACATAGTCGCTGCCTCTATGCTATGCACACAAATGGCCTTGTTTTTTCGGTTTTATCCAAATGCAATTAATGTTGCTTTCAGTTTCATCGAATTCAAAAATTGACTCTCTGTTGCTAATGCTACAGGAGCACATTCAGTTTCCGGGTGCTAATTTCTTCAGCCCGCAAGTGGCAAAAGTTTCCTTTTTGAATGCATACACATTAAGCAAGCAATAATTAATTATACCGTTTGAGGTTAAAGATTTTCTTTTGAACCAGCCCAACTAATATATTGCATCATTAGAAGCTTTAGCAAACAGCCACAAAACACGCATGGAATAAAATATCACATTGTTGGATTATATTTGCAGGGGAATTCCAAATTGGGGACAATATAGAACCCTTAGATCCTGAAAGTGTTGCCAGCATAGTTCAATATGGAAGGTTCGGAAGGTCAATGACTCACCAAGCTACGGGTTATTCGCTTGTTTACAGTCAACTTTATCCTTTTGAAGGCCTTCAAAACTACACGTCTGGAATTATACATCATGTTCGTCTCAAAGGTATAACACTCGCTACAGGTTTCCATTTTGTCTCACATTCACCGTTTATTTTATCCAAACAAATGTTGTTATGTCTTCAAAGGAAGGAAACAAAAAAAGAAGCACTATGGTTTTGAATCATGAATCCATTGCCTGAACATCCTAAGTCAACTCAAGCTTGGTTGGTTTTGCCTGAAGAATTTTGTTGGCAAAATTTAAAAATCTGTTGTGTTTGCCGCAGGATTGAGAGCCAACACATTATATCAATATCAATGTGGAGACCCTTCTTTGTCAGCAATGAGTGATGTTCACTATTTCAGAACCATGCCAGTTTCAGGTCCCAAGAGCTACCCTAGCAGAATAGCAGTGGTTGGAGACTTGGGTCTCACATACAATACCACATCCACTGTTAATCATATGATCAGTAACCATCCTGATCTTATTCTATTGGTTGGAGATGTTAGTTATGCTAACCAGTATCTTACTAATGGCACTGGGGCTGACTGCTACTCTTGCTCATTTCCTAACACTCCAATCCACGAAACATATCAGCCTCGTTGGGATTATTGGGGAAGGTAAAATTTAAACTTTCTTCATTAGGAATTAGGAAACTTTTCTTTATCATTGCTTTAGAGTTTGGACAGATGATGGTGGCCTTGCCATTGTCTTGATTTTTTCTTTTGAGATATCTTTGTTGCATTTCAGCTTATACGTCAATTATTGATTCAGGTACATGCAACCTCTGATTTCTAGTGTCCCAATAATGGTAATAGAAGGGAATCATGAGATAGAAGAACAAGCTGAGAACCAGATATTTGTTGCTTATAGTTCTCGATTTGCATTCCCATCAGAAGAGAGTGGATCATCATCCACTTTCTATTATTCTTTCAATGCTGGAGGAATACATTTTATAATGCTGGGGGCCTACATATCCTATAACAAATCGGGTTAACTCTTGGTTCATTTTTTCTATTGTCTTCTGCACGATTGATATTCTTCATATTACTAACATGGTTTAAACTTGAGCATTGCTGTTCATTTACATGCATGATAAGGACAGAGAGTGCTAAAGTTTCTTCCATATTAATATTGACTCACTACCAGTATTATCCCCTTTTTTATTGCAGGGGACCAGTATAAGTGGTTAGAGAGAGACTTGGCTTCTTTTGACAGGGAAGTAACTCCGTGGCTGGTAGCTACATGGCATTCACCTTGGTACAGCACCTACAAGGCACATTATAGAGAAGCAGAGTGTATGAGGGTAGAGATGGAAGACTTACTATATAAATACGGCGTTGACATTGTCTTCAATGGACATGTAAATATTAATTGTTGTTTCCATTACATATGATCCATAATTCTTGCCTTTATTAACCTCTATTGCTAGGATTTTGGTAAAGCCATTGATGGCTTAGAGAGGATCACATGAATTTAGGTAATAAGCACTTGTACATGCCTTGGGAATTCTTAACTGAAAAGCACAACGATTGAACAGGTTCATGCGTATGAGAGATCAAACCGAGTATACAACTACACATTGGATCCATGTGGTCCTGTTTACATAACTGTTGGGGATGGTGGTAACAGGGAGAAGATGGCAATTACACATGCAGATGACCCCGGAAACTGTCCAGAACCATCAACCACACCAGACGAGTATATGGGTGGCTTCTGCGCGTTTAATTTTACCTCTGGTCCTGCAGCAGGCAAGTTCTGTTGGGACCGACAACCTGATTATAGTGCTTTCAGAGAAAGTAGCTTCGGCCATGGGATTCTAGAGGTCATCTTTCTTTCTCTACAACTTCCTGCAATGCATGTTATTGGTATATAAACTAACTGGTAGACCCTACGCAGGTGAAAAATCAAACCCATGCGTTGTGGACTTGGCATCGTAATCAAGACTTGTATGGTAGCGCTGGAGATGCCATTTACATTGTTAGGCAACCCCAAAGGTGTCCCCCAGTCAAGCCAGAGGTACATTATCTCTTATCTATTTACAGTTGCTCTATCATTCTTATAGACAACTAATCCTTCAAATGCTGATCTTATTTATGTCTCTTCTACTCACTTTGCATTTAGCTATACAGTTGATTTATTCTTTCATTTTATAGCAGGGCGCCTAAAAATTTAACTTAAAGAAGCATTAAGTTTATCAATGCTACCGTGTGCTGCCAACCGGATTCGGAGGTATACTGTATGTTATCGTGTCTTAGCAACAGATATTGTAACCCAATCCTATTTTTTTGAACAAATTTAATAAAACAAAAAATCTTGCGTGTGCATTGGATACATGATGGATATGTTCTTAACACAACACAGGACATGTTCAGATATGTTCATATTAGTCCGATCGAACTTGCTATTGGAATTTTGTTAGTGCCCCTCTCTGTAATTAAATTATATCAAATCGGAGAAATGCATATTAACATTTGATATAAAGGCTCTCGTTTTTTCATTCTTTACTATATAGGCAAGACCGTATAGAATACGTTTAGGGATCCATAACATAACAAAATATAATAATAATCTAGTAATGGTAATTTAGCGAGCGACCTTATCGACCTTGCAAAAGTACACGGAGAGAAGTAAAGAACACAGAAAAATGATATGCAAGAAAATCAAACGGTAATATATTGTTCTGTCGAACGAACAACCAAATTGAGGCATTGCATTAAGGAAATTGTAAGGTCCACAAATCATTAATCTATTATATAATCTCAACAAAGGTCTCCCTACAATTCTGGGTCAGCACCTGCCACTTGGATGTCATTTATGAGATGTAGTTGCATCTGACAAAGCCAAAAGCACATACATGCAGGATTAGAAGAGATGAAAGGAAAACTGAAAATGAGGTGGTCATTGCCTTTGAAGGAGCTCTAGAGTTTTCAGGGATTTGTGGGTTCATTCCTGGAGATAGTCCACCAGCACCATGGAGTGGAGTAGCAGTGGGTGTAGGCACGTTCGGGTTGTTCATCGGTGACGTTGAACTTGTGACTGTTGTATTTGTAACTTCGGCAGTGCTAGACATTATAAGAAATCAAGCAATTAACAGTAGCTTATGCTTTACGAAAGAAAAAAAATTTTTTTTTTCAAACTAGCTTACTGTTACCGTTAACCCATTTTACAGTAATACATTGACCTCTTACGTTGAAATAATCATCGCGTGGGCGTAAAATAAACCTAAAATTCGAACGAGTTGGCCTCGTTATAAAGTCACCTGTTTTCATCAGCAATTTGCTTTCATGCAAGGCATAAGAAATCTAAAGGTGCCACAACATCAGAGGTATTACATAAGGTGTCAGATGGGCTACATGATCCAAACTCGAGTTTTGGCCTCCATCAGATTAGGTAAAAAGAGTCAGCTTTTTATTCAGGAACATAAACCAAAGCCTCAAGCTTGTTTCTAACTTGTATTTTACATTTAAATAGCCTGGGTCAACCTAAATTCCATCAAACAAAAACTCGATTGAATCCCTTTAAAAAAGTCTGAAACCATATGTTTTAGCATGTTTAACTGAGGCGGCCAATCAAATCAGATAATTTTACCAGCTCTAGAGGGGTTTAGTTACTTACCTTCAGCAATGTCTAACCTAATGTGTGTGTGTGTATGAATTCCACTATTCCATTGATTAGTACTACTATTGCTAACTGCTCCTCCCCAGTCCCGTACCATTCATTGAAAACCACCCATGCTAGACTTGTGAAAGCCTCGAGGTGGCGTCAGGCACAATGCGTATAAATACTATATTGTTTTGGTACAAGGAAAGATATTATTTAATTTATTTTTTAGAATTCATTTTCTTATACCTAGATTTTTTATCTTATCATAGAATTCCTCACATCACTTTTTATTTTAATCGATTTCTTGTTTCCTACTTTCTCATGTCCATTACAATTTACGACCAAAATCCAAGATATTGGAAACAGGAAGGAAGCCAGACAGCACGACTAGATGGAAGTAACAGCAAACAGACAAGACAAGACAGCAAGGTGAAAAAAAAGCATGTACAGATGCACGTGACGCATGCCATAATCTCGCTGCACGTGAATTCAAGCTCTGCCCACTACAGCAATGATGATGGCATGAATGCATACATACTCACCGGAAATAAGTATCCATATCAAGGTAGAAGGAAGAGAGCATACCTAGGGGTTGCGGAGGAGGGGTACACGCAAGATCCATAGCCTATAAAAAGAGAAGAAAATGAAATGATCCATTGACCAAGAAAATATGGCATGAATGAATGAATGCATACATACTGGGATCGGTTTGGGCGATGGTGGAAGTGCCGGCGAAGTGGCACGCATGAGGAGCTCCGGCGTTGCGCTGGTAGAAGCTGTTGAAGGCATAAGAAGCATGAGCTTGGAGGGTGTTGGGAATGTAGCATGGCCCATCTGGCTGAATGGGAACGCAAGCAGCTCCACCTCCTCCACATGCAGAGTCCAACGCTCTCTGCAGTTCTTCCTCGCTCGCACCAATCTTCGCCACGCACCAACTCCCTCCTCCTTCTGCTCCCGCCATGCTCACCATCACCATCACCATCACCAAACAAACCACCTTTGCTCCCACTCCCATTGCGTGCTTTTCCTTTTTCAGTACTTGGTAAATCCAAGGAATAGAGACTCTGCAGGAGGAGGGAGGGAAATAACACTGCATATTACATTCAAGTCAGGAATGTGCCATGCATACAAATCCAACTTATGTTAAGATTAGTTCCACAGTCCATTTTTAATAATGTAAGATGGGTAAAGATTGAGAGAAATGGAAAGAAAAAAAAAATATTAAAAATGAATATAAAAAAAAAAGAATAAAAGTACAAGTATTTTAGGTCAATGTTAACTTTTTTAGTCGTTAAATAAATATTATAATACTTGCTTCTAAGGTTATATTTTAAAAGCATACCCATGTTTACGCGGATATTGAATTATATACTACTCAATTCTCATTTTCTTGCTTATATTAAAATATTTTTTAACAAACCCTTTTTAATACATTCTTAATTATTAATTAAATTTATTATAAATTATAATATTTTTAACTTATTAATTTTAATAAATTTTAATTAATAGTTAAGTGTTAAAAAATATATTTCTAACACTCTTTAAAAAGTATTATATGTAAGCTAAAATATGTTATATTTCTTTTAAAAATAACAACTATTTGTTTAAAAATAATTGTTTAAAATTTAAATTAAGTAAATGTTATATATGTATAATAATGAATTGTTTTTTAAAAATAATACAATAAATAAAATTATAAAATTAATGTTCTTACTGTAAATAAGTGTGTTGAATTGAAAAATCACATTAGTTTCTGTTTTCTTCATATGTGTAATCAATTTTCTTACCATATATGTAATATGATATAATAATATTGTTCATATTTTTATAAAAAGTAATGTATTTTTAATTATTATTCATTTAACAACTTTTTTAGTGTCATAGAGATTTGTTTATAATACATCTTTATTAAAAAATAAAATATTTTAAAATTTGATATATTAATAACGTTGAGTGGTATTTTATACATATACACACACCAAGATGGCATTTACAGGAATGTTAACTTCTATACTCTTCGATCCTCGTTTTCTAATTTAAATAAATAGAAATAGAAATTATGTGAATTTTACTATTTTATTCATAATATAACAACTTTTTTATTTTTATAGTTTTTAACAAATAATTAAAAAATATATGTTTTTATCACCCTCCAATAAGCATTATTATGAGCTAAAATTAAGTAATTAATGAAAGCTTTAAATTATTTATATACTTAAAATAAACTGCACTCTTTGAATATTAGTAAACCATTATAATACATACAATTTACATATTTTATTTTTTAAAATATAAATAATATTATATATAATATATATGACTTATATTTTTTTTATAATTTTTTTAAAGTGTGTACATATATACATTTCTTTTGTTTTTTTGCATATTTTTCTAATCAAATGTAATTTTATATTCATTCATAAGATTATGATAAAATTGTTGATAGTCAAAATGTTAAATTTTTTAAAAAAATTATAGCTATTTATTAAAATATGACTATTAAAAATTAAAATTAGGTAAATATTATATATATATATATATATGTATATGTATATATAATATATTCTTATATTAGTGTAAGTTTAAAAAATTTTATACACAATCTAAGTCTTTTATTTAACTTACATTTAACAATTAATAAAATAATAAATTATAGATCATTAGATATAAATTAAATGAAAGGATTAGATTGATTGTAAAAAATTTTTAGACTTACTATAGTGTGAGAAAATCTTTCTTCATATATATAAATAATTATAACAAAATATTATTTTTTGAAATAAAATCATAACTATTTATATATACCGATGTATTTGTAAGTTAATAATATTAGGTTTATATACGGTAAGTTTAACTCATTTAATAATTAAACATAACTATAATAACGAGACACATTTTTTAATTTAATTAATTAATTAATTAAAATAAATATTTAATAAGTCAAATCTTATAATCAATGCTCTTATTTGAATGGAAAAAGCACATTAATTAGTTTCTCTTTTCTTTGTATATAATGAATTTTTTATAATTTTATAAAAATTACTGTATTTTTAATTATCATTTATTTAACATTTTTTTTATGTGTGTCATAAGAATATATCTGCCGTGAAAATAATAAATATTTTAAAATTTGATATATTAATAACATTGAATACTACAGTGAAGTTTATCTATTTTTTTACATATGTCTTTGGACAACATTAAACAAATTATTTATTTAAAAATTTAGAGAATTAATTATTAAAAATTGGAAAAGAAATATTTTAAAAGGTTAGAAATATGAAAAATTAAGAAATATATGCATGAAATTAATTAAATTTTAATATAATAAACTAATTAAATTAAAAGATTTAAAAAAAATATCTAGAAACATAACATGTAACAATTAATAAAGATTCTTTCAATATATAAGTAAAATTTGAAAGCATGAAAAGTCAAGAAACATAGCACAATTAAATGAAGCAATGAAACTGAAAGTTTTTTTTTTTTTTTTAAAGAAATATTAAAAGATGGCATGTGATACTCTATGAAAAAACTTCAAAATTATAATTTAATTTAAATACATTGATAATATAAAAATTATTTATACTCATCCAATAATAAATAACCACATTAATAAGAATTGCAAATTTTTTTTAACAATTAATATTAAAATTATATATACAAAGTATTTACTTAATTGACCCTGCAAAATTTTACACAGTAATAATATAAATTAATGATATCCCTTTGCTAAAATTGAATGGGCAACAGAAATATGGCAGAATATATGCAAGTTTTAAGTTATGTGTAGACAAAATACTGTTCTCATATTTAATTGTATAGTCCCATTGTTTGCATATATAAGTCCTCCATCACCTTACCAGCTTTGTGAAAGACAAGAACAAGGCAAAGAGTCATGGCTAAAATTCTGTGTGCATTTCTCCTCATCCTTGCCATGGCTTCTGTGACTCGAGTTGCTTATGTGAGTAATCGTTCTCTCCCTCTGTAGTCTGTTCTCTCCCCCACATATACTGCTTAAAATAGTTTAAAAACGAGGCCAATTAAAAGTAAAAAATGTACGTAACGTATTACATGTTTTCCCAGAATTCATCTTTTCACTACTGATCTACTATTATTTTTCAAAATCCACAGGCTGGGGGAGAGGGATCACTTACGCTCGAACGTACGTGCTAATTCTATCATACTCATTTTTTTTTGTATTTTAATTTTTGAAACAAAATAATGAAATATTGTGATGATCTTGGCAATTCAGAATGCCCGAATGCATGCAACTATCGTTGTTCGGCGACTCAATACAAGAAGGCGTGCCTGTACTTCTGCAACTATTGCTGTGCGAAATGTTTGTGTGTGCCATCAGGAACCTATGGCCACAAAGAAGAGTGTCCATGCTACAACAACTTGAGAACCAAGAAAGGAGGACCCAAGTGCCCCTAATTCAACTAATGCTGCCCTTTTATCAATAACTTCCATTTTGTATTTTATGGTAAAGGTAGCTCATATTTGTGAGCTATCCTTTGCATATTATTTATGGCTCAAGAAATAAATGCCTGATTTTTTTATCCTTTATCTTCTTTATCATCCATTCTACTGTTTTGTTCGCCAATTCCATTCTACTGTTAATGGTAAAGAATGCATAAAGAAGTGATCATCGTTGATTCGTGAATGTTTCTACAGCAATTAGCAGTGAGGTTAGTCACAAAGAAGTAACGGAAGATAAATAATATGTATATTGAGAGAACAATTAAATTCTTTTAGAAATAATTCTGATAAGAGTTGTTTTAGGGGTTAAAAACACACTCTCTAATATATTTTTTTTAAATATATCTTTAATTATTAATTATTTTTATTAACAAAATATAAAAGGTGAAACAATTATATTATATGAGAAAAAAAGTGAGACTCATTTATTTATTTTTAATTTTTAATACATTTTAATTAATGATTAAAAGTGTGTTAAAAATAATGTGCTAACATTTTTCTTTCACCGATAATTCTTTAAAAATATTAAATTTCATTGACTAAGGTTATATATTCATATTAATTATACATATTAAATGTTAAATAAATTAAACGTTTACATATATGCACATTTATTAACATCTTAAAAATATATACTAAAGTAAAAGATAGTTGTTGGATAAAATTTCAATTAATTTGAATTTATTTATTTTTTATAAACTTATCTATTTAAAAAAATCATTCTCGTTACATATACACACACACTTAATTTTATATTTTATTTAATAATTATATATAAGCATTGGAATTTACTAATTTAATCATTAAATCAAATTTTTTTTGTAAATCAAACCTAAAATGTAACCCAAATAAAAAATTAACTGAGTTTATTTAACAACTAACTTAAACTTTTAAAATATAAATAAATATTAATTATAAAATTATATATTTATAATTTTTTAATTTGTTTAAAATTTAATATAAAATTAATATAAATATTTTATTATTTAATGATTAATTGAAAAAATTAAATATTCATAAATAATTATTAAATAAAATAATTTTTATTTAAGCTCCACATACAGTAACATGACTCTTACATGCATAAACACGCGGACATAATAGTATTTTTTTATTGTTTATAGTTAAATTGTAATTATTATTTATAATATGTTTCAAGTATGTAACTCTTCATATAATTAAATTTTATGAAAAATTAAAGTCTGTTGTAGTATATTTGTATTATGTGTTTCATAATTTTACTAATAAAGCTGTTAAGGTTAATGGAGACTTCATAGATATGCAAATAATATTATTTTTGTGATACTTTATCAGCATATATTTATAATTTATAATAAAATATAAAATTTTAGCTCATTAAAAAATATACTCTGGAAACAATAGTAAAAAGCATTTTGATGTTATATATAAATTCAGGTTAACATTATAGCTAGGTTGGGTGAGGAAAAATCATCTAAACAGAAATTTAAAGGAGGAAACAATGACAAATAAAAGTTTATTTAAAATTTATAATAAATATTTTTATAAAAAAAATTCGTATCATCATTTAAATAGTGTTTATTTAAAGATAAAAATATAAAAATATATATCTAAAACGAAACGATATTCAATAACAATGGGACAAATGTGTTGTATGATTTATAGCAGTAGAAATACGATTGCGGAAGTGGTTAACACTAAGCAGGGGAGAAGAGAGGGTTTTGCAGTTTTGAAATTACCGTTGAACAAAGGATACGAAACAAGGACTCGGTTATGGTGTGAGTTGCAGAGTCAATTCAATTCCAATTTCAGATTCATCGGTAGCATAAACACACACACAGGTTCAATTTCGCTTTTCAATTCCTTTTATATTTTTATTTTCCTGCCCTATTCATTCCGTTCGTTCCAATTTATGCTGCTTCCCTTGCAATTGCCATCTACATTCTCAGACGCCAAATTACACTTTCCGCTTCTTCATAATTGCTAAGCATTTAGTAAGAAAGTGGAGTTTCTAGAGGTACAAACATCCACGTAGCTTGAAAATATGTATCTGAATATTTGCTTGAATCTCTTGGAAGTAAACTGTGAGAAATTCAATAATAGTTATTGAGGAGTGGCTCAAGAGTCTTCTATACAGAAAGAAAAAAATTATGATTAAGAAATTATGCCTAGTGCTAATCAAGTTCTGAAACATTTTCTTATAGAGTAGTGCTCTCAATATGAGTCTGAATATTGACATACAAATTTATTCTTATTATCATATTCTACATAAGGGAATGTGTGCTCATCTGACTGAATCGCAAATTATCAAAATTAAAGTATTTCTGGATAAGTTAATGGATAATGATTAAATAATATGTTAGTTTCAGATTGACTCTATTCTGGCCACTAAACTTTTATCCTGTTTTCCTTGTGTGTGCAAAGTGACTGAATAAGAGAATGAGTACAGAGTTTGATTCAACGTCGGCTCCTGAACCTCACAAAATGTCTGGAGCTTCATCTGCAGCAACTACTAGTGGCCAAAAGCTCTCTATATTTGCTGCCAAATCTGGATTTGTCATCCCTAAAAACAAACTATCAGGGTCATTGGTCCCCATTTTCCGAGGGGCTAAAAAGCATGGGGTCCCTGGAGTAATCAATGAAGAAAGTTCAAAACAAATTGATAGGAGATCGAAATGGGGACCTGATCTAACACAAGATGCAACTGTTAGGAGGGGAAAGGCTTTAGCTTTGCAGGTATTTTCTGGAATCCGTTAAAATAATACTCCATTAACATGTCTACTGTCTTATGTTTTTCATTTTCTAATTAATCAGTTATCATTTCCTTGAAAATATTCAATTATAAGGTTGAGATTTATATTTCTTTGTGGGTTTTGATTAAAATGTTCACTTGTTGCTACTCCTTATCTTTTATTTATTTATTTTTAGTTTTACAAGGTTTCGTCACATCCTTTTGGTGTGAAATTAACCTTTCGCTCATGGTACCCCTTCTTGATAGTGCTTCCCTGCCAGGTCAAACGGCCAATACCACGTACTGTGAGATTGTTAGATGTATGCTAGTATCAGGGTCTGTTCATGAGAAGTTAGTTTGTTGGGTTCACTGGGCTGAGATAGTTTGAAGAAATAAGGGATGTTGCCTATAAATAAAAGGGGAGGTTGAGAAAGAGATTTTTCTCCCTGTAATCGTAAATGCCCCGAGACCAGATACTTGAAGAAATAAGGCACTGGGAAAGTCTCTAAACCAGATAGATTATACTTGCAGATCTGCATTTTGTGTCTGTGTTTTGTTCTGTAATTTGAGGAGTTACTCCCTGTATTTTTTTTTATAATTAAGATTCCTTTCTAAAGTTGAGTGCTATAGTGTGTACCTCTGAATATTTGCATAGGTTCTTGATTCCCAGGTGTCAATTAATTATACTGTTGTCACTATTGTTTCACACATTTTGTAGATTAGAGTCGATCAAATTACAATGCAGTTGGAATCAGAAAAGCTGGAAGTTGGGGACACTCAGAACATGCCATTGGCTGAGAATCTAGATAAAAGCAAGTTTGGCCCTCAAATTAATAGCAAGGTTAACAACAATTGACACTGTTCCTTTTAATTTTTATTACTTGTTATTTTCTGAACACACTGCACTTATTCTTAAGTAAATGTCTGATGTTGATTTATGGATCTAAGAAGTCAGAAATGCTCGAACTTGAAAAGCGGGAAGTAATAGGTCTGTTTTCTTTGAGGTGTATCTTTCCTTTTTTCCTCTCCCCCCTCCCGTAATTTTTACAGACTGTTCATAGTATTCTTGATCTTAATCATCTTATCCAGGTGAAATTCTCAAATTAGATCCCAGCTACAAGCCTCCACCTGGTTTTAAACCATTGTTAAAAGAAGCCTGCATTCCTTTGCCTGTAAGTTTGATTCTAAAATTTTGCTAGACCTAATTCTGTACTAAAACTCTTTTGTGACATTTTAACCTGTCTCATGAATATTGATATATTTAGAATTTTCATGCCTTGTCAAGACTATAATATTTAAATTCTGTTGTTAATAATTTTCATTATTAAGGGTGTGGCTGATGCTTTGTGGGCCTTTCAGTATTTCTTTATGTTGTGAGGTGGTGGTAATATTTAGGATATTAGCATGGATACGATTTTTAGGTGTTGAGGCCTTATTTTTTTTCTCTATGGGTTTGACTGGAACGACTCAACCTCTTCTGCTTCTGATGTGTTAAGGCTAAACTTTGGCATTCTTATGTTGTAATTTAATTTTAAAAATGATCTGTTGTAGTTTTTCAAGAATAAAATATCTTTAAATTATCTAAACCTGAAGATCTGTAGTTCAATGAAAACTCTTACATGCAGTACCATATTTACAGGTCCAAGAATTTCCCGGGTACAATTTTGTTGGAGTAATATATGGGCCTGAAGGTGATAATCAAAAGCGGCTAGAAAAGGTATGAGTCATGACCATTGTGCTGGTATCTAATTCTAATCTTCATCCGGTGATCTGCAGTCTGCAAGTACGATCTGCTGATTGAGATTATGAAATTAATTTTCTTCAATTTTTTAAATTGATCTTTGATATATGCATATATCAGGAAACTGGTGCAAAGATAAAAATTCATGGAACCAAAGCAGACACAGGAGAGAAAGTAAGTTAATAATATATATTACATGGCTTTTATTCTGCATGAATCACTTTGAAATACTTTATTTTGTGAGAGAAGTACTGTAATTGTGTTTACATTTGCTTTCTGTTTTCCACTTGTTAAACTGTTACATTTTCAGGGTGAAATTAAGCCTGGAACTGATATCCAGTGCAGTTACAAAGAGATGCATGTTAAAATATCAGCTGATGGTTTTGATAAAGTGGATGCAGCAATGTCAATCATTGAACTACTAATTAACTCTATAACTGTGAGTATTGTCATTTCACCCAATGTGAGAATTTTTAATGATTTATGGTTGTGTTATAACACTATTTTTTACTATTTTATAATGATTCTATTCCTTCTGTTATTTTGATTGTCCTTGTAACTCCTTATATATTTTATTCAGGGGAATTTAGCTTCTGGTTCTACACCCTCCGTGTCAGTTTCTAGGGACAGCACTGATGTTCCAATTCAAAGCCAAGGAGGCCCCTCTTCTCGTGCAGTTTCTCTATCTCTGGAAAATCAGGCTGGGCTGCAACCAATAGCTGTTAAACAAATGCATGGGGATAACTTTCAACACTCTGGTCCATGGTTTTCAGTAGTTCCATGTCATACCCCTTTGTTTGTTTCTTCCGGTGGTATAGCCTCCTCAAATCCACCAGATCTTGCTAGAGCTCCCCATCTTTTGTCTCAAACTTCAAACATGGCTTCAACTTTTGGCGCTCAACCTGTGCCTGTTGCAGGATTTCAGCCAATTATTCAAAATCAACATGTTTCTATGCATGCACCACCACCACCAAGACAGATTTTACAACATTCCCATATGACTCAGGCAAGTCCTTTGGGTCACACTGGGCTGCCTAGAAATCCTTCTATAGTATCTGTACAGAATTTGTCAACTCCAACAAATGCTTCACTTTCATTTCCAGTTACTTTAAGCCAACCAACACCAATAGGACAACTTCATACATCAATTTCTTCCATGCCTCTACCTATGTCTGGCATATCACCATCACCAATACCTAACCAGCCATTGACCCATCTTGGGGTCTCTTCTGGGCAGAATGAATCATCTGCCCCTGTTAAAATGTCTGTAGGTCCTAGCAATATTGGGCCAATGGCTCCACCAGCAGTTCCACCTACAAGACCTGCTTCTTTACATCAACAAACGGATATTGCATTTATGCCACCACAACCAAATATTTCAATGATGCCACGATCTGCCACCTTTCCTCCACATCAAGCAGGAATTTCCCCTAGACCACCATCTACTTTGAGACCAATGCCTGCACCTACACAGTCATCTGTAAACCATTTGTCTGGACCTGTTTCATTTCCTTCACCTGGAATATCCCCTTCTTTCCCATCACCTCAGCAAGCAGGAATACCTAGTTCTGCTTCTGGAGTTGCTTCTTATCACACCCATGTACAACCACCTGTCTTGGTGACTTCAAATTCTGGAAATTTTACCTTTCAATCACGCCGGCCTAATGCAGACTACAGTCATGTGGTTGCCAGACCAAACAGTCAGGCTACTCCTCAGGGTGCTGCTACACAAGAACCACCTTCTGGTCCACGGCCACTGCCATTTGGGTTTGCTGTGCCTGATCGACCTCTTCAAATTTTTCCAAGGACACAATTCCCCAATCAGGTGGATCAAGCTCAAGCTCATGTGTCTAATGCTCGCTTTGGGGGAAGATCAGGTTCTGTCTCAAACTCGTTCCCACCACCCAGACCCGGTGCATTCCCATTTACTGGTCCAATCCCACAAATGGGCATGAAGAACTTCATTTCTGCCTCTCACTTGCCCAGTGCTGGTGCCCAAAGAGGCATGCCCATTCGACAAAGCTATCCTGCTCAGATGGCACGGCCAGATATCCCAATGCCTCTGGATCAGAAGGTTGTCAACAATCCCCCCATGACTCCTGGTAAGCCAGTATATCCTGCGGACCAAATTTATGATCCCTTTTCGCCCACTTCCATTGCACCTCCACAACTGAAAGGTAATCCTGGAAAATGAGGGAATTGGATATGGCTAAGTGAAATTTGAAGTTATGACTGCACAGGCGCGAAATTATTGCATAGATTAATATTGAGCATGATTCTAGAATCATGTGATATCTAACCAGAAAGTTTGGGTTTGATGACTTATTGTATTGCTATTTTATTGGGCGTTTCTTTTTCTGAATGCCCATGCCGATGTTTCGTTAGGAATTGGATTTTATGAATCTTCGCAGGGAGAGTTTTACACTCTTGTGTAAACTACATACCATTCGTTTAGTTTTTTTCCCTTCAATTCTGCGTTTAAGCTCGGTTTGATTAGTATTGTTTGGGTATCCGCCGTGTCACACGTCTCTTATTAACAATTTTAACTTATCTTTTAATCGATATAATAATAATAATCTTCAGCAAGTATTGGATTAATTTATTTTAATTTTTTTTAATCTAGAAAAGTTTTGTTTTAAAACTTTTTGAAGCACCCAGAAAATAAACATTTTGAAGTTAAAATAAGACATTACTATTTTCCCGTACAAGAGCTGGAAGCACCTTGATTGAAATGAGATGTAACAATATATAAGTAGCTTGGGGGAGACGTAGTGTATAATATGAATTGAGCTAACAGATGATGCACCCGTTCAAGGTTTTTGGTTCACAAATTAAAAACCTAAAGTCAAAGATGAAAATGAATTCATGGGTCTCAACTTCAAAATTCGAAGTGTCTTTTATGTCCCATCTCGGAGACAGTTTTCTGTGGGTCCAACATAACCATAATCAAATGATATAGGCAATCACGGATAGACCCTAAATAATCACGGGTTAGCAAGATGAAAAAATAAAAGTTCAATTAGTCACGGGTTCGTGTTATCTACAAATAAAATAAAAGATTATTAATTTCTTATTATACAATTTTCTTATATCAGAAATTCAAAATCATTTCCATGTTTAGCAACAAACATATACTGGCCGTGGGTAGCAATTTCTAACGAGTTGTGTTTGTTGCTAAATACTTTCTAACTTTTTTTAACTACTAGCATCAGAATAACACATTGTGAGTTTTACAATATTTTACACAATTTATTTATTTTTAAATGGAGTTAATAATGTGTAATAAATGATATTATCTTCCTGAGCTTAACATCTTTAAATTTTATAATTTAATTTTAATAAACTATTAGTGTAAATTTTTTTATAGTTAACCAGTTAGATAATGTTTTAGGTATGATTTTTAATATAATTATAAAAAAAATCAACAATTTTGAATGAAATAACAACCTATAATTAGTTAATAGTATGAATTTCTTTTACAGTTGATATGAGACCGGAAACGATTTGATTACACTTATGATTCCTTAGTTAGAATAATGTGTAATTTTAATACCACGACAAATATTTACTTCATTTTTTATTTTAAAATTACTATAGGCTTTTCATAAATTTGTCTCTATCTAATCTTCAAAATATTTTTTTTCTTGCTTAAAACCTCCACAATCCCCTTTTCACTTAAAATCCATAAATCACAAATCATATTTAATCTAAAATAAAAAAAAAAATCTCAAATCTTTCTTTAAAATCTCAACCTCACTTTATATCATTTTTATCAAATTCTGTTCAAAACATTTCGTATTTCAAATCTATCACAAAGTACCAATTAATTAAGTAAAATGTATACAAATTTGGATAATTTTAGATAGAGAAAATTGACCAAAAAGGTCTTACAGGTAATTTTCATAATAAAATAGAGAAATGAATTTAAGCAAGAAAATTGAGAACGAAATCACACATTAACCATAATATAGAGATCGCAAATACATCTAAGCCAATTTAAAATAACCTATATAATCTACAGGAAGTATAACTTAATTCTTTGTTTATTAATTGTTCAAATAACTGAGTTATAAACAGTAGTTTAATTTTTGCTAAAATATTTCTTTTGTTACCTTATTAAAAAGGAAAACCATGTTAAGGATTGCATGTCAAACTCATGAATTTACATCTACAGATGAGCAGCCATTGCTTAGTTTGCAGGCACTGTAGCTAGCAACAGAAGCAAACCAGAAAACAGTTCAACAAATGTAAATCATTTGAGCAGTAGCTATCTAAAATTTGCGAAGATACATTTGTTTAAGGACTTTGTTGAGGCAGCAAATGCGAGTGAAGAAGTCTCACGTTAGTTACATGTTTAAATCTATATATTTTGTTCACCTTGATGCAAAAGCTACACATTGCAGTGTATACCAAACACTCATTTTAATGATGGACTCATTTCTAAACACACCTTTAAACAAGACTTAGTAATATATAAGTCAGGAAAAATTGCACCTTAATAATCTTTAGGTTTTAAGTTAGATATGATATCTTTTCAAGTATATTTTATATTTCACGGTCATTCTTGTTAAGAAATTAGATTTATATAAATTTTTTGCTTTGAGTTTTTTATTTCTACAAAAGTTGCAAAACTTGAACTTCATCTTTATAAAATATTTTGCTAGAATAGAATATTTCACAAATTGTAATTTTTAATTCCTCTAAATATTTTGTAAACATTTAATAAAGCCTAAACCTGTATACTAAGAAATTTCATTTAAAAAAACATTTTTTTAGGATATATATATCTGATAGAAGGGTGAAATTTTTTAAAGAACTAGTTTATTTTTTGTTTTTTTTTTAAATAAGCATAACAGGATGATGAGCCAATAGAATCATGGGACATAGCCCATAGAGACAAAAATTCGTTCACATGTGATAGGTAGGAAGGCCCCACGTGGCGATGACTAGTAAGAAATTAAGTAGAAAATGTGGAGTAGAGTCACAACTCACAAGCAAAGGAGAGCATAAAAGAGCAGTCTAACACCATTCCATTCTTTCTATCAGATTCCCAATCTGCAATCAAATAATGGTTTCGAAAAGCAAAAGGGTGACGGATCTTGCACTCTCATCCACCATAGTAGTAGTGGTGTTACTGGTTGGTGTTGCAAGATCAGATTTAGCCAAAGACAGAGAAGAATGTGCTGACAAACTAATTGGGTTAGCTAGCTGTGTTCCGTACGTTGGTGGTGAAGCCAAAGCCCCCACCATAGACTGCTGCAGTGGCCTCAAAGTGGTACTTGACAAGAGCAGGAAATGCATCTGCATCCTCATCAAAGATCGTGACGACCCCAACCTCGGCATAAAGATCAATGCCTCTCTTGCTATCCAACTTCCATCTGCTTGCCACGCACCTGCTAATATATCTCAGTGCGTAGGTAATTCATTATTATTACCTATCAATAATTTTTCACTCGTTTGCTTTATCAATTCATTGGCCTCAACACACTACCCTTTTGTTCCTTCAGATCTTTTGCATTTGCCTCCCAACTCTCCCGAAGCCAAGGTGTTTGAAGGGTTCGAAAAATCCACCAAAACAAACACTTCAGCAGTTTCCAGCGGTAATTATTTATTACTCTTACGTTGTGTTTCTGTGTGATTGATCTGAAAAAAAGTTGAAACTAAGAAGGTGGAGATGCAGGTGATGCTGAGAAGGGATCAAGCTCAAGTGCTCAGCAAAAGAGTGGTGGTATGTCCACAAACAGGTGGCTGGTGGTTGAGCTGGTTTGCTCTATTTTACCGTTCGTCTTCATCTTCGCTTGATCAACGCTCGAGAAGAATATATTGGTTGATGCGTCTATTTCATTCTCATTCATAGTTAGCCATATCTTTTTCTCTTGTTTGCCAATTCCTATACTTGTGTGCAAAACTATAATCAAATCTTTCTATCTATTTTTAGTATTTGGTAGTTGTCAATTATTGATATGGTAACTAGTTGATGTTTAGGGCATTTACAAAACATTCCTGAGTAGCAGTTCCTTTTTCTTCTTCCATGTTTCTATGATATATTACGTTACCAACTTCACATTTACATCAATTTCAAGACATCAAACGAAGTCGTTACGAAAATAAGTTTCTCAACAAACTAATGTAAGGCCTGTATTAAATGTTCCGATCGTTCGACTGTGTGCCTTGGGTACACAATTACATGTATTCGAAAAGGTTTTATTGCAAGTTATAAACTTTAATAAATATCATTAAACACTATAGTTTTTAATTAAAAAATATTTAGTAATTACACAAATATTATATATACTTGTATATAGATTTAAAAATCAATATAAGTTGAACGTATCATGCAAGCTAATATCTCATCCAATTTGATTTATCTATCATTTGAGGCAATGACATAAGTTAAGAATCAAATTAATTGAATTTTGATACATTATTAATTTATAATCTTTTTTTATTACCAATCAATAAATTACCATCTTTTAATATCTTTTATAGTAATTACAAATATTAGCAATTCTTAATTATAAGATTATTTATGATTAAATACTATAAAAATTATTTGCAATCAGTGCATTTTAATTAAATTTATAAAATAACATTTGGATTTAATTAATTTAAAGTAAACTCAAGTAGTAGTAGTAGTAATAATAATAATAATAATAATAATAATGCGTATCAACACTAATAAAATCTTGATACAATGATTATCCACCTACCCATTTTCGTCCAACAAGCATAACCTAAATATATAAGAAACGCGACACAATGAACAACTATTACCTTCGCTAATACAAATGTCCAATACAAACATACGGAAGAAAACTTTTCATTCATTTCAGTAACTAAAATATTACAAAACCTTAGCCCCTCAAAATAGGGAAAGACAAAATGGAAACATATATTGGGAAGAAATATGATCAAAAGATAAATAGATACGACTGTATAGATAAGTCTCCACCTCTCCCACCGCATATTCTACAACCATTCTCCAACCAATATAACCACCCAAAATGAAAGTACAGAAAGTTGTAAAAAAGAACTCCTATCATGTTAGTAATCGCCATGGCCATTGGCCAACACCTACCAACACTACACGACCTCTACTGATGCCGTATTAATCCCACATACACACCCATATCTCCCTCGGTGTAACTGTAAACCGTACAAAATGATGTTGGCTTGAAACAAGGGAGGGCAAAAATAAATTAAAGACCATAAACTTGAAAGGAAGACCAAAAAACAACGGGAGAAAATTCACCCTATAGGTGTATGTCCGCACCTAATACCTAATGCTATCAAAATCAGTCCCATGCACTGGTTACCCCAGGGCCATATCCTCCAGCATATCCACCAGAAGCACCGTATCCACCAATGTTGTTTCCTGCACTGTAGTAATCAGAACCACCCCTATTAAAAGAACCTTCTCTTCGAAAATCACGGCCACCAAAACGACCTCCTCCTGATCGACGGTTCCTTCCACCACCAAAGGAAGATCGAGCAGCGTACCGTGAGAGCCAAGCAGGTACTTCTTGATTAGCTTCTTGCATTAGATCTGCTAAAGCCCTTGCCAGGGACGCATTATTGTCATTAAAGAATGCAGTTGCCAGGCCTTTCTTTCCTGCTCGCCCTGTCCTTCCAATGCGGTGTACATAATCATCAATATCATTAGGAAGGTCAAAATTAACCACATGGGCAACATGAGGAATATCAAGACCACGTGCAGCCACATCAGTCGCAACCAATATGGGGGTGTTCCCACTTTTAAATGACTTTAATGCCAATTCTCTTTCCTGCAGGCATTATAAAAATGATGAGCCGATATATTGATATAGACAAACAATAACAGAAAAACTAGTAAATAATATAATGTAAAAAGCTTTCAAAAAAAAAATATTATAAGTTATAACCACATTTAACCTTACAAAGCATGATAATTGCAAGCTTCAGCTTCAAACAAACTAATAGTGAACTCACAGACTAACTAGGATGTGCCCCAATTGAGAGAAAAGAATTCATTATCATGGTCAAGGGAGCTGAAAAAAGTCATTTTGAACCTAATAACCAGCATTGCTCATGACATAAAACCAATAATTTTGTAGGAATAACCAATGGGTCCCTGCTCTTAATATGGCATTTCGCATGAGAAATCTTGCAAGATTCCAAAGAATTGTAGGCCTGAAATGTAAACTACGTATATGTTTTGGGTAAATGAAATACCAATTTTTTTGCTTAAGCGCATAAGATTCTCAGAATTATCAAATCTGCAGTATTTAGAAATCTCATTAGTGATTCCTATGGATGCTCCAAGTAAGCAAACATTTTTTCTAAAATAAATTCTTAATGACATTTCTTTTTGCAAATTTCTAGGGAAGAATCATGCAAACCAAACATTTTTTTAACAAAATCCTGGGAATAACATTCATGGTGGGAATTAAGTTACACAGTTTTTAGAGTGGTATGGACTCAACCTGCTTTCCATGACAAAAATACTCAGCATGAGGTCATCAAATCATCTAGTATCAACTTATGCAGCTTAGGATTTTGTAAATTGAACATCTTAAGTTGAGTGCTTCATCCAGATGCTGTAAACTTGCTCTCCTAACACAAACTGTTGGCAGACTGATAGAATGGATAAGAAAGAAAGTGTTTATTGACAAAAGATCTTCATCCCTGGATCTGGATCTATACCAATGGAATACAGGATCAGAGATGAGGATGCAGATACAAAGTGCAGATGCACCAAAAACCCCTGTTCCAGGTATTTGAGAGACCTGGGCCCTCCTCTAACTACCTTTTTCAACCCAACTGTCTAAACTGACTCCTAACTGTTTACTGTCTGTTAAACAGTCCTCCACAAGGTCTTAACACGGACAAAAACAACAAATATAGAGTCGGCTAATATGTCATCCCTACTTTCCACCGCACTAACTCTAAAGGCATTGACATCAAATATAAAGCAAGGAACTAGTCATCACTCATCATACTGATACAAAGGTAAATATATTTGTACAACAGACTAACCTGTTGGGTCCTGTCACCATGAATAGTAGTTGCTGGAAAACTATTACGACACAACCAATGCTCTAGAGCATCAGCTCCCTTCTTTGTCTCCACAAAAACTAGGGTCAAAGCTTGCTGCAGAATACAAAATCACACACGTAGCAGGCTTAGAATATTTAGCAACATCATTTACTCTCTAAGAGAGAGAGGACAAATCCATACAATGAGAAAACACAACTCCCATGGTATAAATTTACCACACAAAAATAAATATATAACAACTGTCCAGAACAAAGCAACATCTGACACAGCTAAGACAAACAGAAAAGGAGTAGAAATGATACAAAATTCATGTATGTATCTAGACATGATCATGTAGTATTGGGTTGAAAAGCATCACCTAGAACAACCCATCCAATGTAGGTCCATGTAGTTTGTGAGACAATACTAATCATCGGCTTTATTTTAAAAGCTTTTCGGTCTTCCAAAATACTGGTCTAGGAGCCAGATATTATTAAAGAGAAACCTTGCATCCATAATCAATCAACTCAGGAAAACTATGCATCACTGGTTTCATAGTTATAATCACCATTACAATTGATTTGGAAACTTCCCCCAAGACAAATGATTAGCAGCAGATTGAGCAGGCCATTAGAAATGTGTGATTTCTTTACACTTATTGCTAAAAAGGCATATATTAAGTTTTATAAAAGTGAAATGCACTTTTTGCGAACTGAGAGATTACCTTTCCTTGTACACCATTAGCCCTCTGTGCATGAAGAAGGTCCATGAGGTGACTTCTCTTGTCAGATTCTTGAACATACTCAACTCTTTGGACAATTAAATCAGTACTTGAGCCCACTCTTCCAACAGCCAGAAACACATATTTTGAAAGGAAATCAGATGCTAGTCTCTGCATATTAAGAGTAAACCACAACAAAAGTTGATGAAATAAGGAAGCTATATATCCAACTAATAATATTGATGTGCACTATTTAAACCTCACAAGCCACTCATCATCTCAACCCAAATTAGAAACTGCATTATTTAATTCTAAAAGTGCATAATCTTTCTAAGAATAAAAGGTGGAAGGTGTGTTTGAGGTCAAAAGACAACTGGATGCAAATATGTGATGCACAAATACATGAAGAACATGCATCTCAGATTAATTAATCAACAAAATAAGGCAAGGCATATCTTCCTAACATAGATGAATGCGTCTTGAAATTCCAACCAACAATGAACAGCTAAATTAGTTAGTATGCACACCTAGAGACAAATGGACAGACACAAAAAGGAGGGGGAAAAAAAGACAAAATCTAAGTAACATTACACACGCAAAGAATGATTCACATATTCTTTATAGAGAACATCAAACCTGTATCTCTTTTGGAAATGTGGCACTAAACAGCAAAGTCTGTCTGACACCTGGTGGAGGCATGTCCATTTGTTCTACAATCTTCCTTATTTGTGGCTCAAAACCCATATCCAGCATCCTATCAGCCTCATCTAAGGCCAGATATCTGATCATCTGCAATGAGACTCTAGCTCTCTCCAGCAAATCTACCAATCTTCCAGGAGTTGCAACGAGAATATCCACCCCCCTCTCAAGATCCCGTAGCTAGAAAATTATATTTAGTTAGGAACTAAGGATCCATACCAAATTGTATTTCTTTATAGCAGTATTCAAAAGCAAAATATGATTGTCCATTCAAGAACTATACTCTAGACTCCATATTGAACAATTTGGTAAAAATCACAAGAACAACATCAACAAAAGCATACCTGCTAGTGACATTTATTTTATACAGTTTCAACATATTCCCAAACTATATTCAGAAAACTATCAGCTGTTTAGGAATGTCACACATTTTATGACAAATAATACAGTAGTCCACAAATTTCTATACCATCAGGTACACCAGAAATTCTTGATATATCAAAATAGAAGGCCTCGAGTCTGAAGTCTGAACTATGGATGCCAGAATCTAAAAGCTAAAAGCAGTTGTACCAAAAGTTTCAGAATTGATAACAACAACCAAACCTTATCCCACCAGGTGGAGTCAACCATGGGTGATCAACCGATAAAACACAAGAAAATAATTGAAGCATCAATGGGTTCTAGGAAAAATAAAGCAAAGAGCAGGGGGAGAGAAAAGTAAAAGGCAGGACAGATACCTGCTGGTTTATTGGAGCTCCACCATAGGCAACAACCACCCTAACCCCTGTCTGGTAGGAGAACTTCCTAGCCTCTTCATGTATCTGAAACCAAATCACAACATTTCCGATATACTTTTTTCACTGCAAAAGTGCACCCAATTAAAAAGCATGTCGTAATTGACAGTTGCTGTGACAAACTCACTTGCATTGATAGCTCCCTAGTTGGTGATAGAACAAGGGCAAGTGGATACACTGTACGCACCACGCGAGGAGGCCTCTGCACGGGTTGGCCCCTCATAATCCCACTGATAATGGGGAAACAGAATGCAGCTGTCTTTCCAGAACCAGTCTGCGCACAAGCCATCAAATCCCGGCCGGCAAGGGATATGGGTATGGCATGCCGCTGAACAGGCGTTGGCTTAACATATTTGCACCGTCTGATATTCTGATTAAGTGCTTCCCCCAAGTCAATCTCCGCGAATGTATTCACAGGCTGAGGCACGTTTTCGCCGCTGGTTTCCACAGGAATGTCCTCATACGCATCAAAATTTATTCCTGTATTTTCCTGCTCACCAAACGCCTCTTCAGCATCCTCCTGATCGCCAAAGGGGTTCACTTCGCGCTCCCTGCCGCGATCCCAACCACTACTTCTGTTCCCCCATCCACTGCCGCGACCACTGCCCGAACGGTACTCGTTTCTGGGCGTACCCCAACGTGATCCAGCATTACTACCAGATGCAGATGCAGAAGCAGAAGCAGAAGCAGAAGCTGAAGCAGAAGCAGTTGCACTTGATGGTGGAGCAGGGGATTCTGCTGATGGTGGACGGTTCCTGAGATGCGGAGGGACGTAAACGGGCCGCGAAGGAGCCGTGGAGTTGATGGGAGGAGGTGCATTTTCAGCTGCGGAATTTGCAGCCAAATCAGCCCATGAAGTTCGCATAGTTGTGTGGTTCCCTACGATCAGACAGTGCGATTGAAAGAATTGGAATAAAGCTTGTGGATCTGGCAGAATTGAGAGGATGTCATCGAATAGACAATGCAGAGAGAAGAATCGAATTTGAAAATGCAAAACGAAAAAGGAGAGAGGATAGAACCTGTATTGTATTGGGAAGACTAAAACCCTGAATTGAAGAGGATTATTGACGAAGATCGAGAAACCCTAAACACACACACAACACAACACGCCTTCAAACTTGGATGGATACAAAAATATCTGCTCTCTGCCTTAGGATGCGCCCCCTTTCTCTCTCTTTTATTTATTTTCATTTTTCATTTTTTTTTTAAGAAGACTCTTTCTGTTTCTGCTTCCACCCAATTTAAGACTCTCTCTCTCTCTCTTCACGTTGCGGCTGCCGTAAAACTCATTATTCCGTTGTTCGTTCGCACTTGCCAACCCTCGCTCTCCAATATTCACCTTTTTACACCCTAAATTCACGCCCATACTTTCCTCCTTTTTCATCTTTTTTATTTTATATAGTGAGTCTAGTGATCACCAAGCCAAAGAAATATTTGATATGATAAAATATTTTAATGTTTTAATCACTACCTGATAAAGATAAGCTTACTCTCCTAACTAATCTTACTTAGTTCTGTAGTTTATAAAATTTCCTTATCCATAATACCTTGTCAAACTCATTGACCTAAGTCAAATATTTTAACTATGCCTCAATTCAAATATAGTCGTCAGGAATATCATCATACACAAAACAGATATCAAAACAACGCCTTTCAAAGTGTGAGTAATCAAAATTCAAATGGTCCACGCAGCTTGGTAACAAGGTGTGCTTTGCAATTTCTCGTGCACTAGGTTTTTTCTTTCCCTAAGAAAAAACACTTTCCCCTCGGAGAAAAATCTCATAATGGAGGCACAAATATGGTTTTGATTTTCTAGGAACAGAAAATATGAAAGACTCTACAAAAGAGAAAAAAAAAATGTTTGAAATAAATTAAAATTTACTAAAGGTTATATGTTATTTTCTCGTGAGAATAATTTATTATTTGCATATAATCATAACATATCCTGATTATTTTAAGATGGCTAACAACTAATTTTGATAATTGTATTACCTATATTTGAATTTAGTTAATGAAATAGTTTTTGGATATTCATCATATTAACTTCAAAAACTTTATTTCATTTTTTGAAGTCTCAAAGCTCACGAAAGCGATCCAAACTAGTTGTTGATATTGTTGAGAGTTATAAAATTAAAAAATAGCTCTTAAAAGTTCATTTCTATTAAAATAGTTAAAATGTAGCACATATTAATCCTTTAAGGCAGAGAAGTGTAATTTTCAAAATAAGAAAGAATGACAGAATAATTTAAACATCTGTCAACAGTTAATTATTTTAAACACAAAATCAAAATATAAATAACTTACCATTTTTTGTAATGTAATTTCAATCATATACACATAATACACTTGGTTCGGAATATGAGTGGATTTCTTATACAGTTTTATGGATGATCAGGGGCAAAAGAATGCTGGTCAACAAGTTACACGGGGAAAAGCAGATGCACAATGCTCAGCAATCAGCATGATCGTGACTTCTGATTGCTTTTTGATTCATCCTATTCATGATTCGGGAAGCATCATTAAGTTTATCAGCTCTCTCATAAATGCTAGCAACAACAAGATGCAACTCTTTCTTGTTGATATTGGGATTGGAATCCAGCTTCTCAAACAATGACTCTACCATCGTGAAATCCTTTCTTGAGCCATATAGACTGAGCATCTGGAAATGAACTTGGTCCGGAAAAACACACCCTTCTTCATGCATCTCTCTGTATAAAGCATCTGCTTTATCAAATTCACGCAGCTTTCCAAAAGCATTCAGCACGAGAGCAATAACATTAGAATCGGGAAAATATCCTGCCTCTCTCATCTTCTCAAACACTTCAACTACATTGGCATACTTTTTGTTCCTAGAGAAAAGATTAATCATGCACCCGAATACTGATATATCTTTGACCTCTCCAGCATCAAAAGCCTGCCTGAAAACCCACGTAGCCTCTTCAATCCTACCAGCTCTGGCCAGAATTGCGATTGCAGTCTCCCTGGGAATGTTATCCGGTCGCTTGAGCTCATGAAGTAGACGTTTGGCATGAGCAACCAAACCCGCCCTCTCATAGGCTACAATCATTGTCTGGTAAAGAACCTCATCAATTCGAACTCCGGAGCTCCTTAATTTTTGAAACAACATGGCTGCCCGGTCCAGTTTCCCTGCCTTTTCCCAGATAGATATTATGGTTGAGTAAGTGATGGCATTTGGTTCAATACCTCTGTTCTTCATTTCTTGAATGAGATTGGTAGCCTTCTCGTGCTCAAGAGTCTTGCCATAGATATTAATCATAGTGTTGTAGGTGACAACATTCTGTGGTACACCCTTACTTTGCATCAAACGAAACAGATGGATGGCCTCCCCAAATAGCTCAGCCTCTCCATAAACTCTCAAGAGAGTATTATAACTAACCACATTGGGTTGAATCCCCATTTTCTTCATGCTCCAGAAGAGGCGGTCGGCTTCCTTGGCCATGTGAAGCTGGCCATAAACATCAATGACTATGTTACAGGTGGTAAGATCAAGGGGGCATTTGGCTTCATTCATCTCAGAGAACAGAGAGAGTGCTTCAACGAACTTTTGATTGTCAACGTAGATGGCAAGAAGTGTGGAGTAGCTGACGGTATCGGGATGAATCCCATTGTCCCTCATCTCCCGAAGAAGAAGGCGAGCCTCGCGGAAGAACTTAGCTTTACCGAAGACATTGATCATAGAGTTATAGGCAATGAGATCAGGAGTGATAGAGGAGGCTTTCAATCTGGTGAAGATGGAAATAGCCTTGGAATAATCGCACAACTTGCGGGCAAGCTCAATCAAATTACTATACAAGACAAGGTCGCCGGGAACGTTGTCTTGCTCCATCTGCTGGAGCCAAAACAGAGAAGAATCAAACAAGCCGTGTTTGCTAAAAGAAGTGATGAGGGTGGAGTAAGTGTACCTATCAGGGGAAAGACCCTTTTGGCGCATTTCGTCGACCAGGCCGTGAGCGAGGTGCCACTGCTTTGCTCGAAGGACGTTACGGAGAACGACGTTGTAAGCGAAGAGGGAGGGAGAATAGAGTGCCTTTTCGTTAATCCAATCGAGAAGGGCAAGGGCGCGTTGCCAATCGGGCTCTCGGGACAGCATCGAAACCATGAACCGAATAGACAGTTGCCTCCCGCTGAAGGGGGACATTACCGCCAACAGTTCCTCCTCGTTCTGGGTCTGCCCAATTGCCGCCAGTAGCTCCTCCATGTCCACGCTGTGGTCCAAGTACGCAGGTTGTTGTTGGCGACGTTGCCTGTTGGTGTTGGACGATGAAGAAGGCGATGTTCTGGTCCACACATCTTTCGTCGTAGCTGCTAATCTATTACAAGTTGTTGGAGTCGGACTCATGCCAACGCTGGTTTTGTGAGAATAACATTTTGAAGGCGAAGAAGAAGGCCAACCCACAAGGATTGACCATGTCACCGAATATGACACTGCGCACATAATAGCTATCTGATTATTTTGGTGTGCTTTTGGGCATCGATAACTCTTAACTCCTTCTCTTCCTTTCCTCACCAACAAGACCAAGCTGAGCCCCACCCGATGAATTCACTTGGGCTTCACCCAATGTGGGAAGGCCTGGGGTTTCGGCCCAGAAGCCCACCCTTTTAGACTTTAATATGTATTTATAAATAAATTAACACCTAAAATCCTTTTTCAGAAAAACATTAACTTTAATATGTAGAGTTGAGACTTCTTAATTGAAGATGTTTGAATTCTCTTATGTTATTAACTAGCATGATATAGTCGTGTGAAGAGAAAAAATATTTTTTTTTATTAAACAAGAATTTACTATAATTAATTATAATACTTACTAATTAAATTTGATAAAAGTTATATTTTTCACTCTCCAACTAATTAATAACACGTCAAAATTCAAATCCAATTAAAAATAACAAACTTTTTTATTGAAAAAAAAATGTTCATACACCATTAATACGAAAGTATAATCACTATAGAATGTAGCTCAGATTCTGGATTCGTCTAATACGGATGCAATTCACATAAATTCAAGCTGCAATCCACGTCAAAATAGAGTCTGCATGCGATTTATATTGATTTATTGAGAAATGATTTTGAATTGGGATTGAACGTATGGCCCATGACACATGAAACTTCAACTCCCATTTTCTAGTTGTTGAACTGGGTTAAATAATTTATGGTTTGTGGCTGAATTGTCTTATGGTTTTACATATATATTGGTTCATCATAAACTTGAGAGAGATTTTCATGCCTTGAAAGAAAAATGTTAAAAATTCAAGACTATATATGATTCGTCGACTTAGCAGTAAAGGAAGACTTTTGGCACAAAACATGTATAATTAAATCAATTACACCAACACCACACAACATTGAGCAAGATTGGCACAACAATTTTTATCCCGAAAGAAATGGGGCAACAAAATCAACAATAACCAGGGTGAGATTCCAAGGGAATGCTTGTCCGAAGACCAAATTCAAGCTGAAGACTCCATCTACTCAGCACGGACACGTTTCCTTTTCTATGATTAATAAGTTTTCTATGCTTCATATTATCTTTGGAAGAGGCCACAAGAAAGCCATGTATTCAATTTATTGGGTTCGTTATTTTAATTTCTTGCATTTTTGTCGTATGCATGTCGCATGAAAACTATGTTTTCGGCTTCTAATTTGGTAGATAATGAAGTTTCGTTTTGGGATTTGAGAGAGATCTTGTATAAGCTAGAGGCAACAGCACAAATTTCTTAGTTCGTCCTACATAGGCTCGCTTTGTCAAATTGTCATAGTCGTTGTCTTCAATTGCATCCAAGATCTTACGATACAATATTAATGAGGACCAAACCTGCAAATCACACACATAGAAAAGTGTTAACCCTTTGATTCAACGCCTTTTCTCCACTCATTTTAATATATCAAACTGACGAAGTGAAGATCATAAGTCAATGCAAAATGTACGTACCGGCCAACGACTGGCCTTATCAAGCTGAGAAACTCCTTCTTCTGCCCGGTTGAAGTAGAATCTTGCCCTTGTAATCTGCTGTTTCATAAACTTTCTCCATCTTTCACTGACGTTTCTTGACAAAACATCGTCGTCACATAAACCAAACTGGGCAAGCTCGTCTTGGGGAAGGTAGACTCTACCTCTTAATGCACTAATTAAAAGAAGTTGACAATTCTATAAGGTCATTTTTCGGATATAATAAAGTAAGCAGAAGAGGAGCCATTAAAGTGAAGATAATCAGTTAGAAACATACTCCTCCCCCACATCTCTAAGAATGTTTGTGAGTTGATTTCCTATTCCCAGATATAGTGCAGCATTATATACACTTTGAACAGGGAGGACAGACTCATGGGCAATACCCATTACTGGAACACTCATTAAGCCAACAGTTCCCGCCACGTAGTAGCAGTAAAGATATAACTCTTGGAAATTCTTGTATCGGGATTTCCTTGTATCCATTCTCATTCCTTCTATCATGTCTCTGAAAGGCTGGAATGAAAAAATTGAGTTGATCCGGCAAAACCAGATGTATAACAATGACATATATACTAGTGTGATATCTGATTCTCAAGTATGAATATATGTAATGGGGATAGGTAAAAAGAAGTATTCTAGTAATCACCAGACCTTAATATCCAAATGAAACTTGGAAACCGTATCAGTAAGAGCAGCATCAAGCATATCATAGGGATGTCCATTGAAAAGGCCATGCAATCTATCTTCCCACCTATCAAGAACGGCAGAGCTCATATGGACAGAGTTAGGACCATCAACCAGTTCATCAGTCCTCCTGCACCAAACTGCAGAGAAGCGTTTCAATAAAACCAGTTGTAAATTAATCTTCATATTTGCTTGCAACTTTTTGATATCTATCTTGTTATGTAAAAAAGTATTTACCGTAAATTGCCCATATAGCTTTCTGTCTTTCTTCCGTCATAAGCGAAGTTCCTGTGTAGATAATGAAATGGTTATGAAGGGAAAAGTGAGACAACACATCCAAGTTGAAAGAGGGGTTGTACCTAGATAGAAGGTCTGGGCATATTCTGCACAGATATTTCTGCACATTTCGTAGGCATCCTTCAGAAAACTGGGTGGCTTGGTAGAAGGACTAATAACAGTGGCAACATGAGGCTGAGACTGTCTGTGAACAACCTCTTGTACGTGTAAGTCAGCAAGAGGAACTCCTTGTTTTGACAACTGGGGAAACGCGCTCGCTGTTCTATGCTTGGGAGCTGCTGTCACTTCCGACCTTATAACATGAAATCTTGTAGAAGATGGTTGCCTATTGCTTCCGATGATGCAAGAAGGCGTTGCTGCCACCGAAGAAAATGATAAACTCATCACAATATTTCTGCTCTCAAGGTTTAACTGATGAGAGAACCAAATTAGTGTCCTTGCTTAGTTGTCCATGCCATATGGGATCTTGCTGCCAAGAGTGCCAAGTGCCAAGTGAACGTGGAAGAAGCTTTTAATTGGTTGGGTTCGAAGAAGAACGGGGTTTACAAAGATGCTATTTTTGTCTTGTGAATTGTGTCTTATAGTTGAGTTCCATGTAAAGAATCTTAGTCACTCGTGATGCCTTTTCGATCCAACTTATATATCATTATTCCTTTCCTTGCCTTTATGCCATCATTATTTCCTTTTTAAAAATAAAATATTATATAAATTTATAATATATTTTATTTTTATAACCAGAAAAAATATCTTTTTTAAAAAATTAAACATGCTCTTAATTTTTATTTTTCTTTTTTAAAACGAAACCCCTGCAATTTGAAACCTAAATTCAATTTTAACTAATTTAAAGTATCTTTTCACTCTATTAGTTAGTTGATGATCCCCTATATATATATAATCATAGACAAATTCAGAAAACGTCTAAAAGGACCGCAAATAATACATGATAATAGATTTTTTTTCAAAATAAAGAATTGGAGTCTACGTGTAAACAAAAAAAATAAATTTGAAAGCCATCGAATATCCCATGTCTATCCCCCTAAATCCATCCTTGTTAATATGGGAAAAAAAAATATCACAAAACTATTTAATGATATAAACTTGTAACTTGTTTTTTCAAAATGTTAGTAGAGTTATTTGGTTTGAAAAATTAAATAGAGCTTGTAATTTTTTAAAATTAGCTTATGAAAAATTACTTTAAATAGCATGCAATTATACAGTTAATTAAATTAAACAAGTCGAATTTGATAATCTAATTATAAGCTATAAGCTTCAGTTACAGACTTTTAGTTAACTTATTAACTATACAGTACAAGTTATAAGCTTTTATTTTGTTTTACTAAAAGGAAGAATCAGTATTATTTATTAATTGCAATTATAATTTTGTCTAAATTATTAATTAAAAATATTACAATTATAATTGGTAAATAATACCTAAAAAATAAATACCAAAGTGTTGTCATTACCAAAAAGAATTATAACATCACATATTTTTTATAAAAAAAAGTGTTTAGAATACACTTTGATATATTTTTTATTAATTAAAGTTTATTAAAATTATAAAAATATGAGTGAAAATTATTCAATTAAAATGTGACTCGTATTTTTTTATAATTTTTAATGCATTATAATCAATAATAAAAATATATATTACTAACATTCATTATTTTACTGTTATTTATTGAAACATTTTACGTTGAATTTAGACATTTCACACCTCATATATTCTACCTTTTTTTTGTGGAATAGATAAAACTCATACTAGTTGCTAAATAATAAAATTTATACTTAAGTTCACTGAGATTGCTTTTGTTTTTAGGCCAAATTAGTGTTGACGTTATAAAATTTGAAAACTAATAATTTGATTTGTAAAAAATGCATTCAAAGAGAAATTGGGTCTTGAGGTTTGTGTCTCAAGCACTTGTTTATGAAATTTGGTTCATTATTTGGCCCACTCTCATTAACAGGGTTGTTGGTATCACTTAACCCAATAGTGTCTCTATCTGTATCATCTTTCTTGTGTTTTGATTGATAAATCATTGTAGTACTAACTTAATGTGGACGTTATAAAATGATAAACACAAAAATGAGATAGAGAATAGCAAATAAGAAAGAAAGTAAAAAAGAGTTGTGACAGGATGATATATCTTTATGCTAAAATAATATTGAATCTTAATTGTCATACATAACACATGTTCTTGAGCAGCCTCGATGGTTGTGCACATAAACACAATTAATAATCTAAAAAGAATTGGATCATAACAAAATGGGAATCGATGGGGATATAATGTCTGCCATTAGAATTGATTATTTTTTCTTTACTGCTATTAGTTGGAACTTTGATTCATTGATTGACAAAGAAATGTTTTAGATTGATGATTAGAAACAAACAAGTAAAGCAAGGGAGGCCTATTTCTCGGTATTATGAATGAAAAGAAAGAAGCTTTTCTCATTTAAATTAAAACAAATTGCATTCCCAGCCACTGACAGCGGCCACGACGGACAAAAGTTTTATGTATTTAAGGAAATGCCCTCTTCATTTGGCGTCATCAAATGTCATACTGCTCTATTTGGTTTGAATTCTTTTATTTTTATTTAATATTATATTAAATTTTTAAAATTTCCTAATTTAGTTTGAATTTTATTTAGTATGATATAATATTTAACATTAATATGTATAATATTTATTTTTTTAAATTATAATTTTATTAAATTTATAAATAATTATATAATGTATTTTTTAAAATAATTTAATCGAGCATAGCAATGTGACTAAATTATATAGTTTTATTTATTTCATAGTACTGAAGGCAAATCTACTGCATGATTCGGCGAATCTATTCCACTAAATGCAATCTATAAAAAATAGCATCATCATATTTTATATATTATTTTATTTAAAGAGCGGTCCATCTCTGTCGGAAATTTATTCTAGTTCAGCTGCACCAAGCCCCATCTATTCTAATTCTCTTAGCCTGTTTGTTTTTAAACGTTCATTACAGAGAATATTTCTGCATACTCTTTTACGTTTGGTGAGTACATTACCATATTTGGCCCTTGTTTGTACCTTAATTTAAGTACAAAATTAGTAAATAAAATGAATCACTAATATGAGTTTTCTTTTCAGAAATGTATGTTAATTGTTTGGACGTGGAATGGGTAAAGAAATATAAGAATAGTACGCTGAAAGTGGGTGTTTATGAGCTGACGTGTGGTAAAAATAGAATGAATTACATGTGCAGATGGAGAAAGTAATAATTAACACAAGAGATGATCATGCGCCCTTTGAAAGTGAGGGTTCATATTTGGTGAATACTGCATTCAATAATTCAGCTGAAATGAGGCCCACGTTTTAACATATCGGGAGTCGCTGTGTAAATGAGTTAATTCAACTGAAGTCAGTCCCACAATTTAATAAATATGCTGTTAAATTTTATCAACCTTATTTATTTATTTATTTAAATAAATTCAAATTTAAAATTAAAATCAATTATTTAAATATTTCAACTGAAGTCATATTGATGTAAATAAAAATTATATTTTATTATTATTTTACTTTATTTTAAGTATGAAATTTTTATTAAATAATAAACTAGTAAAAATTATTTAAATCTAATAAAAGAATTATAAATAAACTAATTAGTCAAATTTAAACTTTAAAATTATTAATATAAATTAAACTTAAATTTTAAATTTAACTATTTTATATTAATAAAGTATTCTTTTATATGTTTTTTTAATATATTTTTAATTATTAACTAAAATTTTTTAGTTACTGACATGTATCTCTATAAATGAAGCTTTCCAAGTTGAGAAGTTACGCCAGAGAGAGATGGGAGAAATAGAAGGAGAGGCAATGTTAGAGCGGGAGAAGGAAGAAGAAGAGGAAGAAGCACAAGCCCAAGTGGATATTTGGAGGTACATATTTGGGTTTGTGGAACTGGCAGTGGTGAAATGTGCCATAGAACTGGGCATAGCTGAAGCCATAGAAGCTCATGGAAGACCCATGACACTGTCGGAGATATCAACAACTCTAGGCTGTGATCCTTCACTTCTGAACCGCATCATGAGGTTCCTCACACACCGAAAGATATTCAAAGCCATACCCACCAGCCATGGCTACCCGGGCTATGCTCAAACACCTTTGTCTCGGCGTTTGATGAAAACGGGACAACATAGCATGGCAGCTTTGATTTTGCTGGAGAGTAGTCCTGTAATGCTAGCACCATGGCATTGCCTAAGTGCTCGTGTCTTGGCCAATGGCAATCCCTCATTTGAAAAGGCTCACGGTGAAGATGTGTGGCGCTATGCTGCGTCAAATCTTGATCACAGCAACCTCATCAATGAAGCAATGGCTTGTGATTCTAAGCTTGTTATGCCTATTATCATTGAAAGTTGCAGCGAGGCATTTGATGGTCTCAACTCCTTGGTGGATGTGGGTGGGGGCAACGGCACCACCATGAGTGTCCTTGTTAAGGCTTGCCCTTGGATTCGAGGAATCACTTTTGATCTTCCTCATGTCATTGCTGAGGCTCCAAAGTGTGATGGGCTGGAACATGTTGCAGGCGACATGTTTCAAAGCGTTCCCAAAGCTGATGCTGCTTTTCTTAAGGTACATGTGTTGTCAATTTAATTATCATATTGTATGGTTAAGACAGATTCATTAATTTGTTACTCAATTTCAGTGGGTTTTGCACGACTGGGGAGACGAAGAGTGCATCGATATTTTAAAGAAATGCAGGGAAGCTGTTCCAGAGGAAAATGGAAGGGTTATTATTGTGGAGGCAGTGATTGAAGGTGGAAAGCATGATGGGTTGAAGGATGTAGGACTGATGCTGGACATGGTAATGATGGCGCATACTAATTTTGGCAAGGAGCGTACCCTCAAAGAGTGGGAATATGTCATTCAAATGGCAGGATTTAGCAAATGCACTGTGAAAACCATCCATGCCGTGCAGTCTGTCATTATTGCTTTCTACTAAAACTATAACAAAAAGAAACTCAAAAATTTAAGTTTAAATTGTTGTACTAGTTTGGGAAACGTTTAATGTTTCTGTGCATGCAAGGCTATAACTTATTAGCCTTCCCTCCAAATAAAGTAGTAATCTATCCTTATGCAGTTGTTGCTATGATCATCAATTCGTTTCTGCTCTATTAGCAATTCTTTTTTTGTATTCTACGTAAAGGTAACTTTTATTTTAAGTAAAATCAAAAAATGAAAATTCCAATATTATAATTAAGAGATATATGTTTAAATAATTCATTAAATAAGTAGAAAAATATAAATAGTTTAGATTTTTGGGAAACGGGACTAAATTAAAATTTTTGGAAATAATTAATTTGAGAATATATGCAGAAAAAATTTAGAGAATAAAGTGCACATACAA